AACTGACCCACTAACAAGGGTTGGTGTCACCCTATACAACTCTTCCTTAGTCTTGATCTGTGATGCAAAGACTTGGTCCCCAAAAAAAGGGGAAAAACTGTTTCGGATACTGGACTGTCTTTATGCGCTGATCAGGTGTTTGACTTTGTACAAGAGATGGGAGACTTAAAACTGACCCACTAACAAGGGTTGGTGTCACCCTATACAACTCTTCCTTAGTCTTGATCTGTGATGCAAAGACTTGGTCCCCCAAAAAAAGAGGAAAAACTGTTTCGGATACTGGACTATCTTTATGCGCTGATCAGGTATTTGACTTTGTACAAGAGATGGGTGACTTAAAACTGACCCACTAACAAGGGTCAGTGTTGCCCTATACAAGTCTTCCTTAGTCTTAATCTGTGATGCAAAGACTGGGTCCCCAAAAAATAGGATAAACTGTTTTGGACATTGGACTGTCTTTATGCGCTGATCAGGTGTTTGACTTTGTACAAGAGGTGGGTGACTGAAAGCTGGCCTGCCAAGGAGCTGGTTTTTCCCTTTATCAATAAAGGGCAAAATTACTGAGCGCTGATTGGTTGAGAGAGAGGGCATTTTTTTCTTAATCGAGGGCATTTTTAGTAATCAAGAGAGGGAAATAATGATTGGCATCCGTTGCATAGCAACCGTTCGTTATCTTGAAATTTGTTATCAAGTTTTTGTTGCAACAATGGCTTGTCGTTTTATTGAAGCGGACGACGAATTAATTGAACTTTTGAAATGCGAAAGTGAAAACAAAAACACAAAACTGTGTTTTGTTCAGTTAAAAGCACTTTGTTGTTTTTCTGTTGGCAGAAACCCTGTTAATCTGATTGGCTCATTGAATCGATTGGATCAATTTATTAAAAGGCTTCCCAGATAAAAATAGACTGCGCGCGTGATTATCCTTCGTATAAATTTTGCCCTTTATTGATTTTTTTCCCAGCCAATGAGGCTCTAATTGGATCAATTTATTAACGAATCGCACCATTTTTTTCCCAGCCAATGAGGAGGCTTCACTAAAAACAAAACAGCCAATTAGATTTCAAGGCTTGTTTAAAGTAACCGATCAAATTGCAGGAAAGTGAAAGACAAAGAGTATCATGTGGCAAATTTTGCAACTTTTGTTTCCAAAACTCTTATTTTTCCCCCTAAAAAATGGATGAATTTAATTTCAAATCAGCTCAGTACTACATCAATAAAATATTTGAACTGACCAAATCCTGAATTTGGGCGATTTCAAAATGGATGTAATGAAGTGGTAATTGAACCTCGTGTCATGCAATTTTGGTTTGAAATCACGCGTATGATTTCAGCCCAAATTGCACTCCACTCAGTTCAATTACCATTATATACAACTCTTCTTTAGTCTTGATCTGTAATGCAAAGACTTAGTCACAAAAGAGAGGATAAACTGTTTCGAACACTGGATTGTCTTTATGCTCTGATCAGGTGTTTAACTTTGTATTAGAGATAGGTGAAATTATGAAATTATGAAATCTCTGAAAGTATTTGAAGAGACTTAATTTCTGCTTTATACATTGAAAGTTTATTAATAAACTGGAGGAGTAATGTTTTTTGATTTCTGTATCTTTTAATCCTGATACAGGACAAAAGCAAGAGTGGGGACAATTTTGTCTTAGAGTTTAGTTGATTATTGGACCATGATCGGCTCCATGAAGTGTTCAAGGCAAGTGTTTTGTTATTATTAGGATGCATCAATTTAGACTAAAGGACATAAAATAGAAGAACATTTTAGGTATGTTGCAAGGCTGGGCTTTTTACAGCACGGGACCCTCCTATCAGAATTTACCTTCTAGTTAGGGTAGTGTATAAAGACAATGGCATTTTTTCAGAGCTCTATCCTAGTGCTGCGAGTTCTGTTTACGGCTCGAGCGCAATTCTTCCAGAAAATCTTAACAACAAAATCTCATACAAGCGGAGCTAAACACGCAACTTACGACCAACTAATGTAATAAAACATTTAGAAGCTTTTGCGGGGGGGGAGGGGGGGGAGGGGGGGTTAACAGGGGTACAAATAACCTAATACGCGCTAAGTGAAAATTAAGTTTTCAGAAGAAAGAAAGAATTTGGTTCTCTGGCTTACCTAAGAGTTAAAGCGAAGTTCAAAAAAAGGACTATACGGGACGGAAATGTTACATTCCTTACCCATGAATGCGAACCTTGTGTGAAAATTGTAAATTGATCACAAAATCGAATAAATACAAGGCGAAAAATATTTTTTTACCGATAAATATCACAGTTTTGAATAAAATCGTGGCAGCATAATTCAGGATTGAAATATAGAAATCTCATGCATTTCGTCTCTTTTTAAACTTAGCAGTTAATTTTCCAAGCAGCTAATCCTTTTTATTTTAAACGTACAAAGCAATCCACCCGACTCACTGCTCTACTTTATCGCCAAATTAAAGTGCGAAGTTAAATTCAAAACCTACAAGAAATACTCTCCCAGTCTGTCTTTAGTTACCAAACTTTTGCAGCGCTTTCCGGCAATCATGGCATCCGAAACGTTCGTTCTTATGAGCTTCTACATCCTTCAAGCAAGCAAGCCAACGTAAGCTTTTTTTAAGGAAACTATTGGCTAAACCTCTGATTCCATATTAAAGCGAAATACATCCGCGTTTCGAATGGTCGCCTTATAAAGCATAGCGTTCCCAGTTACAAACATTCTATGAGAGTTTAGACGCTTCCTGTTTGTATGCCTCTGATTGAGCCTCTATGATTAAAAGTCAATGAGTCTTTGTTACTCGCTTAAGTTCTAAGTCTCCTTAGCTGTCTCTTCAGGTAGATTGGTATAACTCGGGTAGTCAATTTGTTTGGAGGCGAATAATTTTACTTCAATTTACTTCCATTTCTTTATTGATGACATTACTTGGGAGCTAAGGCAACTTTAGTGGTTGGTGAAACACAAGGCGGTTTTGTACGCTGATTGAATCAAGTTTGCTCCCTGGCGAAAGTCGTGAGCGAATTTCGCCACTACATGATTCCCGCATACTCGACAGCTTAATTTTGATCGCGGTGATATGGCATTGAAATTTTGTTCCTGTTTGCAAACGAAGGCGTTTTCCGTGTACGAAATAGTATGAAAACATTGCGGCATAGGCAACATTGCGTATCGATGAATGTGGAAAATACTGGAAGCAGAACTCAGGCGGATCAATTATTGGATATCTGGTATGCGATGAGTTTATAGAATCACCCATTGTGTCTCTTGGAGTAGATAAAGAGTAATAGATAGAACCAAGGTGAATTGTAGGTTGGTCAATGATCAGCAGAGATTTGATTTTTTGATTGCATGTCTTCATATTCCATTGAAGCTTGTCGTAATTTTCATTACAAGAATAAAATACCTCCTCAATCATTGCACTTAATGCTTAATTCATTCCTCTAACAAAAGACAACGAGGTACTTCCCATAAGGTTTTTTCAACTTTTTTCCATTAATGGATGGTATTTATTAATATATAAATCGTCATGGTATTTTGAATCTTGTTTCTGTGGGGCACAGAAATGCCTTTGATTTGTACGAGAAGACCAAAACAGGTTTCCAAAAAAAATCGTGTAGGTTAAATTGTAATATACCACTCGGCGCCTATTTTTTTTTCTACTTTCAACATAACCAAAACGGGGCATATGATTTAATTCAAGATAGCAGCCGTCTTTCGCCTCTGAAAGTATGTTTTTGATGGATAAGATGCCTTGGGAAGATCGGGCTTTTTATCTCCTTTTTTTTCGTACTCGAGGCAGTTTTATGTCTCCTAAAAACGGCAGGTAGTTATTTGGTCTTTCGATCGACTTAATACGAAATGCACCAAAGCTTTTTATGTCAATTCTTCAGGTTTGATCTGAAAATAGTTTTAATTTTCAACTTTAAATTTTTCGATCTTTTAGTTGTATCTTAAATATTTCGGATTATTTGAAAAAATAATTAAAATGAATAAACTTTTAGAACTGCCAAAATATTTCTTTATTTTCCAGAATTGACTGTGTCGTTCAAGGGTGAAAAAAAGATATTTAACCAGAACTAGAAGTTTTTAAGTGTTTTTCGTTTCCCTGATCTGTTAGATGCAGGAAAAAAAGAATTAGGTAAAGATTTTACTTCAGATAATCGTTGTGGCGTAGTTGAACGAGAACTGGTGTAATTCTATTATGATGGTCCAGAGTTGACTGTGAACAGTCAATTCTGGATCAGTAAATTATTAAGACTGCCAATTTGTAGGTAAATAATTATCGCCTACCTTTCCTCTTACAGCAACCCCAAAGAGAGGGTGAAGAAAGACGGGAATACTTTTCATTCTGGTGAGTGTAGCTTTGTAGTTCACTTGAACGAAAACTTGTACAACGTTTGTGGTAATTTTTCATGGTCTTTTGACAGGGAAAATTTGTGTCGTTCTTGTTATGAAGGCTTATTTAGGACGCATACGGATTCATTTTATGTTCTGAATTTAAAAATTTTTCAAGTGTACGAGTATAATATTTGTGGCATAGTTGAACAGATGCTTGTGGAGGTTCGTCTAAGTCTTTTGGGGAGAAAAGTTCGTTTTTCGGTAACGTTTTTATGGCTTAAATTCTTGGTCTTAATTTTATTTCCCTGTTATGCAGGTTTCTTCGACCACCCAAAGCTGGATACCGAGGAACGCGATCACCTTAAAGCACGAGACTAGAGACAAATATCAGTCTTGGAAAGAAAACAATTGGATCGACCCCCCAATTCAGAGAATAAAATAACAAATTGGGGGTCGATCCGTCCACCATCCCCCACCAAATCCGCCTCGATGAGACACTTAGTATCAGTTATCTAGCTTGGGAAGAAACCAAAAGCGGTTCCCCGTCCACCACCCCTCTCAAACTTGCCACTTTTAGTCAGTTTTTGTAACTCTTAATAGAGGTCATCTACCCTGTGGTTCAAACATCTTTTAATACACTACAGTATAGTGTTACAATAGAAATTTTAATAGATGTTTCTATAGGAATATTACAATCTTTTTTTTGAAATCTTATAATACAGTAATATTACAGAATATTGATATACTCTTTTTTCACCCATCCGACCTCCCCCGCCACGCCCACCTCCGGCAGAAACTTTTGTTTAATTGTTTCCAAAAGATGTCTACCTTGTGGTACAAACATTTATTTAAAAGGCATGCGTTTTGTCAAACCAAATGTCTGTCTTAATACACATGCGTATTACAAGCTGTTGTTACCACAAGGTACACAGCTTTAACTTCTTGTCCGATGGAGTGTGTGGACGGGGAAGATGGCGTATCGACCTCAACTTGTGTTTTCTGAAGGTTGACATTTTTCTCTGGACTCTTGCTTTTCTTCTTGTCAATCTGAAGTAAATTGAAAATCATTGATGAATAAATAAGCTGTCAAGAGAAAATTAAAATTACAACGTACAATGGAATGAGCTTTTTCTCTGTGTCATTATTTACCCAATCATCGTATTTCATAGAAATAAAATGGCAGCAAATTATCAACAACATTAACTACAAGAGAGGACAGTAAAAGTCTATGAGCATAACAGAAAGGAAAAAGCAATGACAAGAAAACTGAGGACATAGAAAAACAACAGACCAAGTGCTGTCATTGCATTTGAGAATTTGGATAACACTTCAATCCCTCGGGTAGCATGGAATTTAATTTTTGCATGGAATTTGCATGATACATGATCATGTAAAAAAGAATTTATGTTTTCTTCAGAATTTCGCTAAAGGGTAGATTTAGTTACCGCCTCTAAAGGCGCCACACCTCATCTTCAGCATAAGATGTGTAATTAGCGTTTAGTTTCAATGTAAACGTGACTGAGTAGTTCCCTTCCACAGACCACGTAAATTTTGGCGATTTAACGTTGTTGTTTTGCAGAGGACAGCTAAGAAATGTATACAATTTTATCAGCACGTGTTGAGCAATTGATGCGCTCACTAAAATTTTTTCTTTGGCCACGTCCTTGTTGCCCATAGTAACGAACTATATTCTAACAACTGTATGACAATTCGTTTTACTGGAAAACATTTTTTACTTAAATGCGCGCGTTTTCAAACTGTTCTCGATCGTTTCATTTAGCCCCATATACTCTGATTTGACTTCCTATATTCTAGATTCCTTACAGTACTCCATCTACGTTTTGAGGGTTAATTGAATGATAACCTGTCTAACGTACACGACTCCTAACCACCCCCCTCCCCCACAAATTCACTCGGTAGAGCCGATAGTGTTAGAATAAATCTCGCGTACTAAAGGCCACATCTCGTTTTTTTTTTTTGGTATAGAAATGTGCGAAGATGAGATTAAATACATAGAATCAAACTCAAGTGAGAACATACAGTGCCACTTTTAAGTGGCACTGTAATAATACTATTAAAATACCTGTTTGTGACTTGCACTTGAAAGAAATATACGACCTTGTTATGTGAAGTTGTAGTCTTAATGTGACTTGGGCGTGGCTTCCTTTGTTTGCGTCAGAAGGACCTGAAAACAGAAACAGTTTGGATACAGTTTGAGTTATTGGGCTTATTTTTATTTGATTTTAAGACTTGTAATAAAGTGTGAAACTACTAGAAGAAGAAGAAGAAGAAGAAGAAGAAGAAGAAGAAGAAGAAGAACCTTTATTGACTTATACCGCTCAGGGTAGCCCCTTCAGATGCAAAAAGCTGTCTGTTATCAATGGGAGCCCTGAGCCCAACAATGTACTAAAACTATGGTATACATATGCATTACACTGATACTGATAGCATTATAGATAGAAAACTATGTACAAATAAAAAATTTAGAAGTAAATAAATACGCAATACCATCAAGGTAGTTCGTTAAAAAGAGTGCACCCATAGTAACAGAAAGATCGTTTTGCGATCTCAGTCCTCACAGCAGGCGGATGTAAAAGGTTGCTTCGTCTAGTGGCGCGGGCGTAAATTGTATTATTACGTTTAAAATATTCTTTAAAATATTGCGGACATTGACCTTGCAGGCATTTCTTAACGAAAAAACAGTTTTACGACGGTGCTCCTCCAGCGTGGGCCATTTCAAAACGTCCATTGCCGGGTTGCTGCGCACAGTTCTTGCAACTATTCTGGCAGCCCGGTTTTGGAGAGCTTCAAGGCCATGTTTGTGACCTTCCCCGCAGTAGCCCCTCACACTTACACAGTATTCTAATATTGTCCTAATTAGACTACAATAAACTATATTTGCACTCTCTCTAATGACGCTTCTACGAAGCCTGCCGAGCATTCCTACGCGTTTTCTCGCCTTCGAAATAAGCTGCTTTATTTGCTGAATGCTTGAAATACTGCTGAATGCTTGAAATACTGCTGAATGCTTGAAATACTGCTGAATGCTTGAAATACTGCTATAGTCAGCCCTTGAACAAAAACACGTAGAGAGAGAGAAAAAGGAGACAGTTGCCAAGTTTCGACAATTTACTTTCACAACAACCCCAATGAAGCAGTATTCCGATGGTGCATCTGAATCAAGTGATACAGTGGTACGCATTTTCCTTTAAATTGAAAGAGGCATGGACATTTTTTCTTATCAATGATTGCCCTTTTTAGTTTCACAGACCACCCCAAAAGTGAAAAACAATGTTGATCCTTTGAGACAGAAATAGGCAAATGGAAAGGCAATAAATCAATTGAAAGGCTCAGAGCAAGAACGATCCCTTGATTTTTCGGCCATTTTTGAAAGTGTTCAGAAGTAGTTGTCAACTACTTCTGAACACTTTCAAAAATGGCCGAAAAATCAAGGGATCGTTCTTGCTCTGAGCCCTCCAATTAAAAACCCTAGTGTATGTACAGGTAGGTTCGGTCTGTAATCATTCAACATTTCTGAATAAGTCAATTTATCACTCTCTCAGTAACTCACTATGTTATAAATTCAGTTGATCAGTCAACCAGCCTGCCACCTAGCCTGTCAGTCAGTCAGTCAGTCAGTCAGTCAGTCAGCCAATCAGTCAGCCAGTCAGCCAATCAGTCAGTCAGTCAGTTAGTCGGTCAGCCAGTCAGCCAATCAGTCAGCCAGTCAGCCAGTCAGCCAGTCATTCAGCCAATCAGTCAGCCAGTCAGTCAGTCAGTCAGTCAGTCTGTCAACCGGGCAGCCAGTCAGTCAGTTGGTCATCCAGCCAGCCAACCAGCCAATTTACCAGTCAGTCAGTCTGTCAGACAGTCAGCCAGTCTGTCAATCAGACAGTCAGTCTGCCAGTCAGTCTGTCAGTCATTACATCTATTGTGGTGAAGACAAATGAACTCTTAAATCTACATGAGTTCAAAGTAATCCACCTTTGTCACTTCACAGATTAAATAAGTTGACCCAAATGCAGAGGCTGTTACATTTCGAAAAAATATCATTCAACCAACTAACCGTGAGGAGTTGAGACTGTCAAGGAAATGTAAGGAGGTAATTTGTTCAGCAACAAACTGTAACTCAAGGAGCTTTCAGCCACACAGTCACCTCAAGGTCAAAGCTCTACATATGAACATACTGAAACAGTTAAAAGTTAATTTAATATTTAATGGGAGTAAACATAATCATTACAGAATCACACATTCCATGGGCTACTCAATCAATATTCAAATGATGCTGTGGGAGAGGATGTGGGGAAAATGTATTTCTGCTAGTGCTACGTTGTAAAATGTGGTAAGTAGTAAAAAGCTGAAGCTAGCAGCTCAACATTCCAACACTTTACTGTTGAAAGGCATCCCTTTGTGCAAGAAAGGGTGTCCTTCACTTTTATGTGTAAAAATGAAATCAAACTGTTGAACAATCACCAATTTTTCTTTTTCCCAGTTACTGATAAATCTCCAGTCTAAAAATCTACTCAATATGGTGGTTATCCAGAGATAACTATAATCCAAACACAGCTTTGATCACTTACCAAATCTTATCCAAAATTCTCATTGTTAGAGACTTGTCTTTATTCTTCCCTATGTACCTGCCTGTAAAATAAAAATTATTCTTGGAGTGGCAATCCTTCTGACTGTTGACAATTTATACACAGTGTACCACTTTTTCATCATAATATGAAAATGGCCCCCTCTATTTATTTTATCTGAACTTCTTACTACCCTTAGAAGTAAAACTATACTTGGAAGACAAAATAACAATATTGGTGAAAAAAAGGCAAGACATTGAAATTTTTTAGTTAACAGCATGACTAGTAGTGGTATTTGGCAGTGATACTACCAGGACAGAGCTGAATAACATATATGCACAGAATTAATCAATCAATATAGCATTACATTACATTAATTTTGCTCAACCTACACAAAATGCATTTTCCTAATTGAAATACATCAGTTTGTAGCTAAATTTCAGCAAGTGTGCAAGGATACCTAACTATTGTGTGAAAAATATATTTTGCATCCCTGTTGAACAACAGACTGTGACAAAAGTTTTAAGCTTAACCTCTTTGCTTAAGGAACAACCATGCTCCTTTTAAATTTTTCACAAATTCTATGAGACTACATATAGTGTTGTTATTGCTTCAAATGTGAGCCCACCAAAGTCCCAATATGTGCAAATGTTTTACAGCTTTGTCTACTGCAAGAAGACAAATATTTCAAAATCATCCAAAATAGTGTAACTAGTGATGTAGAAAATTTCATCAGACCACCTAACTGCACCAGAGTCAACTACAGTGCACCTCAAAGATAAGGGGACCAAATCATGCACATCAAATTTGTATAGAACAAGTCTCAGACCAGACACAGACTAGTTTTGGCAGCCAAACCATACCTGTCTACTCTGAGGTGTCTACTTAAAGATTGTATTTGCAGTAAAAACAGTTGGTTAAACTGCACCAGATATCTGTCAATTGTTTCTTATGGTTGTGTTTGTTTTTTTACCCCTGTAGTCTTGTTAACTTTACACAGTTTTTGCTTACCAACAAATTTCATCAAGATTTGCTCATCAAATAACACAGCACCACTAATTTCTTTTAAGACATCTATCATTGTATGCCTAACAATCCAATATATAATTTTCTCAGTGTTTGCTTGCAATTGTCAATTCATTCAAACTTATTTTCCCATTGCTTCTTGTCTGTGCCATGTGCTCAAAATAAAAACAAAAAAGATAAAACTTTCTCTTCTAACAAAAATTACATAGATTTAAGCAGCTTATCAAGGAAACTTTGAATGAGCAAACTGCTTTCATTACAGTTCTTGCTGTAATGCTACAAGAGTCAAAATGGCAATTTTTTAGATACTAGTGTCCAATTTTTATTTTAGACACTGAGATGCTAGAGTGCAATTGTTGATTTTGGACACAAACATCTAATTTAAGATTTTAGACACTTGTGTCTAATTTTTAATTTCACACAATACTAACCAATTTTTTATTTTGGACACTAGAGCCCAATTTTTTATTTTTGACACTTCTGTCCAATTTTGCTATTGGACACTAGTGTCTGTTCAGTAAAAGATCAAAGATGATGTCAAAATGTGGTAAGAGAAAAAGAGTAGCACACAAGGCCCAGCCACTTGTTCCTTCTACATTTAACATCTCCTGTGATCTATAACAGAACAGACGAATGGCAACATGGAATATAATTGTTTTATATCTTAAAAAAGCAAATTTTTGTTGGTTGCAGTGTCATCTTTGCATCTATCCTCAAATAGAACATAGATAAGAACCAGTCAAAATGTGTGTAAAATTCAACTTATCATATAAATACAAATAGATTAGAATCACATCATGTCAGAAAGTGCAGTGTATTTGTGATAAATGCATCGCACAATTTCTGCGTCAGTAGCTATTTCAATTGATAAACAAATATCAAGCTCTTTCCAGGCCTCATCTCATGTCGGACTGAGGCCTGAAAAGAGCTTATCTTTACCACTAAGGAATGGGCCAAAAAGATCGTGATAGACTACCTCAGGGAGGTGAGGTAATTACGATCATGTTTGTTCCTTACCTCTAGCGTGTAGGTGAACAGACCGTCACAGGAGGTCTCCATTTCAGTTTTTCATCCACTGTGACGCCATTTTCCGACCCAAATACCGTCAAACAAGAGCCAAAATGTATTGAAAGGCAACTGTTACTTAAGCTGTTGTTTATACACCTGTCTGGGGAACAGAACGCACAGTTTGCATCCATCGTTTTCAAGGTGTATGCTGCATAACAGAACAACACAGTCACTTTGTAAAATCCTTCGTGTAGGCTGTATTCTTCTGTCACCATATAGCCATTTTGTGGAACGTTTATGTAAGACGTATCATTGTGTAACAGTAGCTACAACTTTCTACAGTAAGTACAACTATCTACACTACCTACAGCGGGTACAACTATTTAAACTGTCTACATTAGGCACAGCTATCTACACTGTGTATAGTAGGTACAACTATCTACACTGTCTACAGTAGTTACAGTTATCTACACTGTCTATGGTAAGTACAGCTATCTACACTGTCTACTGTAGGTGCAATTATTTATACTGTCTACAGTAGGGACATCTATCTACACTGTCTACAGTAGGTACAGCTATCTACACTGTCTACAGTAGGTACAACTATTTACACTGTCCAGAATAGGTACAACTATCTACACTGTCTACAGTAGGTACAATTATCTACACTGTCTACAGTAGGTACAACTATCTACAGAGTGCAATAGGTACAGCTATCTACACTGTTTACAGGAGGTATAACTATCTACACAGTGTACAGTAGGTAGAGCTATCTACACTGTCTACAGTAAGTAAAACTATCCACACTGCCTATATTAGGTACAGCTATTTACACTGTCTACAGTAGGTACAACTATCTACCCTATCTATTACCTGTGACGACGTCGGATGATGTTTGATGACAATGAATATTGTAGACATGATCATTTTTGAGACAAAGTCACTAGGACTACTCGATATCAATCGCTGAGATTGACAAGGATTATTTTTTTCGTATAAGTGCTAAGGTGATTATCCGAGAAACTGCATTCCTTTCGTCTTACATGTTTCTTCATTAAAGACATTCAGTTCTCAGTTCTCGATATCGCACTGGACATGCAACGTACATTTGACCAGTCAGAACGCGTGCACCTCTATAATCATCTGAGCAAGTGAGTTTCATACAGAGAGTTCAGTTTGGCTCCTCGAGTCTTCTTTGCATGGCCTTCTTGGGCCTCAATCGTCACAAACGAATCGAACATCCAGCCAGAAAATAATGTTGATCAAATAATATCGACACATTGTGAGTGTTCGTTTAGTTTTATTCTCAAGGAGAACGAAAATGTGATTACGTAGGGAAATGAGTAACAAAATGGTCAAGAGAAAACGTGAAAGCCAATAGATCAGAAAAAAATCTCAGAAAAAGAAGGGAACAAATAACCTGGAAACAAACGATCCCATCTGCGCTTCCTTCTCACTCGAGACAAGTAAAGGAAGCCGATAGGTAGTGGGGAACATGACGGAAAACGCTCCACATAAAACAAAACTGAGATGTCTAGGACGAAGGAAAGGGAAAGTGAATACATGATGATTCACAATTAAAACAAAGGGACATGAGATGTCCGAAGAAGACGAAGGTTACAGGGAACTCAAGTGAAAGACGGCAAGACACGAAAAGGAAATAATAAAAACAAAGCTAAGGGGACTAAGAACTCAACAAATGTTCAATTACTATTCTTGTAAAAAAAAATTATCACAATTCCAGACTTTTATACAATAAAAATATGATCTCTAAAAATAAATTAGTTATAAATATTCTAAACCGCTTAAAATACGTTCGTATATCCCTTTTTTCGATTTCATTCATCAAACAATTGCTGAACAATATTAATTCTGCTAAGAAGAGGTGTTTCCACATCTTACGTTTCAATCGTGAACACGTCCGTTCCAATGAATTCCTTTGACTGACACGACATCAGTAAGTCTATAAAATTCAGCGTCTCGATGGCATTTTTAACACACTTTTCTCAAAATCTTTTCTGGGAAAGCAATTCTTTTCTTCACAAGCCTTCTCATTTAAAAACTGCGGCGGCACTTTTGGGCGCATATTTCTATGCCTACGAAAATCTCAGCTGAAGGCCTTTGCAAAATGGGCGCGTCTTTGGCAAGTTCCCTCGTTAGGAAAGTGTTGTTGGGACACTGAAGTTCACTAAGAAATTTGCCAACGTATTTTTGGCTGTAGAACTTTCGCTGCTTTCTGTGGAGAATCTGGCTCACAAAAGTTTAATCCTCCGTAGGAATGTTCACATCAACTCCAAACTGTCGAGACATCTGCCTTAACTGTCGCTCGTACAGCACGTTCCTTTCAACAGCCTTTTGGTAATTGTACTTCAAGTCTTCGATCTCTTCGAAAAAAGCGGGATCAAAGGCCTCGAGTTCTTTTCGTAGCTGAAAAAAGTGATATAGTTAACCACTTATACATATTTGTATCAAAATACACGATTCTCCCGATGCGCCTTACAAATAACTATGACCCAGACCTTTAATTAAAACTCCAACTTTGGGGAAATTGGGAACAAAGAAAATAATCATGGATGTCTCGAATATTCCACCTGCGAGTTACCTTGAACCCTCTCTATCAAAGCAAGGCTGGGGTAAAACAATTCGTCGAGACGAGATCATTTTGGATGTGAATGAATGTAACTTTGGTATGAAAGAATGAGAAAAAAGAATCCATTTCGGAACAAGAATAATGTGTATTCGGAAATGTGCTAATTAGGCGGTTAAGGAGAACTGCATTTTGAGGTTCTATTCAATTTAGAATGCATAGGCGCGCACTAGCTTTTCGCCATGAAATTAAAATAGCGCTAGAAGTTGAAAACTTCAAAGTCCAATCGATAAATGGTTCGACACACCCCACTTTTCCTAAACGACGATGGCACAAATCTGATTTTCAAAGCTCCGACAATTGAGAACCCAACCTTTCAAGGTGACAAGACTCAATATACTATGGCACAGGGTAAATGCCTCGTCCTATCTATCTCGTGTAGGTTGAGTAGATACAAATTAACTGCCTCAGACAAACCTTGGAGACTTCATGCGACGTTCGATCGCGCTCCAACTCTACAGTTTTCAATCTCGTTCTACAAAGAAAATCAGAAAGTTATCACTGTTAATGTATTTGATACGAAAACTGCTACAGTAGCAAAAAGATTTGTTAAGTTGTATATCCTTAATTTGACATTTAGGAAAATGTGTTGAAGAAAAATCTCAAATAGTTACCTCAGTTCCACGTCCTCGGCCATCATTCTGTCGTAGTTTCGTAATTTCTCTAGAACTTCTTCATTATCCTAGAACGTCAAGAGAAGAATGCCACGTTTTAAGAAACAGTACACTGGTCGTGTAAAGTACCCATCTTTTAGACTGCTTACTGACCTTCAAAATCAACGCTCAGAGCAACTAAGTCCTTTTTAAAGCGAACAGGCTGTGCTGGTGTCAGTCACCCTCATGGATTTATATCATTCTTAGTTAAAACGTTCTTTCAATAACTGAAGTCATAGTTACTTTCGGTAAGTTGCTTCCAACGATCGACAACCCGAGAGAAAATCCTTCTACATGGAAAATCTAATAGTAAAGTTTCTTAAACTACCAAGAAGACACAACTTACCAAGTCACGTGGTAGATCACCTGCCTGTCCCATCTTTCTGAGTTGCCGTACCTCGTGTAAAATTTCTTCTTTCTCTGACTCGAGAGATGCCAACCGCAACCTAGACAACAACGACTAAATAAACGATCTAACAAGTAAAATTAAATTTTTACAGGATAATTTTCAGAACAAGCAGTCACAATGACAATAACGACCAAGGCGACGAGAGAGAAAACGATAAGAACAACAATAAATAGGCAGCCTAAGGCTTCACGCGTGGTATAGCATGGTAACAGAGGCTAGTTACCCGTCTACAAAATGCTAGGTACGATTTCTGCAAAACAAACTCCACCAATGCGTAGTCTGAGCTGCAATCATTCCAATTTTTTTTCAAAGTTTCCAGAAAGATAAAACGTAACGTTACCTTGTCTGTTGAAGTTCTTTGACCAGATCACTGTCACCTTTAATATTTGCGGGAAACCGCTCCAAAATTGTAACCTACAAAAAAAAAAGGAATTAATGTTCCCAATAAAATGAAAACCAAACACAGGTAAAATTAGCAGTCAGGATCAGTTGTTTAAACTATGGTACATAGCATCACGGCTATTACTTAAATAGCACCTACATTTATATCGAGAAACGGGCATAATGAGCGAACACTAGTGAAACTAGCTCAGGTTCTTTTAACAAAACCCCTACAAAACCCCTACATACATACTGTCCGCTTTCGTAACATCTGCCTCTAGTTATTTTGGTGTTCCAAAAGATAACCACTGGGGGTCTGCACCAACCTACACATCCGAGTCTCTTTTAATGAGTGTTCTATCGACACAAAATTAATAACAAACCTTTTCCTCAAGTTCTTGCTGTTTCTTCATTAACTCAGTTTCTCTGTTTGCAGCTGCTTTCAAGTACGTCTTGATATCTTTCAACAGATTTGTCTGAGGAAAATAAACATGGTCAGGTGTTCTGAAAAACCTTGTCATTTCCCTTCCTCTCTGCCTTTCTCTCCACTTACCTTATCAGTGCTATTCAGGCAAGAGATGGGTGGGGAGGTGGAGGGCAAAATGATACCCACAGAGGAACCAACATTCACAGATAGGGCCACTCCATTATCCACCGAAAAGGGGATGAGAATAGACAAACTTGGGATTGAGAGCGTTTTTTGGATAACTGGATATAATAAACAACGTCTCTCGACTGATTTAAAAGGAAAAATGTAGCAGGTAGATTGGCGAATTACTGATCGGATGTTAGGACAAAGATGTTCAAAATATAGCTGTATATCAATACCTCAGGAAGCTTCTAGGCACATTTGAGGACAGGCTTACCTTTTTCTCCAGTTCTGCCTCTAGTTTTTGCATCTTCTCTTCGTATATCTTTGGTAAAACGACTGATTTCCATTCTTTACTATCAAGTCCATCCATGTTTGAGGCGGAAAGTCTTTGATGTAACTAATGATACAGAACGTATTCCAAAATAGATTTTCATATCACACCAATGGCAAATGGTAAGGAAAAACAGAGATACGTGTTGTGAGAAAAGGAAACTAGTTTTTATCGATATTGTCCTGAGTGTAGCAACAAGGTGATTCTATGCGCTTCTTAGTGGATTGAAATTTCCCAAACACACAATAAATCAAGCCCAAAGTTTTGTTACCTGTTCTAATTCTTTCACAAGCTCTTCTTTTCTCTGTTCCAGATTAGCGTTTGCTGTTTTTAACTTTTCTACCTTCTCCATTTCCTGTGAGGAAAAGGACAGCAAATCAAACAAAGGACTAGACATTCGCGAGAACTGTTCTGCAAACTCAATGACCAAGTTTCAATGTACCTTTTTTAAATCTTTAAGTAGTTTCTCGTTCTCAGTCACCAGTCTAGCTGTATTTCCCTCACTACTACCTCCACGGGAGGACTGGGTCTTCTCGCTAACTTTTGCCTTCTCCAACTCATGCTGGTATAGCAGACAGAAAAATGCATTTAAGTAAAGATGTAGAGCAAGAAAAGTGGACAATTAATGGGGTGTAAACATATCCATACTCTTGAGAAGGTGCTCGAGCGTCTATGCACCATGCGTGAAGTTGAGATTGGGGAGTGGAAAAGAGAGAAATACCAACGACAAAGTGGATTTACCTTCCTCCAATAGGTGGGTCCTTAATGGGAAGGCCAAAACAACAAAAGGGGAATACAGTGACCAAAAAGAAAGGCTCCTGAGAATTTCGATATTGGTTGGAGAAAAAGCTAACTACCTCCGCTTACAGAGTTGTTCCATTCCATTTCCTTTTTAGTCATCAAATAAACAAGGACGATCCTATGTATGACCCCTTTGTACCTTACAGAGCAGCACCAAAAACAATAAAAACCAAACAACAACAATCATAACATACAAAAAATGTGACAAAAAAGGTTTTTTTTTGGCACCATTCACTGCCTTCCTGTTATCGTTGTAACTACCTAAAAACTGAAACAGGTGGTTTACCTTGAGCCGTTTATTTTCCTTTAACACTTCACCATACTGAGGGCCTCCTGCTCCAACAGTCTTCTTTAACTGATCATTCTCTCCCTGAAGTCTCTCCACAACTCGTCTCATGGCTGCTATTACTCTCTCCAGATCCTCTACGCTCTGACCACCCATACCAGTGCCCAGACTCTTCTGTCAAATCAAAGTAGTGGTAAGTACACTGTAACCATTGCTGGAGTAGTAAGCTGTTATCTTCTACTGTAGCCGTTTGATTTGTTAGAATACACTTTTTACCTTGCGAGCTTTCTCCCTCTTTTTGCTTGCTTCAAGTTCTGCTTTCAAAATTTCCACATACTCTTGTAAATCTTCTACACGAGCCTTGACAAAAAAAGATCGTAGATAAATACGATTTGAATGTCTAAAATCGGACAAAAAAATGAAAGACACTTTCATTAAGTACTTTTTAAATATAGGTCAAACAATTTATTTGAAGAACGTTGATGGATGAACAAGAACTTCAAGGGAAGAAGTCAAAGTGTGTTGATGAAATATTCGAAGATCGTGTCCATCACAGTGTGCAATTGGCCGGACATATTCAAAATTTGGTCGGGCAATTTCCAAAGATCGACTGTAATTTCCAGCTCTGTTAGCATACATTTATACAGCGAAATATCTATTTAGATACCTTTAGTCGAGGGTTTTCCTTTCGAGCTTGTTCATACTCGAATCTTAATTCCATATTTTCCTGCAAAGGAATGTTACTGTGTTTATGAGTTCTGGCCGGGTACATATTATATGTCACATCAAAATAAAGTGCATCATCAAAGCAATTTTTACATTTCTCCTAAAGCCTTTTTAAGACTGTTGTGTGTGATGTCATAATCCCTAACTAACCTCTTTCGCCTCTAAGAGCTGTTTTTGAAGAGACTGATTTCTCTGATACATTTCACGATACATATCAGCATCAGCATGATCCACTGTACGCTGTCGTTAGGAAAAATAAAGGCATAAAGTTAATTGGCTGTTAAGAGCTTAAAAGGAAAGAGGTCTAACGAGCGCCACGTTAAGCAGGCGTGATGGATATCGTGCAGCCCACGAGTCTACAACCCACCCATGGGTATATCTAAGAGAAGAGCGACTAAGTGAAGAACGACAAAACTGCATTCATTTCCTTAACTGCATTTTTTGTTATTGTAGGCCTTACTACAATTAGCTCAGTTCGGTTTACCTAATTGTAACGATATTTTAGATGGAAACATGAAATCACCATCGTTGGGTTAGAATATAGGAAGTTAGGTTTATCATGATACATCTTATCTAATAATTATAATTACCTGCTCAGCCATTCTGCCAGCAAGGTCTCTCTCTAAATCTTCAATATACTCCACTAGTTGTTTGTTTCGAAGCTCAAGTGCTTCCATTTGTTTGTCATGACCCAGAACTTTCTGACGTCTCAATTCCTGATTCTGTGAAATAAATAAGTAGGTAAACAGAGAACTGAATAAATAAATGAACGAATTAATCACTGAATGAATGAATGAAGAGAGGAAGGAAAGAATGAAAGACAGAAAATGAACGAGTTAGTGCATGTGTGAGTGAGAGCATTAGCGAATGATGAATAGAAGTAAAATTTCACCAATGCCTTGCTTTAGCCCTGCGTCTTTCACAACTTAGCTGAACGCTCATAGATACGTACAAATGGGTAAATAAAGTGACGAGATTCAAGGTCCTTTTACAACAGAAATGAAATCATACTCAACAACGACTTTTGCCCATTTATGGTATTTACACTTCAGGAAATATGAAATTAATTCATGTAGGACCATTTAACTGTGTATTTGATCGTCATTACAATATGTAAAAAAGAACGATACCTCTTCTTCCAGCTTAAAAATATTCTGTCTAAGATCCTGAACAACTTCGTTAGTGACAAGAGCTTGTCCACCTGTTGAAGACTTGGCAGAACTGCAATGAATATAAGTAATGAACGCGTACAATATCAGTTTAGAAGAAATGAAATATCAACGGACCATGACATACCTTTTCAATCTACTGTGAAGTCCTGCCTTGTCCTTCTCAGCCCTGCTTACTGCGTCTCGTAACATACCGATGGTCTTTTCGGCTTTTTCCAGCTCTCGTGTTTTCTCCGCCAGTTTTCCCTTAAGTGTTTCTACTTTTTGTTGCCACTTCTTGTTGTCCTCCCATCGCGCAACTCCTTCAGAGACCACTGCCGCCTGAAACACATGCCGATTAAGAGTAAACAAGAATGGTCCTAGCATTGATGTTCTACCCATGGATAGTACGCTCTTTGCTTATACGTCAAACGCAAGACATTTTAAATCAAGCCTGAGATCTCCACTATCTGCCAGATGGTAGAGATCGAACAGTAACCGAAACGGGTGAAGCTTTACACTAAGCAACAAAACCGTATAAGACTGAGCAAACAACATGCAATACATCGGGGTAACTTGATCAAAGACTCCCGAAACAGTATTATAATTTACACTATCTCAAGTTAATCCCAGCTCTACAGAACAATCTCAAAATGAAAACAAAAATTAAAAAAGTTTTTAGTAGCGGCATATTGACGAAGTAGCTAATAGTCTACTAGTAGTGAGAGGAGTTTTAATTTGGAGTGTAACTTAGAGGAAGCTTCAAACAAACAATCCTTGCGTTCTCACCCTATCTTCCTTAATCACTTCCTCAACAATCGGTTTATCGTCACCAGCTCCTCCTTCAGAGTCCTCAGAGCTCTTCTGTTTGAACTGCTTTATTTTCTCTTGAAGGCTTTTCACTCTCTCTCGTAGTTTTTCACATTCAGCTCGTTCCTGAGCAAGCTATGGAAGGAAAAACGTACCTTTAGAATAAAACTTAAGCTTTCAACTCTTGCGATTCCCCATGAAAATCTGTAAATGCAATATTCCTGCTGACAAGGTAAAAAAAGTGACGAAAGGTGCTACAATTTACTACCAAAGTATTTTAAGAGCTATCGTCGCCACTGACCGTGTTCCTCTCAGTTCTCAATTCTTCCTCTTTTTTCTCCAACTGTTCTTGCACAGTCTCTAACTCCTTCAGTTCACGCCCAAGCTTTAACAGCGCAGAGTCCTTTTTTGAAAGTTCCTAAATGAGGGCAATTAGATTAGGCATCCAGAATGTACTTAAAAATACAATATCCAATATATCAAAACTGTTGTTTATGGGTGATAGTATAGTGACAAGTTTAAAACGACAGTAGAACCCCGCTAACTCGAATTCTATAGAGTCGATTCCCGGTTTGAGTTAGCGGGGGTTCGAGTAAGCTGATAGTAAATGACGGAAAAAATGGGTCAAGGGAAATCGGATTTTGTTCAATTTACCGGGGAGTTCGAGTTAACCGAGTTCAAGTTAGCGGTATTCTACTGTAGCATTGTTTGCGAAACCTGAAAAACATTTTTCTGTCTAAAAAACCTACCACAAGCGCCTAACGCATTTCAGCACAAATGATATATCAAACGGTGCGGTTCTTGAGGACCCCATTACTCCGTTAACTTACCTAACTGCAATATTTTAAGGTCAAAACAGAAATGTCTAAATTTAGGACACATTAATATTTGTACACTACAAAAACAGACTCTTAATTTGCATACAAACCAGACATATTCCTGAGAGGCTACGGCCGAGTAATTTTCAGTTGCACATAAATTCAAATTTAAGCGCGTTATAGATTAACCAATTGAACTGTTTTCATTTCCCCACGGATAACGTTTCAGGGAAAGTTCTCTCATAAAGCGGTGAGGTCGGCAGTGGCTTGGGGAAATCCATTCAAGTTGTTTAGTCTATTAACGTTCCAAACGCGACCTTTACATGTTCTCATTAACCAAGAGCCAAAAAATAAGCCAGCCAGTCAGTCATTCGGTTGGTTGGTTAATCAATGAGCAACGCAAACACTCCCCACATAACTAATTGCCAACAATAACAAAAAGTAACAAAAGACGACATTGACCCTCAACTGTAAGAGCTATTTAGGGAGAGAAACACGCTGAAATTCTGTTTATACCTGCTTCAGTTTGTCCCTTTCCCCTAAAAAGTTCGATTCCTTCTCCTTTTGTTTCCTTAGCTCTTTCTTGAGTTTTTCCATTCTCTCTTGGAGCTCTTCGAGGCGTGCCTTAAAATCATCATAGGAAGATTTTACGATTAATCGATGTATTTTTCCATGAAATTATTGCACCGTATAATATTTTATAAAAAAAGAAATTCAGTCTGTACAGCATACCTGAAGACCAGCAGTTTCTTTCTCCACAATATGTTGTACATTGGCCTGTTGCTCAGCCTTTTTAGCGTGAGCCTGAAGAAAGAAAAAAGTGAAATATGTATCCGGTAAAAGGACGTGGAATAGTCTGTGGTTTGTGCAAATGACTTGCACTGACAAACATATCGACCAAGACGGCAGCTAAAGTTTTACTTGAGGAATTTTGTATTTTCGACATCAGCATCATTAATTTGAAATGTTTAACAATGAAATACCCCCTTTTTTCGGACTTAAGCCAAACGAAAACAAAATTAAAATGGTAAAAAAAAACAAAACAAAACTGCATACTATATTGCTGTTAAAGTGAAAAGGGCTATGAGTCCTTGGCGAGAAATACATGGTCTTGATAATTACCACGCTCCACAGTCATTTACTTTTCAGTCTGTGCCAGCCTCTTAGTCAGCGGTGACATGCGAAAAATGCGAGCAAGCGAAAAATGGCGGGACAGTCTGACGCTGTAGTTTCAGTCAAGCGTCGACTGTGCGCTATTTCGCTCGTCTCTTCTAACCGAGAGCCTACATAAACTACGCTAAACAGGAAAGAAGACATTTAATGGGAATTACTTCACCTGAACATTTTCCTCTGCAGTCGTAACCATGTCAGCTCTGAGCTGCAGGAGAGCTTGACTCAAGGACTTAAAATAAGATCATTATCACATGTCAGTGCACGGAAGCATAAAGAATATATTATATATATATTGTTCTTACGAGAGAGGGTGTATCAGAAAACTCGAACGAAAGGAAAAGTAAACGAACAGTAGTTGTGAATATAATTTAAACAGTGAAAAGGCGGGGAGGTCGCGTGCTTACGCAGCGATGATATAGTTACTTATTTGCGGCCACGGTGATGAGTTCTGGGTAAGTACATATACACCTGTGTATCTGTGAAAGCTTTACATATAGGAACCAGATTTGTTTGTTGTACCAAGATAAAAAATGAAAAGTTGGAACAGGACGGAAAGAACACGTATATGACAATGAAGAAAAAGCAAAGGATATGGAATTCAATTGGGCATCATGAGGGCGGCATAAATACCTTCTGTTGTTTTTCCTTCAATGCCAACTGGTTCCTAAGTCTCTCCACCAAATGTTTCATGGTTTTACTAGGAGCACGCTGGGAGGCTTCCTTTGCTAACTCAAGTTCATCCTTAAGTACCTCGATCTACGCGTAAAATGATAAAATCAACAAATAGTGCAAAGAACATACTCGGAAAAAAGAAATCCGAGTGCTCCCAATAGCATTCGACCCTCCGATTACTACTTCGGTTGCTCTACCTCTGAGCTACAGGAGACTCGTGGTAGGCCAGGCCATTGATTATGGAAATGAAGATAGCAGTATTTAAAAGCCTGGTGATTTAAGAGTTAGGAAGTAATCCTAGGCAAATGATTCGCTAGGTAAGTAGCTTCAAGACTAACCTCCTTACTCTGTTCCATTATTCTGTCATCTCGTTCTAGTTTCTCGTTGTTAAGTCTCGTAATTTCTTTTGAATGATCCTCGTTTTTCCTGGTAAAATAAACAAAAACAAAAACGGGACAGTTCATGCATATTTAGTGAAGAATACGAATTTTGTCCCTTTCATCGCACGGGTTGGATCTTATGAAAAAAGCAATTAGAGCCTGGCCATCTTGGTGGCTTCAGGAGTGCCAAGTACGAAATAAGGAGACTGAAGGTGTAGCTGTTATGAGTGAAAATAACTCGAACAATAAATGAAATAACTGGCCGTAAACTTAGACACATGTTCGAGAAGGAACATGTACTTGAATTGACATGTATGTTAGTGTTTTACCTGGCCATCTGCTGTTTGAGACTGTTTACTTCCTCTTCATGATCCTTTTTCATTTTGCTGATCTCATTTCGTGATTTCTTGTACTTCTCTGCCGCCACGGCCAAGGCATTGTCCTGTTCTGTCACCATTTCCTCCAACTCTGACAAACGTGCCAGCTATTAATGAAATATATAATGTAATAAGTATAAATTTGTAACGTATGGAGATAATCAGTGCTGGTAAAAATCACGTCGCATCCGTTTCGTCGAAAGCAAAAACATCTGAGATTGTCTGTCTAATGTCAGAGTTTACATCATTGGTTCGGTGTTGATTCCAACTCCCATCGGCCGCTAGACTTTTTATTTAATTTGATGAAGATAAATACCATTAGCAGACGGTAACCACACAAACCTGTTTGTGAGAAGGAACTGGAGGACCATCGTCATTCACGGAATCCTGGGAGAAAAAGGAAGAAATGAGAAGAAGAGGTATAAGAATGGTGAATTCGTCAGTTGAGGACGAGGGGTAGTTCCAACACTCTATGTGTAGTGTTAACACTGTTGAGGGTGGAAACTGAGTTATCAAAGCTCTACGATGAAGTAACTGAAGGAGTAACTTAGAAAAGACTCATCTGAACAGATGTAAACAGTAACCAGTGCTCCAACAGCGACTTATCCATGTCATTGACACTACCAAGTGACCAAACTGAACTAATTGACTTTACTGACGGATCGAAATTTACTAATCAAAATCAATATAGAGCTAATACCATTAAGGTAGAATTATTAATTTGACCACAACATTCCATAGACAAATAACTCTTCGCTTCACTGTAATGATGAATTCCACTGGGGATGTCGAAAAGCCAGTTTGGAGGTCACAGATTTACTACATGTACCGTCCGAAAAATGTCACGCTTATTCAGCACCTTTGTCACACAATACGGATACTTTCTGCTTCCTTCACATTATGTTTAAAGGTCGGCAATAGACATCGTATTTACCATGGTATATAAGTAAGCTTATTTTCCCCACTTATTAAAACTTCGTGACGAAGTCTGCTATTGTCAGACAAAACGCGTAAGTGATTAAAACAAGTTTTTACCATTTTCGTGCAGTACTGCTCTGTAGTTTCAATCTTATAACTTTGTTATTCTGTAAACACAATGCACTAATATGTAATAACTTTGATACTAAATCTCGCGTTTACTATCAAGACAAACTTTCCATAATCCAAATAACTCTGTTAAAAACTGACCATGTGGAAAGTCTTCTTCCTTCTAAATGTCTCGTCCGTCTCCAGATGTAACCTGTCTTGTAGGAGCTGAATTTCTGCTTTGTGTTGTTCGTTTTGAGTCTTGGCCTCCTGTATGTTAAACAAACAAACAAACAAACAAACAAACAAGCAAAAGTTCCTCAATCAAACAAGATCATTTATTTTTTGATTATGTGGATGTGAGATGTTTTATGCAAAAACCAAGCTTAAAAGTCTAGAAACCACTGGGCTCCGGTGCATGTGTGGATGCCACGCGTATACTATTCGCGTTCCCGCTGAGCGCCTGTTAAGTAGGATGAGGCCCCAACAGCCTCAGTGGCAGAGCAAGCACACAAGTGCTCGGAGGATCATGGGTAACACCCGTGCTGGATGCACTAAGACTTTCTCTCTCTGACTATGGCGATATCATTCACCGAGTAATAACCGAAAGAAATAATTTTTTCACCACACATTTGTAATTTATTGTCATCTTACCTCTCGTGCTTCTTTTAACATTTCCTGGTATTTAGCCAACGATTCTTCTTTACGAGCCAGCATTTGCTGTGAAATTAAAAAGAAAGAGCAGTTATATATGAAGATGAAGTAAACTCTAATCATTTAGTTGATCCTTAATTGTTACGATTGCAACACCTTGAGAATTTGTTAAGAGTTCAACACAAGTGTGCACGATGGCACCAGTGACAATTAACATTTGAGACAGAATTCTCTTTGAACCAAAACGTTGTATGAGCCTCGTGGTCTCACTTAGGTTTCCTCGCCATACACATCGTTATATCTTACTTAAATTATCATGCGTCCTTATTAATTTTTATCGTGGTGTGGAAAACTAATAAATAAATATTTAGACCAGCGCCATGCGTTATTTTGCCTCGATAAGAAGCCTACGTGCGCAGTAGATTCGGTTTATGCTATGTTGATAAACGTGCGCGACTTTCTTATCCAATCTGATCTAGAAATTACACCAACCGCGACTTGGTCACTCGTGTTTTTCAGAGCACTACAGGTATTTAAAAGGTCTGAGTTCTCATAGGCTCCTTGACATAACTCCTCATGATCTGATTGGAAGTCGTGATTACCTTGACTTTGATTTTACTGAGACTGAATCAACACACAATTTTAATAAAAAGAACGTACCTGAAGACTGGAAACAGTTGCCTGTGCCACTTTCAAGGCCCGTTTTGATTCATAATCCTCCTCTACTAATCCAGCAGCTTTCTTGGCTTCTGCTGTGATCTCCCCGCGCTCTGACAGAGGGAGACGGAGGCGCAGCTCGTTTATCAGCTACAAGAAAATGAAAAGAAAGTAAAGAAATGATTCTCGCAGGTGAGCTACAATTTAACTAATTGCAGACAAGAAGCGTGAAAAAATTCAGGCTTTGATGAGATTCGAACACGTGCCTCCCGGATACTAGTTGGACGAAACTAACCACTGAGCTGCGAAGCCACAAGTTGAGAACAGGACGCATTTCAGAGGGTTTTTCTTTCCCGAGGAGGAATCTGATCATAAGTTTTACTGAATTAAATTTTATTTGACCTGCACATGATAATCAAGAAAAGCAATGATCCTTGTAGGTGAGTTTCAATTTAAAAGCAATTACAGAAACGAAGCCTGACGCGGTAATATTTATTTCATTAAAAATTATAAAATGAAGATGAAGTGTAATTTGTTGCAGTGATTGTACCCTACTCATTGTCCTCTTGAAAAAAAAAACCAAACAAACAAAACAAAAGAATCAATAATAAAAAGTTACAAAACTGTTCCATTCAAACCGAATTCATATTTTCAATATACTTGACCGGTTTTCTTTCTCTGAATGAATTTGTGTACACAAAATTGAATGGTAATCTTTGGGCTGATACTTTAATAAGAAATCAGTCGTAAACAGTTAGTTCATGAGGTTATTTTACTCCTGAATTAACTAATCAAACTACCTTATCTTTCTGGGTGAGCCTTTCTTCTGACTGCTTGAAAGCTTGATCCAGCTCTTCGTATTTCTGCGATTAAGCATTGTTTTTTTTCAATTTGACGTGTGACGACAATATACAAATAGACATGCAATAGACAGCTTTATATACCAACAGAATATATATATCCAAAAGTAATAAAAAAAAACACCATATTCGCCTGATCTACTTAACGCTTTCCACAGTTTTGCACATTCCCCTCTCCACAATCCCTTATTTTCTGGTTTCCTGTTCCTTTTTTTAAGTATTGTTACCTTTTTAAGAGCTCTGCTTTCCTCTCTCGTTCCTACAATAATCCTTATATGCTCCTTTATATTTCTAATCGCCAATTCAAGCTGATTTGCTACTGGAAGATCAGGGTCTGGTATCGAGCCAGTAGCCTCCTCAAACTTAGCAGCTGCGTCTGCTAGTTGTTCCTGTTGTTTTTCTAGCTTGTCAATCGTGCGCTCAAGCTCCACCTCCCTCTGTTCCCATAGCAACTGCCTCTCTTCGTGCTCTTTGGCAAGCTGGACATTTTCATCTTCCAGATCCGAGATGGTGCGTTCCTGAACTTTTGTCATATTTTCCAGGTGTTTCAACTGAAGTAAAGCAAGAAAACGCATGATTGTAATCTAGAAATGAACTAAGGAAGACTGATTTGAGGGAGAACTCAGTTCTCTACAGTTTTTGTATGTGAGTGACCGACCGTCAAACCTAATAGCGCCCAACGAAATAGCATCCAGAGGTCTCCGTTATATTTGAAAGTCTACTTCCAAAACGAGCACTGTTTGCCGGTTAGAAAACCTAACATCGTAATTAACTCCTTTGCTGACACTCAAAAATGCTTTACTGTTCTACACTACAAAACTGTGCAAACATATGTCATCAAACGTAAATTGCAAACAAAGCTTCCATTTCTATTACCTCTTCCTGCAGTCTGGTAATAGCACGGTTCAGTTTAAGGTCCTGCAGTCGTATTTCGCCCATCTTTGCGTGCCATTCAGTGACTTTAGCTGCCCCTTTGCCATCCTTTAACGTACACATCAGTTCCTGTAACCCATCGTGTTGAAGCTTAAGCTCAGCAAGCTTGTCTTCCGCTGCTTCTCTGTCGGTTCTAGCTTTCTTAAGCTCTCCTTCAAGCTTGTGCTTGTCTTCGTGTAACGAACGCATAGTCTCGGCAAACTTTTCCTGAACAGAGAGCAAATTGGAGTGGAGGTTAAGCAGTTCAAATTGTACATTTAAACTGACGAGAAACGACAACCTGTAAGATATGTTTCAACTCCTCTTTCAATACTTTGAACATTAATCTTGGTTAAAGGGAGGAGCACCAGTTCCCATCATCATTTTCAATATTTTCAATGTCTATTTTCCAAACTGACAAGATCCCTTTTTTTACATGCGTCAAAAAATAATAAGCCTAGACAGCGCAAATGGTTTCAGAGAAAAACAGGTGGGCGAAAACAGATCTTTATCCGTTCCGGGGTAGGTCAACGTGTTGTTATATTGACGTAAATGTGCTTAATTACCTGTTTCATCAGTGGCAGAGCTCCGCTGTACTGCCTCCGCAGATCTTGAATGGTTCTCTTAAGGAACTTTGCCTTGTTCCTGGCCTCCGTCTTAGCGTGATACAAAGCCTGGTCTTTTTCATCGATTTTCCGCTCGAGCCGTAACACATGAGCTTCCTGTCTGGACAGCTTCTGCATAGCAGCTTCCAGTTTCCTCACGGCTGTACCTTCACTCACCTGAAGGGCCACGATATGGTGGTGCAGTTTACCTGAAGATCGTCAAACATATCCTTTTAATATTGATAGAACGTCCAAAACAATAATTTTTTAAGACGTATTTTTAATTTAGGATCAAATAAATCCTCTGCTTTACTTTCTTATCCGCTAATACTGTAGTTAAAGATTAACAATTCTCATTCAAAATGTACAGCTGATTGCTTTCATGGATCAAAGAAGACATGTCGTGTTACCCTCCATGTTACTAACTAAGTCGTAAAGTTAATATTTTAGTTACTCCCAAAATAGTTTTAAATTTACATCAAATATTTATACCTATAATGGTCTTGTCATCACTCTCCATCTGCATGTCGTAAAGTTGCTTCCTGAGAGATGTCAGCTCTCTGTCCTGTGACTCCTGCTGCGCTTTGATGGCTTCGGTTTGATGCGAAGCCACTTCCGCCACCTCCTTCAATCGTGACACTTCCACCTTTAGCTTAGATTCGGACTCCTCCAGAGACTGGACACGACGCGTGACAGCCACATGAGTATCCTGTGTGACAGAGTCTAAGCGAAAATACAACCACTTAATTTAAAATGCTGTCTAGTGACGGGGAATGTTATTTGGTAACGGTGAATGGTGTGAAATGTCGGGTGACGACTTTGTATGAGCGGAAATTAAGGTTAATGGCGTCATTAGTCCCGCAAATGTACTTTTGTCTATGTTGGGAACCGCGGTGCCATCAGACTTCGATGAGGGTTGACCTTGAACCTCCTAGATAGCAGTTGGGCGTAACTACGAACTGAGTCACCAGGTCACAAGCTGTGTGACTTCTACAATCAGAGAGACGTCTACATGTCTAAAGTTAACCTTTATGAAAGACATAAAGTGAATAATTACTGGATATTTCGTCCCTAAGCTGCCGCTCAACTCTCTGAGATTCAAGATTCAACTTGCTGATCTGTAAAAAAGAGAGAACTCGTCGTCATCAGATATTAAATTCCGAGATGGCGTTATGAAATGTCTAGGAATGAGACAATTCAGTACACACTGACCTCTGCAAATTTTTGTTCCAACTCTACATTCCTTTCCTCTAGTTGCTTGATAAGAGACTGAACTTGTTCATATTTCCTCGTGGCATGGTCGGCACGCTCTCTCTCATTCAGTTCCTGGTAAAGTTAAGGTTTAGTTGAATCATATATCAACATCGTGATTTACACTTTTCTGGGTGCTTCATCAGTTATCGTGCACCACACAAAGGGATAGATATACAGTCTGGGTTACCAAACACAGCCTGTATGTATCACGATATACCTTCATTTCTAACGTGGCGAGTTTTCTTGATATTCTGTCCATCTCTTCCTGCCGCACAATGCTGGTGTCTCCTCCACCCTCTCCACCCTCTGAAAAAGCAAAATGTTTCATTTTTCTCAGGTGAAATTTGTTTCACCTACCATAGGAGTCAAAGAGAAACATTAAACGCCGCAGTGACTGACAGAAGGCCAATGAAACACATGATTTTCAGCAGGTATCAGTAGGATTCGTATCTAATTGAGGAAAGAGGTTATTGTTTTCTTTTACTATGGAAAGAGCGAGTTTTTATCACCCCTACGATTTCGTTAAGATAGGAGCTACAAATCGACAGCGCTAAATCTTTGTCACCTTTCGATAGCAGTTCATTCACCATCTGCTCTAAACTGTGGTTTCTTTCCTTCAATGAGGTCATCTCCCTCTTCAGATCAGCTTCTCTTTCTTCCAAAGCCTTCAAGTCGGCCTGAAGGAAAAAAAAATCATTAGTAACTTTCAGTGATATGAACAAAGTATTCAGGAGGCTTTCTACATCATAAAACAAGTAGGTCTGATGGGCAAGATCAAGCCATACAATGTCCACTACAGTATGGGTCTTTTGTTTTCAGCGAGAACGGAAGTTTCGCAAGCAAGAGGTATATGTATCAATTTTAAAACGCAGCTTATTGTGGAGTAGCCAACCACACTAAGAGGAGAAACTGATAAATTTAACCACGCATCATTAGTAATAACCACACGGAGACAATTACTTCATTACTCTGATAGATCAAAGCTATGACAAGATCGAAAGGAACCGGCTAGACAAGAAAAGCAGGCTTAACGCTTAATAAATTGCTAGAAGCACTTCATACCTCTAGATTGTCGACTATGGCTGATCGTGCCACGAGGCTGTTTTCCCTTTGTATAACGTCGCGATACTTGGCCGTAAGTTCGTTATACTGTTTGTTCGCTGCCTCTAGTTCTGTTGCAAGAACACTCTCATCTAAAGCTTGCTGTAATACTCCAATCTTGTACGTGGACATTTCCTTAAATATAAGAGAGTTCAACAAAGTATGAAAGTGATTGAAAATACTAAGTCAATATTGTCAGGTTTCAAAGTAATAAAGATGCGTTGTTCAAACTTCATGCACAAGACTACATGCCACGCCACTCTAAATTCTTCTACTATAACAAACGAACAAAATATAGTGTTGGAAATTGAGGAGGATGAAGGTTAAAGACAAAAAGAAACAAAACCCTGAGCATTTCTTACTTTGTGTCTTTGAAGGTAACCCAGTCTCTCGGTAATTGCGGTCTCCATGGCAACAACATCATTTTTGTATCTCTTGTTTTCTTTCCTGAGTGCAGCTTCCACCTCTTGCATGGCCGTGTATCTCCTGCTGAGCGACTTCTCGTTCACTCTCAAAACTGTAACCTTTCTTGTCATTTCTCCAAGTCTCTTTTTCTGCTTGTCCTCGTCTTTTTCCAGGGTATCGAGTAATCTCTGCGGAAAGGAAAGTCCAAAATATCGAACTTCTCCATAAATTCACACAATAAATTAAAGAAATGAAAACAAAAACTGCAAAAAAACGTATGTCTTCAACCAAGAATGTCATTTGAACGAATCAAGGAACTCGACTCAGCACCCACATCACCTAATCTGACCCGGTTTCCTGGTGACTTACCAAGCCCCTATTCCCAGTGGATAGGGGCCTGCTTCCAGCCGCTTTACCCATCAGTCAAACCCGCAATCTCAGGTTTGATTTCAGATACCTTCAAGTAGCGCGCGCAATTCTGAATATATTAATTTGTACGTTGTGGTGAAAACCATCTGGCTACGAACACCATCGAGTAGCGAGGCTCAAAACGCCTGGAATCATCATACTTCGTCTTACGCGTCCCACGGATTTTCTTTGTTTTATATATCTAAGCAGCAGCCCCCATTAAGCGCGAAAATATGAATGGATATTTGTCTCCGGACATGATCTTTTACGGGATGCGAACAGTTCGAGCGAACTCTGAGCTTGGAGGAACAGATCAATTCCAAGGACAAATATTTAGAAAATAAACCCCTTCTGGCGGCTGATATGTCGGCTAATAATCATGTCCGCGGCCAAGATATTTTCCGAAAAAATAAAATGAATATAAGGCCGAGAAGCGAAGCTTCGAGGGAAAAAGGAGAAATTTTAAAGACAATCTTTCAGCCAAGGACATATCAGCCGACATGCCAGCCGCCAGAAGGGTGTTCATTTGTTTTAAAACCCCCCCATTAATTTTCGTATCGGCTAGTTGACAGCTTATTTTATTGACTTTTTTGTACTTTCCGGTGCAGTATTTAAGAACAGATTTAAGAATGTTACTATCACTGGACTCTACAAATCGAGTTCGTTTTTCTTACATGTAAACTAAAAACGATGAAACAGTGCAACTTTTGAACTGGCTTTTTTCCGCTGGCTTTCTTTATTTACGACGGAAATATTCGCTGGACAAATATCGACGCAAACGCGGGTTACTACGTAATAACTGCCCGGTAATTTTGCACCACGTGACGTAAAGGAGCCGATGGAATCGCGCAAAATCTAATAGATGGGTAATAAACGAGCATAATCTCGCACCAAAAGGAGGCCATTGTGTTATTATCAACGCACGGGAAAAATGAGCATAATCTCGCACCAAAAAGAGGCCACTGTGTTATTATCAACACGCGGGAAAAATGTTTACGAACAGCTAACCGTGTTCTTTTCAATGTTGCCTGGCTCGATTAAATGAACAAAAAAACACGTTCCTTCTTCAGTAACAACAATACAACGCTTTCTCATCTTGAATTAAATTTTAGGCGCAGAGTTTTCGGACGTAACGATTAAAAACTGGGGATTATCGTTTGGGGTGTATCCTCGGATATCCCTCAGTTTTAGCTAGGGGATGCTCGGTCACGTCATGCGTTTAGACCAATCGCGCGCGGGCAAAAATATTCAATAGATTATAAGCTCCCTTGTTCATTGAATATGACAAATGCAAAGCAATCAGCGACATGTCGAATTTGGGGTTAAATCCTTACATTTGGTATATCTATAAATATAAAAAGAACTTTTTTATCTTCTACGTAGGGAAGAATAGCAGAATTTAGCAGAAATAGTACCTCGAATTCCATGAGCCTGATTTTATCGTGTTCTCTGGCAAGTTCAGTTGAGGCCTTATCTTCTTCGATCGCTTTCTTCTCCTCCTCCCATTTCTCTTTTTCTTTCATAAAATCAGCATAAAGAAGCCCCTATGAAACAAAACAGAAAAAAGGTGAAGTATAAAAACAGCTCAGATTGTATGAAATAAAAAAGTCACATTGTTGATTTGTTTATTTTACTTGCGCGGAACTCTGGGAGTGAGTTTTCGTGCGCCTCACTCCTCGAGTTACGCATCAACCGCTAGATCAATTTTTTTTATCACTGATGTTTTTCCCCCTTGCGAAGATATTTTGCCGAAAATGAGGTACTGTTCGTAGTCTATGGTTTGCTTTCTTGTTTTTCCTTTTCATCGAGGTACAAAACGCCTAATACCTTCTCCTAAGATTATCAGACCCGTAATATTCTTCCCAGAATAGTTTTGTTCGAGATGTCAGTCAACCAAGCCCAGCCCTCCCTTCCCCGTCACCCTTCCTTAGCATTTGGGAGTTAGGGTTGATGGACTGACCATTCAGGCTGGGAAAACCAGATGGGGAGTTAACCAACCTTTTGGTGAAGAATGACCGAGAATTTCCTCTTGAACATCTCAAGATCCTTCTCCATTTTCTCCAGTAGTTGCTCTTTCAGGGAGACTTCCTTTATAAAATGAATTAAGGAAACATTGTGATTATATTGCATGTAAACTGCCAAGAAGCAAACATAATAGACAAATAAATAAATAAATAAATAATAACTCAGGTTCATGAAAGCACAAATAAATAAAAAATATGAACGCAAGTTCATGAAAGCTGTTGATAAAAGTATTTAAAGCTCTATTTGTCACCTGAAGTACTTGTATAAGATGCTCGTTAAGACTGGCGATGATCTCTGTTGAAGACGGTGTCATTCCCTGCGGCAAAGGCATGGGTTGTAACTTGACGGCGCCTTCACCTTAAGTTGCAAACATATCAAAGTAAATTATAGTAATAACAGACAATCTGTCCTTAATTTAACTTAAAGCTTCTTTAAACGAAGAACTTACCTATCTCTTTCAACACTTTAATATCTTTTTCAAGATCCTCGATCTTTTGTTGTGGAAGAAAAAAAAAAAAGAAAACAATGAAATGAATAAAAAATAAATGAATAAATAAATCATAACAAAAAATTTGCAATCAAAGACACACTCAATTTCAGCATCATTTTAGCTAAGTGGTGTTTTTATGCCCAGGTCCCCCTTTTTCAATGTTCACTTTAAACTCTTTGACCTCGTATTCGCTATCACCCTCGTTTGGGTAAGGAGGGATACTTAACCCACTCACACGTACGTTTAACAAAGAAAGGAGTTAGAGTTGTCCTGTGAATGTTTTGAGGGCGTCTATGGGACTTTGGGTAATGACTGCGCATTCATCTCCAAAAGATGTTGAGCAGTTCAAATCTCAACAAAATAGATTTCTCACAACACCGTTTACTACCTTGGTCTTTTTCCTCTCCAACTGCATAATGGCTTTAGCTGTTTCTTCTCGGGCATTATGCAGTTCGTGTCGGAGTTCTTCATTCCTCCCACTTAGTTGTTCGATCTAAATCCAAAAGAAGAACTTACAGCTTGAATGATATTACATACGTGTTCACTAAAGACGAACAGGAAAGGGAACTTACCTGAGCTTTCAATTGTAGTGTTGTGTCATATTGACCCACTGCATTTCTAGATTCTATCATCTTTATGGAAAACAAAAAAAATTAGAATGGAGATTTACAGTTCAGTTTCCGAAAGGCAACAAAAAAGATAAACCGTATATCAAACAAATTCAACTAATGAACGATGGAAGCGTAACTTACAGCCATAAGCTTTTCTAAGGCTGGTACTTGTACTAATTTATTTTCCTCTGCTCCTAAAACGAGAAAAAAAATCAAGTCATCAAGCTTTTTCTTTTCTTTCAAAAGCTTCATGGGTAAATCATGACAAATCGATCTCTTGTTACAAAACACTCCACAGGGAGGAACTATAAGCATCCGAACAATAAAAAGACGAGGAAATACTTCATCAACAAATGGTTTTAGGGAGGTACCAAGACAAATTTTGCTTTTACTTTTAATTAAAACATCTGGCAAACCCACAAAACGAACCTTGTGCTGCAGCATGTTCTCTCAGCTGTGCTAAAATCTCCCGCATCCCAACTTCCAACTGCTTATTCTCATCTTTAAGTTCCTATGCACAGGGATCGAAATTCGCAATATAGGCAGGTAAGGACTTTTAAGTGCTGTGTAGCTCACCCGTTCAATTATTCTCCTGCTTAAGTCTTGCAGGATCTACACGTCACTGTATTTTGCTTCGTCTCCGGAAAATGTTATACTGAATATCAAATTAAACAAGAACTTGAAAGACATGTCGTTTGTCAGTTTGACCACAACTAAAAAACCACGAATCACCTGAAAGGGAATAAAACGACTAAAAAAAGTACAGATTAAGTCCCAAAAGTGATTAACATGCAACTTCTCCCTATAACATCCCACTTCTATTTTGTTCGAAAAAGTTTTAACCTGATAGAGAAGTAAAAGTAGAAAGGGAGAGAAACAGGGATTCGCAGATTCAGGGTTATTCAGATCTACCCAACAAAAATTGTTATCACAACTGGCCACTGACTTCTCTGTACCTTATTCTCAGTCTCGATCTTCTTCATATCAGATTTGTACTTTTCAATTTGTTTTTCGTTCTTTTCTACTTCTCCTTCCAGCCTCTGGTTCTGAAAAACAAGAAATCAAACAAAAAGGTCATCTACAATAATTTAAAAACGTCATGGACCACAGGCCGTAAAGTTTTCATTTCAGACTCAATTCAAGAAAGAGACGTGTAATATTCTTTATCGAAATTTAAAAATCTCAGCTGTATGTACATCTACTCGAGGAAGTGCAGTTCCATGTACTAAAGATGGTTGTTTACGACTCGGCAACCGCTTGTAAAAAAAAGTTCTTGAAACCCCTTGGGAACTTCTTTATACCTAGCACGTGACTGTTCGTTCCTGGTACTTACCATAGCCTTGGTGACGTCACTATCAGAATCCACTACAGGTAGTCTTCTGGGCGAAGAGACTACATCCTCTTCTTCGGCCACAATCAAGTCTTCTGCGGTGATTCCTAACTCTACAGCCCTACCAGGGAGAAAAGGCATTGCAAAAATTCAAAACCGATGCGTTATCGGTTATTGGAACTACGTGTCGCTCATTGGTGAATGACTTACAGGCACACTTAATTCCCATGAATCTTCAATTTGAAAACGTTCTACGTTGGTGGATGTTCAACATGTATAGAATGCCCCTCCCTTCCATCTCCATGAATTAACAATTAACGAAGTATTATGGCTAACCGAAAAAAAACAACAACAACAAACAACCCACATTTACCTTTGACCTCTGTGCAGTGCTTGTTTTCGGAGCTGACGCTTAAGCTGAAGCCTTTCTTCCTCTAACCTTTCCACCTTCAAAAATGAAGAAAAGAAAAACTCAAAACAAATAATTACCATTTAAAAGAAGTTCCCCAAAGTGCATAGAACAATAAAAACATTCAATAAATACATATTCGTTATGTTAAATTTTCCTCGAAGTGTAAAAAGTAAATTACCTCTTTAGTCAATGCTCTGTTCAGAGCCACTGCCTGTTCTGCTTTAACTTTCTTTTTGTGCCGTACATCTTCAATGTTGAGCGACTCCTTAGGATCCATTCCAAGCCGCTCTCGCAATTCCTCGTTTTCCATCTCACTGTCATTTACTTTGATCTCCAAGTTGTTTACTTGACTGGTCAGGTCTTCAATGTTTCTGAAGGGAAAAAGAGTTAAATGAAGAACTAACCAAAAAGGCTAGGAATACACTGTAAAATCATCTTTACAACACAGAATTGTGTGCTTCCTTACTTCCCGGACACATGTTACCGTACATCAGTTCGGCAACAGATTAGAGATGACATCCAACTATGATAAGAGCAAAGGCATAGGCAAGTGCAGCATTGACGTTATCGTTAGAGAGGGTCGAGGGGGGGCTAGGGGGATATTAAAAGGGGGAACTTAGGCGTTTATCATTAAGTGGGGTTAGGGGGTTATTAGAGAGGTGGGTTGGGGTCAAAGCAACATTAGCAGCCTTCGAAAAAAGAAGTTTTCCAAAAAAACTGGATACATTGATAAATATTGCTTTTTTTCTGTATCTTACTGGTCTCTGATACGAATCTGAGCCTTGCAGTCCTTGATTTCCTGCACTGCTTCACTCAATCCATATTCTCCCTACAGTAAAGAAATAGTAACATCAATTGTCATGCAATCTTCAAGACTGCTGAACGTATACGACTTACTAATAAGTTTTTTTAATCAGGTAATAATTAACAATTATCCACTGAGTTGGAGGTGAATAGTGGTGGATATTTACCGAGCCGCAAAGCGGCGAGGTGAACATCCACCACTCTCGACGGCACTGTGGTGAATAATTGTTTCGTAGAAACTGTACCACACAAATACGAAAAAACTAGTTATTTCTTACAATATACCAAAAACTGGTCAGATATTAAACTCTTGACATGCGATTTTTTATCACCGGCTTCTAAGTGAAAAATAGACCTTGCTAATCAGCGCGCGCGAAAAGCACCATTCAATTGTATAGTATAATTTATATAAATAAATGATATCGTAATATTCAGTTTACTTCAGTTATGGAAGAGTAACTCCTTACCCTCTCATATTGCATCATTCGAGCCAGCAAGTCGTTCAACTGCTTGTCTTTCATAGCTGCAGCCTTTTCTGCCTGTTTAGGAAAGACAAACATAAATAAATTTTAATACTGTGTGTTGCACTCAGACCTAATTAAAAGTAATTTTAACAATGCAAAAAAAAAAAAAAAAACAGATTTTGTGGTCAAAGAATATACTTGGTATAATTACAAAACTGGTTTATTAGATCAGTTTTTTAATTCAATCAAGGTGCAATGGTCATCTTATAGAGAGCTGATTACTTATCACGTCTGTGGCTGGGATCTGATAGATAAGCTGACTCTTGCATGTATGTCTAATTTCAGGATAAACACCATGGTTTTTCTTTTTACTCAAGGGCGTATACATGTATGTAGGGCGCAGTTTGGTGGACTTTAAGGCCTGTATGATTGTAACAAACCTGATCCAAAGTCACGACAGTCTAGTACATATGTTATTACTAAGAAAAGATTTGTTGTTGTTTCGCTTTATCCAAACTAAAGCAAAACTAACTAAAAGCAGTTTCTTGAAGCAAACCCTTTTGAATTATTACCATGATCATCCTGTCTTTAAACTGCAAAACTTCCAACTGTTCTTTTTGTAGCGTGCTGTTTAGATCTCTGATTCTTTTTTGCTGATATGCTGATGGAACACCTGTCAAAAACAGCATCTTCAAATCAAAAATTGATTTGCGTCAAAAACAGAGTGTGCAAAATACGCACATGCCTTAACCCTCCAAACACTGGGAGTGACTCGCATCTAATTTCTCTTTACAACTTCACCCCTAAATCTAATTCATGTTGAGACAGGGGATGTATACAGAACAGAGTGGAGAACTTGTATACTGATGTTAGGGTGTGCCGGTTAAGTGTACTTTGAATTGTAATCCAAAAGCATGTGCTGTTAAATGTAACTCTGAGTTACAATCCAAACCAAGGATTTAAATACCCACATTTCATGTAAACATGTAACTATATAAAATAAAAAATAAAACCACAAATTTATAGTACAAACTTTGCATTAATTCTATGTAATTGTTTTCTTAGAGGGTAACACTGATAAATTACCCTGTAAACAGTTTACCACATAAATGTACCTTTTTCAGTTAAGGCCTTGACTTCTTCCACATATGAAGCTACACCATGCATGTCACTTGATGCCTATAAGTAAGCAAAATTTGACATGGTCATGTACAATCATTTAAACCCTCTACCCCTTGTTACTCAGAAAACTAAATAACCATTCTGGCATTAGGATTGTTTGCACAAAGCTGAGCTTTGAAATAATCCCCAGAGAGATCTAATCTTGTAATCTGTGGTGCCTGACTCTCAAAGCTATCAATTCATAAAAGCAAATTCACGTGAGAGGTCGAAGACAAAAGTGAGTTGCCTCTGGTATCCAAGCTGAGTTTGATGGTATGTATGGCCATAACCAATCATTATATGTTCTTTAATAGGAATGTATCTTTACAGCCCACAGATAATTTAAGAGTTACATACACTGTAACAGGAATAAAGTGAAAGCTGCATACATGTAACTTGGTACCTTTTCAAGTTCCTTTTTAAGATTTTCTATCTGTTCATCTTTCTCAGCCACAGCCTATCAAGGAGGAATCAAATTTCACACAAGCAACATGTAACTAGGATTTTGTTATTAGAAATACATGTTAAAAAAAAAAGAAACTAAACAATATTTTGTAAGTATATGGAGTAGATGTAAAGCTATAGATATACCTGTTGTAACATGGCCAAGGATGTTTTGTCTGCATCCATTTGAAGCCCTGCAACTTGTTGTTTCAGTTCTTGGACCAATGACTGGTACTGCTCTAGCTCAATTTCTTTTGCTGCAAGCACAGCCTATCAAAGATATTTGAAGGAAAATGAAAATTTTAGCTCTATAGACCACTATCTTTAAAGCCCAACTGTAAGCACTAATAGCATAAGAGGTTACTGAATAAAATTTTTCTGGGTGTGAATCACCCATTTACACCTTCCACTCTTCCACTTTAGAGTTCACAGCTGCCATAATCTGTTCATCAGTGTCTGTTTTGGTTGAAAACTGCATCCTGAGATCTTGAACCTAAGTAATAAAGGGACAACAAATGGGTCTAAATAATTATGGATTGCAAATTATTGCTTCTATTGTCATTAAACAAGGGGCTCAAAAGAAACTTCTTAATTCATTTGATGAACATGGCAAAGATTTCCATTACATGATCAACAATTAAAAAAAAACAAATAATTTCTTTGGGCATCCATTCCATCAATCTCTGTAGCCTTAGAGAGAAACATTATTTGGGGCACTTTTAAGACCTGATTAGGTCACTTGACTCCTTTTGTTGATAAAAAAATTCTATTGGTTGCAGCTACATAAATTCAAGTCCAGTCACATCAATCTTTGATGTTAATTATGACCAAGATTTTAGCCCATTTCTCTTCTGTTATGCTCAAAAGGAGAGCTTACGGCCATTAGTTGCATATAAAAAAAACAGTGTTGTAAAGTTTAATTTTGAAGAAACCTTGGAGGGAGGGAGAGGGGGAAAACCAGTAGACAAGAGATGAAGTGACAAGAAAGATGGAAGGAATAAGCAGTCACAGCCCTTACTGACTCTTAAAAAATTGGAAGATTGCGCAAAGGGGTTAGTTAGCATTAATCTTGTTGTATTGGAGTGAAATTTGTAAAAAATTCAGCAGCTCTGTCACAATGAAAATGATTCAATACCAATGTATGAATTTATTTTTACATTTTACCATGAGTTTATGGTTATCTTACTATGCCATATGAAAAAAAGTACAATTCATATGATAATGATAATGATAACCTGTGCTCTGAGGGCATCCCTTTCTTTCCTCATGTCATCTATGATCATGTCTGACTGCTGCAGAACAATCTGTTAAATTTTTCAGAAACATACCAGTTTGTATACAGTTCTTCCTTACAAAAGTAACACAATTATACACCATTTCATACACATCAAGAAATCACTCAAAATAGATGCATACAATTTAGTACATAAATGTTACATTAAAAGCATAAGCCAACCTTCAGTTTGGTGTATTCATCTGTCATCTTGTCCATCTCTGCAGTTGCCTCTTGAAGTTCTTTCTCAGTGTTTTTCATGCGTTCTTCTAAATCATCATTAGCCTCTTGAAGAATCTATGCAAGAAAGAATAAAAACATTTTATTTCAATATATGATATAAGCTGTGTAGACAAAAATTAAAAGACACTTCCTGTTGTAATAACAATCAGAGCATCTGAAAGTATGTAACAGGATGACACTTGGAATGAGTTTATTGCTTCTGAAAATGAATGATAACACTAAAGAACCTATTAAAATGGTTTTCAAATGATTATCAAATAAGGCTGTTGTTCTTCACACAGACTGAACTAAGGTCAAGTTGATAGTTTACCCTTATTTCATCCAGATACTCAGACAACTCCTTGTTTTTCTTGGAGATCTTCTCTTTAAAGTCAGAACCTTCTGCTCTGCGCATTGTTGTACTTTCTCTCTAGAGGTAAGAGATACAAAGTTTTGAATACACCTGTTTTTGGACATCCCTTTGATTCCAAAGGTTTAGGCTATGTTCTTTTTTCTCCCAATACACAATATTGTTAGACATGTTCTGACCTAGTAACTCACCAAGAAGCACTTGATGGAAACCAATATACATGCATTAACATATATTCATATAAGTCTTGACTTATCTGCTGAGGTATACTGTCCTGAAAATTGTAATACAGTAAATAGCTTGACTACTATTAAAACAATCTATTAATAAGCTTAGCCACATTCATTTATTTTATATAAAATGAAAATTTAGGACTATTGAATTGTTTAAAAATCAATGTTACTGGTTTTAAAATCTTTATGTAATTAACATAACATTAGTTTCTACATTGATTCTCATGGCCACCATATAAAAGGTAAAGGTTTGCTTTTGATTGTACCTGTTGTTCAAATTGTCTTTGTAAATCTCTTAGGTCCATCTTGTTCCGTTCTATCTGAAACAATTAATTATAGGCACAATATTTCACTTGCATCATTCTCAACTTTATTTAAGTATTTACTGTAGTAAAAATTCTTACCAATTTGAATGGGTCTACAGCTCAAACTAGGAGCAAGATGATTTGCCAGCCTAGCTACGGACATCACATAGGTGATAAATAATGTATGTAAAAAAAATATAATTCTGAAGCAAGTCATTCCCACTGCACTTGCTGACTGTGTGCTTAATGATAGGAAAACCCTTACAGCAAAAACTGGGAACATGTTTTGTAATCAGATGCAGTTGCAAATAAGTATATCACTTGCAATATCCATAGGAAATTATAATTTTAGATTCTCTGTCAGTGCTGCTGACAGTTAAGTTGGGCTGAATGCAGGAACTAAACATTTTGTACATTGATTGCACTGACTGTACTTTACCAATAACATCTACCATAGATAGCAGAGTTGGCTTGGGTGGTTAAATACAATGTCTTGAATGTTACAGTTCATAGCATAAGCTTAACATAAACATTCTCACATCTCTTTTTAAGCTCTTGTTTTCTCTTTCAGCTTCATCTAGCCTAGCAGCCATCTAAACAGAGCACAAAAAGGAGAGAAATACAAGAAGGAAAAAACATCATTAGAACCTTTCAATTCCCACATTACTCTAGAGGTGCAAGTTCAACTGTTTAGGATGTGACTAAAACTAATTCTGTGATTTAATTATACAGCATAAATCTAATAAATTTGCTTACTTGATCACTTTTGTATTTCTCTTGGAAGTAGGCTTCCGCTTTTTCATTGAGTTCCTGTTCCAAAGCCTGCATGTAATGACAGGATATCATTAAATCCAAGGCAAGTTAGTATAAAGAAGTCAGAGGGTTTTTTTTTATTTTGACCTTGATTGCACATGTAAGGTATATCTTCTCAATAATGACATCCAACATCCTCCCTGTGCATGTGGATGGACATTTGTTTTCTTTGATGACATCTCTGGTGATGGAAAATGTGGCCTCAGTAGCTATTATAATTGTGGTTGGGAATTTTGAAGACTATGTATGAAGTAGATGGAAAAAAATTGTTATCAGTAACTTATGCCAGAAGTAAGTGCATTTGATCATTCAATTACAATGCAGGATTGTCCATTTGTACAAACTAGAAATTACCAACTTAAGTTCAGGGGATTGAAGTTTGACTAACACAAACTTCAAAAGTGTGGGAATGTTGAAGTTTCTAATCCACAGGCACATGAGGGTTTGATAAAGGTACATGTTCATTTCTCATCACACCAATATAATTATTAATTCTTGTTAAAATTATTCTTAGTGACTGTATATATTATTACCCTTTTGCTGTTTTCAATATTCTCAATTTCTCTGATTAATTCATCTCCACCAACACCATCATATTTCTATCAAGCAAACAAAATTTACAAGAGATTTCTTGATGAAATTAGGATGTCATTTACAGTATCAACTAATTCACTAAATCTACATGTACATATAATCATACAAGCAATGTGGACACAGCCTTTATCAGTTTGCTTTTAGATGACATCATGTTTGAATTCAGCAGAGAGATAGCCCTTCTGATTGCATAACAAACCACTATAATGACACCATACAAAATCATTTTTCAAGATGAAAAGAAAGATTAAATCTTTTGGAAAGAACCTTACCCTGTACTGTTGGATCTCTCTCTTTAAATGTTCAATTTCTTCCAATAACTCTTGCTCTATTAGGAGAGAATTATTTTAAGTTATTCAATAGTGGAGGCCCTGTCTATGATCACATCACCCAAGCTGTGTAAAGGTAAATATTGTTTACTAATATAAGAGAGAGATTTTAGAAATTACACCAAGTCATGTATTTTCAATTGGTAACTTTAATTAGCTCCAAACAGTTCTAGATTAACTATGCTTATCTCCATTGTGTTAGTTTATAACTGTCTTCTATCTGATACTGCTGATTCTACTAACAGGGTCAATTAGCAGACATCAAGCATTAAAAAAAACTTGTTACACTCTAGGGATGAACCCTGAAATGCTTTAATCCAATAATTGCATGCAATACTGTTAGCAGACCATCCAAAGCGGCTGACAATAAAAAAAATCAATAACTGTTAGCCATGAGAAAATTAACTGAACAACTTCCCTCAAATCTATTGAGCTAATAGTATCATACTAACCTTGATCTCCACCTCCAGCTTTTACAATTTCTTCAGCAGCCAGCTCTGCTTGCAATGATTTAACCTACATCGATATATGTAAGAATGAAGATTATTATTCCTTCATTTCTACCATCTGGCTTCTCATTCATTTTATTATCAGCCCTACATTTTCCATCTATGTATGATAAAAATTTGTTTGACCCTTTGTTTTGTTTCTTTTTGTTTTATTTATGGTGTTAAAACCACTACATTCTTTAAAAGTTAATTTCTTCATTCTAAAATATAAAAAAAATACCTGTGCCTATCAAATGATACTGTAGAGACAATTTATATGTTTGACACTCCTGTACCCAACCAAGATTGACTAATCCTGCCTCTTGCACTAACTCTGGAGTTGCCTCTAGCTACAGTTCTCCCTGACTATCTGATCCTAAAAACATGTTTGTAATAATAAAAAGGACAAGCAAACCAGAGAAATTAAATCTTAAAATTTACCTTCATAACAGTCTTAGTAACCTCAAAAAGTTTTATCATCTTGTTTACATCTTCAGCTTCTGTCGAGTCTGGATTAACTGAGCCCTTAAAGCGTAGAAAACCAATATAGATTTAACATTTTCCTAAAATGCGTAACCTTGGTATGAAATAGGTAGTAAAGATGGAAATCTGTTTAGTTTACCATCTCCAAGACGCCGTACATCTCATCGGCTGCATCCAGGTCTTCTCTAAGCTCCTCTACATTGGCACCCATAATTCTTCCCCAGTCTAAAGGCGGCATTTTACCTCCTTAGGTTCTTCACTATTTGTATATAAAGTAATTCGACAGAAATCAGAGGATTATATATTTATCGCTCTTTAAGTTGTTTTCTTTTTTTGTTATTGTAATCTTCGCGCGCCGCCATTTTTGAATCTTCTAAACATTTATGAAGGGTTGGATATAAACAAAGTTTCTATTGGACAGTTGTAAAAAACGACCAATGAAAGTAGAGTTTAGTTTTAAAAAAAAATCGGTATCGTGAGGACTTGTGGGTATTAAGGAACATTTATTTTGTATTACATGAAGGGGTATAAATTTCTCAAGACTTTGATTATTTAGTTGGTATTTTTCACCTAATTCAATAGGCATATTTTGTGTTTCTTTCAGCGGCCACAAAAAGAGTATTTTCCTCAAGTAAAATGCTATCCTTCTAATTTGAAACGGTGTTTTAATCGTTCGATTTTTTCGGCAACTTCTTGGAACTGTCTTAGCTTAACAGTCACTATTGCGTTCCATCAAACGGCTACACTTTCCACCTTGTGAGTTTCAGCTCTAAAAATGAAATTCTACTTTTCCGGTGAATAAATTTTTTCGACATCTACGCAGTGTAACTTATGCAAATTTAGGTTGTGTTTTTGAAATGGAACAAAATTGTTCAAAAGAAAAGGTTTAACAAGGTTTTACAAAGGTTTTAACAAAGGTTTTACAATTAATCCGAGCTTTCTTTTTTCCCTGTCAAAAATCCTGGCTACGCCCTTGCGTTATTGTATAGAACATTTCAGAACATTAATTTCCTGAAAATAATCTTAAAAGACAACGAAACGAGCTTTAAATCTACTGCAATTTTACACTGAGTAGCAGATTAAAAGAAAGAGGATTTCCGATCATTAATCATTCGGCCAAAGATAACAACCTCTAAGAGGAATACACACATTGCGCCGCGCAACCTAAGCACGCAAATGTCAGCGTCCACGACGATCCTGAAAATATAGCTGCAGAGCAAGGTGAATGAATTTTTAAGTTCTCTCACAACATTCAAGAACCAAGCGAAGGAGTATGGTTTTATGCTCCTCGGCATCCAATCATCTGTGATAACAAAGAAATCGGTGCCATGGCAAAGACTGATCTGCTCGAACGTCTAAAGGTCGCTCCTGAAAAACTTAAAGACATCCATCTTGAAGGCAGGTAATATTGACTTTTGCGACTTTTTATCGAAATGAGCGAAATGGTATGCGAAACGGCTAATGGGCGAAACTGACCTGTGAGCGAAACGACTTGTGAACTGCCCAGTAGGTGAGATGAACTGTTAGCGAGTTTACCTGTATGCGAATTGACTTCTGGGAGAATCGACCTTAGCTGTGGGCGAGGTAGCTTATAATCCATCGGCAGAATTTGATCGACTTCTATCAACCGAAAAGGCGTAGACGATGAAGCTCGTTTCAGTACAAACTGAAATTCTAATCGATACAAGTCGATTCAAGTCAAACTGAAGTCGATTTGATACATCGACAAAGTCGATTGAATACACGCAGAAAGTTGATTTGATACAACTCAAATCATTTCGATAGTTTTGGGGTTTTCATTTGCCTACGATGAGATAAACTAAGGTACACCTAAAAAGCGCCGGAACCTGGTTAATCTTGAGCAAGTAATTCAAAACGACCAATTAGACTTTGGCAAACTGAGCTATGACGCTGGCGAAACGACCCATAAGGATGCTAGCGAAACGATCGGTTACCACATGTTTACCCCCGGTATTTCGTCAGGTTTTCCTGCAGTTTGCTAATACCTCTCCCCTTAGCCAATCTGTGTCAGTGGTGGCGATCGGCGTATATCGTCAAGCACTATAAGCGTATAAAATCGCCGATATCTAGTGCGCCCAAGTGAAAATTCACGCGCCCGATTCAAGTGTATCAGAAACTTAACGATTTAGAATGACGAAGCCGAAACAACACACGGAAACCATGGCGATAGTACAAACAGATTTGACAAAAAAATATCGATTTTTTTCGGAAAATTGATAAGTATTGGGAATTTCTGTAAGGGGCTATGATTACAGACAGTCGTCTAATGGGGGTGCATTCCACTGCTTAATTCTTGAAAAAATGCCGAAAGCTGACCGCAGAGTAGTTAAAACTCATTTAAAAATTCTGTAGTACCACTTTTTAATCAAATTCCAGTTATCCGTTGGTAAGTAGAGCGCTAGGCGCAAAAGCAACTTCACAAATTACATTGGCAAAGGAAGTACTCTTCTCAACTTTCCAAAACGTACGCGGGGTAGGAGGTGGGTCGGTTCCTTTTAGCAATATCGCTACCACAGTTCTTTTTGCTTTTTCCGGGTGCGAGGAGGGACATAGGTCTTTCTGCAAGTATTAATTCCCATAATAGATGGACGTGATCCTTCACTAAAAAGACTATTTATTGTTTCCCAGCCTAAAAAGTTAATCGTGTACGATTCACTACAGACGAGATGAAATAGTGTAGTCTGGAAGTGAGTGGTTACAGTAGACAAGAATATAGATAACTAAATAGAAAAATCAAACAAGCTCTTTGTAGGGCTCAAATAGTTCTAAGCAAAGGAATAGACATGCATGGATGAGTGGAATCGGCACTAGCTACTTTTGCTTTTGTAAGTCACTGATTATCCGTCGCAAACAACGATCTAATCCGCGGTGATACGAGCAACGATTGGAACACCGTCTTAATGTTTTCAAAAAGTTCCTGCTGTTCAGGACAGTTTCACACGCTTCACACTTTTCCAAATGTCTACTTGGGCTGGATGTTCCCGGAGTAACAAAAGTCTGATCTGGTTTAGTTTTCATTGCCATCTCTGGGTGTTTCGTTCTCCACTGAGTAGTTTTTGACCTTGCGAAAGGTTTCAACACCTTGGTGGATTTCACAGAACGTCTCTTTCTAGGTGTACTCGTCCTATGTCTTCGAAAATTTTCTTGTGACACTTCATCAGAGGGTCTATCATCTCCAATGTCGGTATCGTATTGTCCAGCTGTAGTACGGGAAGAGGTTTGCGTTTGAGCATCCTTTGTAGGGCTCACTACAACCTATAACACGAAGAAGTTTTTCTTAAAATTTAGCGAGACTTGGCCCTTCGATCTGCTTCTTCTTTCCAGCCACTCAGTTCCCTTAAGATAATAGACAGGGCAAGTCAAAATTTGATAAAGGGGCTAAGTTTCTAAAGAACTGTGGTGCTGCGTCGGTGGGAGTGTATAACAGAGTAATTCAGTGTTATCAAATGAGTTGAAAACGTAAATTGGCCACAATAAAGAGTTTAATGGCTGACGTTTCGAGCGTTAGCCCTTCGTCAATCGCTCTCACGAAGGGCTAACGCTCGAAACGTCAGCCTTTTAATTCATTACGGTGGCCAATTAACGTTTTCAAGTCAAAATTTACCTGGGTAAAGTGGTTTTCTAAAGTACTTTCAAAAGAGCACTGCTCTCCTACTTCTTTCGTTTCCACACGAGAAAGTGGCTTTTGTTCACCTGCCATTAAAAAATTATAGAATTTAACCATACTCAATAACTTGCTGGGCCAGACCGAAACAAAAAAAGAAAACAAAGCACTTCACAAAATCTGCGTATTATGTTACTCTATGCAATCCAGAAGTAATTCACAAGTCTTGAACCGGATTAAATCTTTAAAGACAGTGTATGAGTCAAGAAATATTTGAAAGGGACTACATCGTGCGGAGATATGCGATAACACTACTGCGTGCCTAACCACGATGAACAACCACAAGCTTTGTCAAATTTTACATCTGATCTTTCTTAATTCAAAGAATAGAATCACCAATTCATCAAAGCATCGTCATCCTATTGTAGAAGGCTTTTAACTTGTTAACCTAAAATCAAAAGTTTTGTATGTCAAATACTGGCTGTGTTAACACTTCAAGATGGGAATTCGCAGAAATACCTTTTGATTTTCCAGTGATACAATGAAGAATGAAAATCGCAACCCTTCTAAATTCTTCAGACTAGAAATAATAATAATAATAACAATAAAACAAACAACTTGTAAGAGATAGTGGCGGATGATTCTTTTCAGGGTCCTCTATACAACTTTGGAGGCCTAAAAATATCGTGTATTGTAACCATTTCGGGTGACAAGTGAACTGTTCGAATTGGCTATCCAGTAGGGCGAGATAAGCCTATTGAACCCTATCTTGTCCGCAGGCAATTTCCCGGGTTGTTTGCTCTCACTCAGACGAAAAAGGTGCAGTTGTAGAAATAGCTTTTCCCATAGAGACTTGAGTCCAGTATCAAAAGAGAACCAAATACTTAAATGAGATATACAAAATAGCTGTCAACAAAGCCTTCGAAAAGTCTCAACGCTGAAAACGAGTGTCCATGAGTCTTTCCAAGTCTACCTCAAAGTCATGTTCATGGTCTCTGAACATTTGGCTTATCAATCAGATCACGCGCGTCCCTCGTGAATAAAAAAAACGTATCAAGAGAGGGAAGGGAAGAGAAAATAGAAGTTTGAAGTATTGCATTCAAGAAACTAGAGGAAATTTAAACATGGGCTCTTAACTGGCTCACTTACTTCTAAACTTCGGGGCAACTTTTGTCTATCAAGGAAGAACTCTTCCGCCGGTTTTTACAGATATGGAGCGAGTGCACCTTGAAGGCAGTCTAAACAGTCAGCGAGAGTTTCTTAATAGATGACTGTAATTCTCCAGCCTAACCTTAACACCGTAAATTAAATCCTTTATCGACAAAGCTGTTTGTTGCTGCTCAGGTACCTGTTCTTTGGTCAGGAGCTCAATCAAAGCCTCTACACCTCCTCCGTCTCTCAATAGCTGTTGATTCCGCTCTGAAAGGTAGATGAACAATTACAAGCACTTTCCTTCAGTGATTTTTCGTTTACTCCAACCTAAACATATAGTGGGTCCTAATGCTTGTTTCCTGTGTTTCCTGTGTTCAAACTTCTTGTGTAAAGAGCATGTTTAAGGAGCAGGGATGCAGCAAATGAAGCGCATGCCACATGTGAGTTGACTTTTTTATTGGTTCTCCTCTTTACTCCGAAGGTTTTCTCTCGGATTTCTTAGTTCTCATCCCTTCCCAATTAAAATTTACACGCGATAACTTAAATCTCAATACGGCCTAGAAACAGTGAACCAGACGAGCCTCCACGGGGATGTCCACAGCTTTATCAATTTTTTTTTGATTTATGTAAAAATTTCAATTGCGAGTCGAAAGTTATGTGTGATTGCTTCTGCTTTACTTCACTCAATGATCGGTTAAAAAAAACTCGCTTCCCTTTTTTAACCAATCGGATTTAAACGATAAACCGATCGCACCTTTGTGATTGGCATTTTCCCCGGCGCTTCTCAGGTAGTTTGCTTGTTTTCACGTTGAGTTCTTACTCGCTCCTTTTGATATTTTCCTTTATTACGATAAACTGTTGTGATTACATACCACACCCAATCTAAATATGCTTCAATAATGTGTAACTGAATTCTTAATTTCTTACCACTCTGATCAATGCAGATGGACAGTGCTAATATGCACTTAGTTTTGAACTGCTTAGCAGCCGCATCATCAACGCGAGTAGCTTGACTTATGACGGCGAAACACTTCAACAGCAGAGTCACAAGACCAAGGTCTGCTGCACTATCCTGACAGATCACTGAAACGGTTGTAAACAGGCTAGAGATGGATGAAAATGAACTACACCATAGCATCAGGAACAGGTCATAGGGTTTTCGAAGATGATCGTTTACTATTTCGCCGTTACTAATTATCACATTTGATGTAAGCTCTTTACAAGGCGTACGTGGGTGTCTGGATTTGTAAGTGTGTAAAGCTGAGATCGTGTAAGCGTGTGCACATTTTAACATGTGCGCAAGTTTGTACGAGCGCTTGCACACCATAAGTGTAGGAGCGCAAATGAATATCTGCCCTAATGCGAAAAAACAAGAGCATTTGCACATATCCACTTTTTCGCATATGAACATGTAAAGCTGTACGTATTTGCTTATCTTTGTGTCTGGGTGCCTATGCGTGTGTGTGCTTGAGGGCGTTTACGCGTATGGGTGTCTGGGATGACGTGGGTCTATTGTTAACCTTATATTAGAACTTCGGCAGTGCATGAGAGACTCCTGTTGCATTCATCAGCACTGTAGAACCAAAGAATATTGGCTCACCGTGTCCTGCTATGATAGATCCTAAAGTGTTGACGACGCGCTCCATAAACAATATGTCTTGTTCAACATGCTCTTTCAGGTCCACAACCTGTTTTAGTCGAATGACCAGAGCACGCAAGCCTCCAAGTAGTCGCACCTTAGATTGACATTCAGCTGGATGAAAAGCAGAGAAAAGTCTGAGATTATTAAAAAAGAAAACAAGTAACGTGTCAGTAAAGTCATCTTCACAGCTCTTGTTTCGGACGTTAAGCAATGCTTCCCGCAAGCGCCGCACTCCAAACTGCAGCCGTCAGGTTAAAAAAAAAAATTTAGAAAATAAATTTGCAGCTGAGGATGCTACTTTGGCAATCTGTGTTCAGCAGTTATGTAGCAAGCTGTAAATTTTCCATCACAGGAATTAAAGTGAAAGATACCTGCAATATTGTACAAAATGTCACGCTCAGATTCTTCCCTTTTTGGCAACCATTCAGTCTCTGTGGCTCAGTAGTAAAGCATCGGAGCGCGGAATCCGGATTCCCCTTGGGAACTCAGATTTTTTTTCTCTGTCCCACAATTGTGACAAGACGAAAAACATCTTTCTCCATTTAATTATTTTAGGTTTCCAAATAGATCTTAAAAACAGTTTGGCTTGGAGTCCCAAAAGAGTGTTTAGAGTGACAAAACAAAAAGATAAGGGAGGAGTAGTGCCACTGCAACTTTGTGGCCACAAATTATCAATCATTAATTCTTACCATTCTCTGAGACAATTGCTGCTAAGAGGCTTATGGTTGGCTGCAGAATTTCATGCTGCTCAGTTACTAAAAGCAATAGGTTTACTATCGCTGGAAACAGCCGACAGCAAAGTCTTTGATTTTGAGCTGAAAAATGGCAATAGAAGAATGATCAGTATACCCACATTCGTATAACAGGGAAAATTTCTTCCTCAGAGATAGAAAACAATCTAAAGTATCATTACTTAAAACAACACTACATTAAAAAATAACATCACTACCAAAACATAAGTGGAGACACACTGGCCTAATAAGCTGAACTCTGGGTCAAGAATTCAGGGTTAGAGATGTAGGCGGCTTATGGACTTTTGTCCTTGAGCAAGACATTACTCTCACCATGCCTCTCTCTACCCAGGAGTAGAAATGGGTACTAGTGAACTGTAAGGGAAAGCTGACAGAATGCAGAGTAACCTGCAATAGACAAACATCCTTTTCTGGGGGAGTAGTAATACTTCTAGCTGCTTCATGCTACAGAAACCGGGATAAGCTTCATCTAGGTGTGCCAATTGACTCAAGTACAGACTTAACCTCTTTACCTACCCTAACCTAATTCCATTTTAGTACTTACCATTTTGTGGGTTTTGCAGAAGGGAATGCAATGCAACAACCACTGCAGTCCAAAGCTGAAGACAATTTTTGTCAAGGTTATCAAACCACTTTTTACCACTTTCATCACCAGTAGAGGTTGAAAGCCGATGTATTGGAAGACAGCTCCTATGAAAGCAAGGATAGATTTATTTCTGTAAGATGTATGTTAATGTTTGGAGTTAATCAAATTACTAAGCATAAGCCATCTTGTCTTATTTGTTTCTCTTTCCTTTGTTGATTTCTTCTCTAGGTCTTCAGAGGCTACTGAGATTCAGCACCTTTGGTTAAATTTTGAAAATTCTGCAAAATTATTATTCTTCTATTGGTGAGCAAATGCTTATTGCTTTTACAGGAATATTCACTGCTGTTAGAGAAAAGCATGGAAAATCAGATGTAACTGTCTGGAACCAACTGGAATCATCCCCTGAAGTATCCAAAATTGGTCTGTTGGACAGAAATGTATGAAACTGAATGGTACTGTTCAAGATTAGACAGAACTGTCCAAAATTGAACGGAAATGTCCAGACAGAAGTGTCCAAAATCTAACGCATATGAAGGAATGAAAAGTTAACATAATTAGTTTTAAAAACCCATATGACAAAATTGCAATTCATTTTAGTTATAAAATTCAATCTCATTGGCTGAGAGAGGGTGTGAGTCTGCTTCACCAATCACAATGTGAAATATTGGGTTAAGCCCATGTTTCCACAGATCAGTTTCTATACTCAAGGCAGATTGCTGTAAATGGATATACCTCTGAAACTTACTTGTACAGATCACAAAGACTATGTAAACATTTTGTTTCCCGTGCAAGATTTTGTCCGTTACCTTTATAAAACAAACAAGAAAAGACTAATGACCTCCAAGACTCATTTCCTGCTTTCTAGACTAGCAATGAACCAGAGAGAATAAAAATAAAAAAAATAAATGCATTGCTTGAGAAGTACAGCAGGGCTCAAGATTGCTACCAATACAGGTAACAACAACCAAAGGTTCTAGACCCAGTTGTTCAAAGAGTGGATAACACTATCCAACAGATAAATTGCTATCTAGCAAATTAGAGACAACAAACTGTACTGCACTATCCACTGTATAGAAATTCATCCTGTGGATAGCGTTTTCCACCCTTTGAACAATTAGGGCCTGATTTTCCCACAAGGTGAATATATTTTTGAAGCTTTTGAATTAAAAGCTAGTCAAGCCAAGTCCAAAAGTACCTTGTATCATCTTGATTTATATCCATCTCTAGAAAAAAAAAGGAAACTTGCATACACAAAGTCTGTTACCTTCAAACTCCTCCATCTTTTAACACACATTCTGTATAGGTGATCATTCTCCCCCCTTTATTTAGGGTGGCCTCAGTATTTAAAGGAGTTACCTCACATATCATATATTCTTGTACACTCAAACTTGTGGTACTTACAGGTACATACAAATGCAGCTTTTAAATTTACAACTTAGACTTTCCTACCAGTTCCATTTTTGCCAATTAGGTGATAAAAGGCAAATAACCATTTTTTTTTTCAATTATGGGTCCTGAGAAAGTAAGGTTAATTTCAACAGCTAAAATAAGAGTTGAACTTACAGTTTTGGGTACAAATTGTCATCACCAGAAAGGCTGAGGTCATTGCAGCCTTTATGTTTTTGGCTTGCAAATTACACCGCAACACGTTAAACACACTTTTATTTGTCAGAACTCTTTGGCAAAAATCTGCAAGTCATTAGAGCATGTTAACCCTAAGCAATTGAATTCAACTTATGGTAACATTTAATTTGCTACATATAGTCACAATAAAGGACAAAATAGCCAAACAAATAAATCAGTCAATTAAAAGCAAACTAAAAATCTTTTTCATTGGTGGAGCATCCACTTATTGACTCTTTTGTTTACTAATATCAATTGATTTAGCTATCATTATTTAGTAAAAATCAAACTGTGTTAAAATAACGAAGAAACACAAAGCATAACCTCTAGCTATCAAGGCTATATGATTTATGCAAGCAGACAGTTGAGATATATGCATCTATATTTGCAACACAATATCCAAGAGTCATGATTTGACAGTCTTAGCACCACAAATATTATTCAATACATATTATTTTTTAAAATTTTATATTTAATGATTGACTCACCATTTCCTTCTGCAGCCATGGCCAATGTATAAAGAGCTGACTGCACAACAGTGGGACTCGTCATAGTTTTACACAGACTGAGGACGTATTCCATGCCATTTGATGAACACAAATAGTCTTGAGCTCTTTCTAAAGAGATGTAAAGATGTCGTGATTTTTTTATTTAAAAATACCGTCCTTCAATAAAAACAAGAAAAATCGTTGGGAGACACAAACTTATGAACTTTTCTCTCCCAATTTTTTTATTTTTAATTTCTCGTCAAAATCTTCCTTGATTGGTATAAAAATCATGAACTCCTTGTGGTATATACTGATATAAAAAATAATGTTAACAACTATGACCTTAGCTCTTCCCAAACGTTGTCATTTTTAAAGGAAAGGGTATCCACCATTTTAAAAAACTTGTTTTTGACATGGCTCGAGCAAATTACTCTCGGACTCGCAGATCTTTGTAAACTGTAAAGACTATAAAGCATTACGATCTGAAATTCTTTTCAGAAGCAGACGTTAGACTCACTATTCTTCGACAGAATTTCAGCCAGTACTTTCAGAGCCTGTTGTTGTTGAGAGGAATCGTCCTTCTGGTATTCCAGTGACTCCACAAGGAGCTTTACATCTTCAATCTCCTTTTCTGGAGAGTGACTACCAGCGTCCATGGTGCTGTAACTAAATTGAACAAATTAGAATAACTCCTTTGACAGGATAATTCGGCAAATAAATGCAAACCTGAATTGCCACAGGTAAAAACATGACCAACAATTAAAAGAGGCAAATGTGATTCAAACAATTAAAAACAATTGTATGTAAAAACCTGTTCAATTATATCAGTGTAAGGAAATCTAAGATGGCTAGTTAGATGGCCTCTCAACTCACTCAAGGCCAGTTTCCCGCGGTCTAACAAAGTTTATGCTAATGACCTGTGACGATTGCGGTGACGTAATGCAAATCTGAGGAAGAACAGATGTCGTGGGAGTGCTGACTTGTACCGGAGGTTAACATTAGAGAGAGAATGGGTCGGAAAGTTTAAAAAGGTACACTTTAACGCTTATATTAGTATTTGACAAATGGTATTGAGTCGAACTGAAGGTCGAATCAAGAAGTGGAAAAGAGTGGTAGCCGAGGGTTGATTCGGAGAAGGAAAGGGGATACGGGCAGGGAACTGAGTCAGCCCAATGGAATGGTGATTATGTGTGAGAGTTCTGCTTAATTTGGAAACATTCAGTCCTCCTTGAGGTTTTCATGCACTTTTAATCCAGCTAACTTTGGTTTACTTTCTGCGGTTTTAATTTTCATTTTACCACCAAAGCAAACGAAATGTACATGTCAGCGCATACTGAGTTCTTTTCTGAATTGCTTCATGTCGAATGTGACAAAAGGTCTCAGACTAAGCCAGCTTAAGAACAAGTTTTGCGTATTTTCAAGTATCATCCTGACCCGTTTACTCGAAACATTTACAAAGCAAAGAGCAGTGAGGTATGATATCAGAAATTGTGCCATTCTAGTTAAAAGGGCTCTTAGAAGAATCATTTGGTGAATACCAAGCCTACAAGCCCTCCGTACTTTTCAGATTATCACTAATTTTTAATTAATATCGCTCATATTTCACCGAATACCTCTGTATTAGGTGAAAGCCATGCAGTTTACTAAAACAGGTCAGTTGAAATTAAAAAATAATTAAACATTGTCGCAAAGGAACGGCAATCGAGGACAGTGTATAAAGAATGAATAAATAAACAGGTAAATTCCAGTTTACTGAAGGAAGGAAATTTAGCTAAATTTAGTTCAATTTAAGAAGGTCCAGTAAAACATTCCCAAAGCCAGCAGAAAAAAAAGACGTTAAATTTAGAAAGTAAAACATGCCCTCTAGGCATCTCTAAAAATACGATTCAACTGTTCTTTCGTGTCACTTAAAACCATCCGGCATAAGTGGTTCCTCCTGATAAGCCACATATGTGCGTTATCGGTTTAAATGTAAATAAATGATGAATCTTTATCGCGAAGAGTCCTTGCTTTCAGATCTTCCCGAGGATTTACATAAAATGCATGACGTCTCTTCAGTAAAATGTCCACCTCAGATTGATGTTTCCTCAATTTTGTCGAAACAAGTTTCTCTGCTGTTCTTGCTATTGAACGTAATTACAACTCAGGCTCCGTGTAGAGCTCTCGGCAATGACACATTGTTGCTGACTGGGTTCGATTTCTGTTGACGTCATCTGCTGCATTTTTGAAACTGCACTCGACTTCCTTTCCTTCGATTTGGATTGGTTTCATCTGAACAGGCGCGAAAAGCGCTTGGAAGCTTTCCAAACGGCATCCTGATTTGAAGATCTAAAAGATAACAGTACACGTGAAAGACTGTGCGAGGAGCAACAGGTTGTCTTGAATAACATAGCCAAAATTTTGGACATTCGTACATGGCAACCAGTGAACGCTTCGCTGCTAAAATTACAGATCTATAATTTGTTCGCTAGTACGAGTAAATGTCGCGAGAACAACAAGAAGTCTGCCCGAAGTATATCTCAGTAAGCAAGAGCGCTATGACTGGTCAAATTAGCGGGCCGTGTCAACTTATCAGCAAACAAACTCTAAGTCTTACCCTATCAAGGCGTTGTGAAACTCGTAAAGTTGTTGAGGAGTTGCTATGAAACTACCGGGAACAATCTGGGTTTGAATAGACTGAAGCGCAACCTCAACCCACTTCGATGTCTCCTGCGTGGAACACGAATAGCAAAAGACAACATAATGTAAACAATTGAATAAAATAAATAAACAACGAAGGTTGACATTCAAAAAACACAAGCACTCTCAAATTCCATTTAGATCAGGAAACAGAGGATGACTCCCTGAGCTTGTCCCGATAATCAAAGAGTAAAGCTACTAGGAGCATTTCTATTGCCCCTGTGTAGTATGCACCCCATTGCAGGTTTCCCCGACCCTCAGTATTTTAGTATTTCATCTGGTTTCGCAGAAAATTCGCTGGTGAGCATGTCAAGGTGATTCCTCAGAAAAAAAAGAAAAGGTTATAGAACAATTTTTATTAAAACTTAATTGTTCTCTACCGATGTCTGTTTAGAGAAGTACAACAAAAAGGGATAAGTCACCGTACTTTTTAAAGAGATATGATAGGCTAACCTTACCCCATTTATGCCTGTGCTAGCACCAATCACGCGCGTTATTTCATCACTACATTTTGCGTTAGCTGGAAGCAAGAGTTTTTAAAGTAACTCTTGAAAAAAAAAACTTGAGAGGTTAAAAGTCTCGAGAGTATGAAACGATTTGATATAAAATTTGAGGAGAAATCACACAATCTTAAACGACATCGACTCGACTAGTTGCTTTCAAGGTAATAATTTGCATCCTCGAGTAACAGGCTTCATGCACGCTTTTAGATATATCTTTTTTTCCATTTGATTAATTTCTTCAATTTCTCCAGTTCAAGAGCTAAGGACCATCATACCTCTTAACCTGGACCCTGGCCGTGTTCTCGGAATGCGCGCGCGCTTATTCGCCTGATCACGCGCTTTTATGCCCTATGTAGAATGCACGATGCAAAACTGAATATGAGTTCCAGGTAACTCTCCGAAGAACGCTACACGATGTCACAGTTAGGACTTGAACCCGGACCTTTCATTGTCCCCCACCCTCCTCCGCCCCATCGCGTAACCGAGGATGTGGCCCAGCTAAATTCTACTTAATTATCTGTTGAAGTGCAATTAGATTACCTATCGTAAAACCAAAACCAGAATCACAATAACCAATCAAAGCAAAAGGGGAATATTATAAGTCGATGAGAACCTACCGCAAAAACAAGGACACCTGCTAAGGCGCAAGAAATCATGATTGACCAAATCGAGATTCAGTTTCAGTTTAAATCTGATTGGCTCGGAAAGACGCGCGAGTTTTCTAATGCAATCACATAGCAATGCAAAGCAAAGCAAAACCAAAGCAATCCTAGATTACTTTCTACACTTAATTGAAAATTTCTCTCTTTATCTACTATTTTAATCATTCAAAAGATTACTTTTCATATAAATATCACCTCTGGACAAAAAGTAATAAATTCCCATAACACTTCAGATACATCCACCACCATGTAAGATGGTATGGCTCCTGCGCATGCTTGAATAAGACCTAGCAGAGAACACATCAGATGTAAATAATGAATTCTCATAACGGTTAAAGCAAAAACAAACAAAGCAACATGAAACAGTATTTACCGGTCATTATATTTTGCCCGTGAACTGTAAGGATCTTCTGAACTAAAGTAAGCCTCTCTTGAATATCATTCCGAGACTAAGACCAGAAAGAAAATATTGATTATGATACAATTCCTGTGTGGGTAATTTTGCGTGTATCCAGAAAAAAGATTGTAGTCTATAATGGCCTCTTGCCAAGGTAAGAGGGCTTGCAACAACGTCCAGCAATTTACATCGTGTAGTTTGATCTTATGGTTAAGAAATAACCTCAAAAAGCTTTGATTGGCGACAGTGACTGATGTGATAGTGTCTCACGTGACGATGACTTACCTTCCGTGTTCAAGCCATTTGCTAACAAACAATGTACAGCAATATAGGGAATTCAATAGTAGCCGTGTAGCGGATAGATCTAATCGATTACCGATTTCTTGCCTTTACACAAACGACACACTCGTAATTATCTTCAACTGTTTTCAAATTGACCTACTCCTCAGTAGGAACAGAAAAGCAACACAGTCTAAGGAAAGATCTCAAAACAGGAGAAAATGCTACTGCAACAGTCTAGTTCGAAATTTCCTAGGGTAGTTCGGACGTACGGGAGGCCCTCCAAACCTTCAAAAATACCTGCCTACCTCTCTAAACTGACAGCCTTATTTACACCTTTTGACCCCTAAGAGTGACTTGCATCAAATCTCTCCTTACAATATCACCCCATATTCAAACGGTAAAGTCAGGAAAATAAAGGTTATCAGTACCAAACGAAGTGTATGGAGACGGGTAAAGAGAATAATATATACATTTAGCCAAGCCTAAAAGCGGAGCTCGCAATTTTTTTTCCGCACGTCTCAAGGGCACAACGCCTTGCCCCGGCCAGGACTAGAACCCGGGTCGTCCGACTCAGAGCCCAGTGCACTGACCACTGTACTACTGAACAAAGCCGTGGTGTTGGCGTGCCCGCGGTACAGTTGACCACGCATGTTAAAAGTAGCACCTTGTACGGTCGTACGGTCGTACATCCAAATTTTTTCGGCTTGATGGGTTACTACTATTTTGTATAATTATGGGGCTACGCTCTGCGAGCTCCGCTATTAATACTGATGTTAGGGTGTAAAGGGTTAATGAAACCGCAGGAAAAGTGTAATACTGCTGCAAATGGTTTGGTGTGTATTCTAACTAAGTTGCAAAAAAATGACCAGAGAAGAAATGGAAAATGAAAGGTCATAAAATGGTGTCATAACAAGAAATGACACTATCCAACACAAACAAAATATATCTCCGATAAAAACAATACCCTTGGCAAACACGAACCTTTTCTGTGGCACAGCTGACCAGACTTTTAAGGAATTTCATAACTGACAAATTTGCGTCTCTGTGTTCTAATGTACTTGCCACTATGGCACACTGGATAGCAGGGACTGCAACATCGCACTTTAGAAAAGCCACAGGACACTTCTGAAGACATCTGCATTACGACAATGAATATGAAATGAAGGTTGCGGCTAAATCTGCCGAAATTTCATGACTACATTAATTTAAAACGTTTAGGTTTCTTAGACAGGGTAGACATGAGTTAAACAATCACGTGCATATCATCTGTTGGGTTCCAAGATCTGAGATTCAATTCTTCCTGCTTGCCGACACGTAACTCCTTGCATAAAAGGGGTAAGTTTACAAAAGAATCTGTGGCGCAGCGCTGTTGGGGGTTTTACAAGATAATTAATTCTATTAACTGAGTCGAATTTTTAATGTGAATTGGCCACCGTAAAGAGGTTCCAGAGCTGACGTTTTGAGCGTTTCTAGTTGAGGTTTGTCTTATCTTATCATATGTGTGGTTGATCGTGAATTAATTATGCAGGGAGTTTAACAAAATGAACAGCTGCAAAGGGAGAAGAAAAAAATCACCATACTCATCGCTTACCTGCCGCACAATCTAAACAAGTCATCGATAGTGTCGGGATGTTCAATCATTCCTTTGTCTTGGCTTAAAAGTTGAAATGCTGGACCACAGAAAGCCTGAATAAAACAAAACCAAACTAACGTTTTCTTAGGACTCTCCCAGCTACTCAACAATCCCAAAACATCATCGTTCTTAAGAAACACTATTGCCAGGTCACGATAGCCCTCAAGAAATATTTGCGAGATTTATCAATAGTAATTGTCACATAGCTTCTAGAACCTTGGCTTGTAGGTTTTAATACTCCTACTGTCGAACCTCCAAGCAATAAGTTTCAAACCTTAATTAACCTTAGGTCAAAAGTTGGGTCGCGACACAACTTCAAGTTGGGACGACACAACCATGTTTTGGGACGATAGGACTTCACTTGAAGGCAGCGAAACTTAGGCAATCGTGCAACGGGGCGACGTAACCTGTCACCGAAACTTATTGTTGTCTAAGTTACAATAGAGTTCTCTGTAGCTCAGTGGCACAGCATCGGACCGTGGGACCCAAAGGCTTAGGGTTCGATTCCGCTTGGTGATATTTTTTTCCTTTGGTCCCGCGCTCGTGACGCCCTGAGAGTGACTAGCATCTAATTTCACCCAACAATATCACCTCTGAATCAAACATTGAGGTCACCAAAATAAAAGAAACGAACACCACCTAAAGAGGATCTTGATTGTTAAACAAATTCTCCCTGTCAGCACTTTGGCAAATGTATAAATAACCGTATGGAGAATATTCACACTGATGTAAAACTATGAAGGGTTAATTATTTTTGTAATTAATTTCAAATGCATAATCATAAGTAAATGACAACTATTAGCTTTTTCGTTTTTCTTCTCAATTGTAATCATACCATAGTCATGCCTATTAGTCCAGGAACACATCCAGCCTCGTCACCATATTCATCAACTAAAATGCTTCCCAGGTACAGAAAGCAAGAGTGGGGATTGGTACCGTACACGCTCACCATCTGTTCGGGTAACAAAAGGAAGGCGCGAGTAAGCGACACCGACTAACAACTGTTACGGAATCTATGCAACACGAGGCGTTCGTTCCCAGGAGTTACAATAATTTTTTTTCCATAGGCGGCTGCAAATGATGTGATTGGCGGCTGTGCCCGAAAATGGGCCGTAAAGCGAAACCAATCATGAAACTGTTCGCAGGCTAAACAGACGGTGGTAACAGGTCTTGGAGGCGCCGCAGGACCGCCAGGAACCCGCCTTTATTGAAACCCTTGCCTTCCGATGACAACCTTTAATGTTGCGTCTTGATTTTGCTTCCCACTTTCTTTTTTGTTTTTAAAAAAATAAAACTAGCTGGCAATCAGTGGAAACCTCTACAACGCAGGCACAAACACCAAATTGAGCCGTTTTCTAACTCAAAGTCTGTATTCAAAGAACTCTTCAGGAGACTTAACATAACAGTAAAATTGCAGGTTTCACTGAAGGAGTTAAAAAGAGAGAAAAGGACATTAAAAGCAAAAAATTTGTTTCACCTGGGAGACCAATGGAGAGAGTAAATTGATTGCTGATTTGCCAAGACAGCGAATTGCGAATCTAATACATCTGAAACCAAAAGAAAAAAATATGAGACAAAGACACCACCATAAACATACCTTACAAATGCTCCCTAGGGCAAATGGTGTTTAATCCCAACCAGAGGATAACTTAGAATATTAACTAAAAAACAAGGATCGTCCCCTAACGACAAAACTGTTTCCTTATTTCTCCAACCAAACAAACAAAAAGAGACCCAAAATTAAAAGCAAATACATCCGTTAATGAACAGAAGACAACTACAACGACACCACACGGTCAAGGACGAGGATCAAATCCTAATGACGGCGAAAACATGCACAATGAAGAGTAGAAAACTTGGTAAAAGACGAGACAAACGTAACAAAACAAAGACAATTGTGAGAACAACTTGACGACGACCCAAGAGAACGATAAGTGTGTTACTGAACACAATAATTGAATACTACTGTCGATTAGGAGGATCATATTAAGACAATAGCAAGAAAACAAGAAAGACGACAAACAATGACGATCACAGAAAAGACAAGAGGACAAGTGGGTCAGCGAAGATCGATAAAGTAGTCGCTCTCTTACCTACAACATCTCTCGATAATCTTCAGGTCCCCTCTGTACTTATCACAGATGTTGGAAAGTATTGGCCACACCTACAACGCCAGAGAAAATGTCATTTCTCAAATTTCCATTTCATCTCCGGTTTACAATCATTACCATTATTATTGTAGTTATTATTAATTTAATGTTCGTGCATGTCTGCATGTAGGTTAATGTGGCGTTCCCTGTTCCTTTATGATCTATCATTTTCTCATATAGTGTTTTCGTTTCTTACAAAGCTAATAGTCTCTTGCATGGCAAATAGCTAACTCCAAACTGCAACCGTTTGGTCTCTATGACGAGCAGAACAAAACTTGAGACACAAGTGTCCAGTACAAGACACTAGTATCTAGGTGTTCCAAACCAACCCTTGAACCCACTCATTCCAAAAAATAACTCTTGCTGTCTATCTGGCGAACGCTCGACCTCGAACCAAGTTGAAAACGTTAAGCTACAATTCACCTCGCTCAGTTCATGTACACAAGTGACAGGCCTTACCTCCTCTACGACTGTAAGAGCTGGGTGTACCGTACCATTTTCTATTTTTGGATTAACATATCTGCAGGAGAGTGAAAAGGTAGAGCTTTTGAAATCCACGTGAAATTCAGACTGGTCTGAAAGCCAGCTTTTCGATTCTAAATTTCTAAAGCCATTGATAGAACGTTAATGCAATACGAAAACAGACGTGGCTCAACATGGTATTTTTTTTCACGACCATATACTTAATCAGTGGGGAAAGTTCGTTATTTTTGTTTAATTTTATTTTGTTTGTGTTCATTCGTTCGTTTTTCGGTACGATATTTTGTTGTTGCTTTTTTTAACTTTTTTTTTGCTAGCTTGTTCGTTCGTGTTTTTTCATCGCTTACCTAAACGTAGCAGCCAGTCTGTCCAGCCACAGAGTGGGATCTGGATACGAGTTCGCAGGAGCAGATAGAATCTTGTAGGAAAAGTAAATCATAACGAAAGGTCATTATAATAATGGAAAACATCCAGAGAAGTAAATCAGAACCACTTAAAGGGGATTGGAAACGGCTTTGAGCACCAGGAAACACGAGCCACCGAGTCGCAATCGATTTCACTTTCACAACTGATCGGTTAAGAGGAGGGGGAAAAACGAAGTAAAGCAGTATTAATTAGATGCAATCTCAGACTAATTTGACATCCAAACAAAAAACTCTCTAAAAAGAAACCAATAACAACTATTGAAAATTATCACAACGTGTAATAAGGAAATAATTTCAACAACGATAAGCGTTCAGTCCGCGTGCATAATACATTTCCTAAAACAGGGACCACTGTTTCAGCATGCAGATCTATGTTTTTGGGTTTCACGTTACCTTGGAGACGCGACAGATTTTGAAAACACTTACCTGTTTAAGTGACGTCACATGTATTCCGCAGATAGAATTTAAACCTTCGGAAAGTTGTTTTGACTCTATCCCTTCTAAAACTTTACACACTCCTACAACAAATACAGATTAATAGAAGCTGAGATATATTCTTGAAAAGGAGATGGTGTCACATCTGATGCACAGATTTTACTTTTAAGAGCTGATCAAGTTCGTTCTACTGTCCCAATTTTCCTCCTTTCTCAAACTAATTCTCCATCATTTCAAGCCCTTTCCATGACACACACTTTAACATATCACTTTCCCACCTTCCGTGGAAAATAAGGTAAAAAATCCATTACTTTAAAAGTTTCCTGGTCTGGAATCCTGCATTACGAAATCAAGAAGCTAACCTTTCAAGAGTCCAATATAAGAATCACTTGAGATGGAAAGCGAATCGGCTGCTACTACCACCTGCGATGATAAAGACAAAAGTTAATCCTTTTAAAATAGGTGGAAATCCCCTTACTCGCCTGTAAACGCGCGCGAATCGCGTTCTCTCTGGAAATGGGTTTAAACAGTCATTCCAACATTACAAAAGTAAAACTTCTGTACACTAAGTAGTCCACGCAGGAACTCAAGGATTGACTAGCCCATTCGAACGATAGCTTGGGTTAAGGAAAACCTTCTCTAAGAGTTCTAAGAAGTGGAAGACCCGAGCCATTCTTAAAGCGAACTGCTCAACCAGCCAGATCGGACAAACGGAGATCAGACCAAGACTAACTTTCATTTCAGTAGGAATATTTTTAATTGGTTTGTAAGGCTATGGTGATATGAAAGCATAGGAACTTAAAACTTACAACTCATAGAAATTTAAAACGTACCATGATAAAACAAACCTTAACGCAGTGTAAATTAGAAAACTTTTCAAATAGTCTTTAACTACAGTTGAAATTGAAGTGTTCTGTCTATAACTAGTTTAAAAAATAACGCATCATAACTTGTCGTTACCTGAGCTAAAACGTCGAAATATTTTGTCATTTGTGAATGACAAGCCATACAAAGGCTTTCAATAGCTAAGGCTGACACTGACGATAGTTTGGGATCTTGAACAGTTGACAACAAGAACTGAAGTATGGGATCTGGACAAGAAAAAAAGGAAAACTTATAATTAAGAAGCAAGAATATAACACCATCACAGAAAGTAATACAAGGTGATTTAGTGTCACGCTGTAACTCTCTTAACCAACAAACATAAAGTTCAATATCTTCTGAACAAAAATGGAATGAAGTGCAAGATGATGTAATCCAATGAATGACACAAGCACACTCAGAGAAAAAGAACTCCGAGTGCTCCGAATAGGAGTTGAACCTATGACCTTCCCATTAGTGCTTCGGACGCTTTAGCACTGAGTCACAGGAGACTCGTGGCAGGCTAGGCGGTCAAACTAGGTCCACGGTGACAAATATCCTGCGTATTGCCAGGATAGGAAAAACGGTATGTGATGCATCTGCGCGCAGGCGTTACTCAGTGAATGACACAGGCATAATGGGGAGGAAAATCTAGCCAATCCAAAAGTGCATTAATTAGATTTTCATAGGCGGCAGATGGTTTTAGGAAATATTTAAATCCTTAAAGGAAAACATCTTCAGGATTCCTAAATAACTGGAAAGCTGCCTAAGGAAAGGGGCTGCGCCTTGTGTTTCTTACAGAAAAACTGCTAAGAACGTAGTGGCACTTAAGCAGACTACACCGTGGGTTTAATTCATTAGAGTCCGCATTCTACTTACCAAGATAATCCGGATGTGTTTTTATCCATTCTGCCAGCTCACCAACAAGTTTAATGCTTGTGTGTCTCACAGCCACATGTAAGCTTGATGGTAAGTTTAACACTACGGGTAGAACGTGACCAACCACCTCAAAATTCCTGAAGAAGACAATTCAAGCGGAAAACCTTAAACTTGTCAACAGAGGTTGTCCTGTTTGAATATACAATTCAAATAATAGCTCCATTTGACGATGGTCTCGGAAACTATCACTTTTGTAAGTGAAATATAATTTGTCTTATAAAACAAAACATTGTTTCACCAGTCAGCAAGAAGTGCACGGCATTCAGCGATAAAACTGCTAGATCAGTTACAGATAACATGGTAGTGATGAGCTGACCTCATCCCACAGACACTTCATAAAAAAAAAATGAGTTCGGTTATCTTACGGTGGTACATTTCTTGCCACTGTTGACATCACAAACAGGATGGCTTCCGTTGATTCCCAAGGAACTGCGTCTCCTTGCTGTACAATACTGTTGTACATCTAGAGATACAAGAATTCACATCTATCAATTCCTTTTGCTTGCAAATGACTCAAAGTCAATTAAAGTATATTTACTTCTACAGCTTTCTGACCTTAAAGCCTTTTTTTCCTTTTACACTGTTTATATGTTGTTGAGTGAGACAAAACATAGGACCCGTGCCTGAACAACTCCTATACAACCATTTTAACTATCCCTATACCGTCTTACCTGACTAAAACAGTTTCCTGATCCTACAATAAATACACAATCCTTGATGAGATCCGCGACCCTGAGTCGAAACTCTCCAAACTCGTCACAGTCATCTGGGATTCCTTGCTGTAGAATGGGAGATAACAACAAAACATTGCTGACTGGTTCGATTTCTTACAAAGTAGCAACGAAAAAAAAAGTGTTTAAAAGTTAATAATTAAAACCTTTCTGTCTTTAATGCCTCCTACTAGAACCTACAAAACGTATTTTCTTTTGACAAGTTAATTATCGACACGCAATATTCTTTGCAATCTTTTGTACTCTGTTCAGTTGACCTGATTTTTCTCAGATCGTTCGTCAATCGATAGGGCATTATACATGGAAGGAGCGGAGGGGAGGAACGGGGTGGGGTGGGGGTGGGGGTGGGGGTGGTTTTTCAACTTCCAGGGACTTAACGACGCATTCGGCCAGACCAATCCGGAAGTATCTGACCAAACATGTACGAAGCTACGCGACCTTTTCCACAGCTGTCCAAAAAACATTCTCATCAACCACTTTGGATTACGATAAATTCACTTATTATTAGTAGTACTATAAATCATTATTATTTCTGTACTTACAGCATCAGTTTCTAACCGGCAGTGGACGCACAACGCTTCAAGTAAACTTTCAAAATATGGTCTAAAGAGGGCTGCCTTTGCTTCGTCTTCCGTCTTATACAAAGCTTCTGATAGACGATACCAGAAGTTAAATGTTACCTCTGCCACCTGTAAAAAAGTATCAGAAGATTTTCATCCAGAAAATTTTGTTTAAATAAGCTGGTGCTCTACGTTTGAATTTAGTTGGGTTGATTTACTGCACATGAAGAAATTTTCAATTGACTGCTTAGAGCGCTTTTCCATCGTGTGTCATTAAACCAAAACCAAACTAATTACAACAGCCAAGATAAAAGGCAATATAACTAGCTGTTAATAAGGACTCAAGAAAAAAGCACGCAAATTACCTGAAGATTGGGAAATCGCTTTTATTCGGTTTTACGACAATCGATTAAATTAAATGCCCCCTAAAGAACACGAATGAAGACTGCGGCGAGATAACAAATTACCTCATATTGATAATGCTTTACACATGTTAATATAATGGTGAGTGTTCCTAAGTCACCAAGACCCTGCAAAAGAGAGAAAATAACAAATTTTAAGTCAAGGACTTATTAAAATGCGACAGATTAAGTTTTTGCATCAGTTTCACGAGACATAAACAGTGCATGCAATGTATGTGACAAGCAACGCTGTCATACATAAATTCCATTCAAATGCTTTTTTCCAAATTCTTAAATCTTGAATGTGGAATGATGGAGTTTCCTGTTTTCTGAAGTAACCTGTTTCACTATCACTCTCTTGAGGGCTGATTAGTAAAAGATTTGGTTCTAACTGTTGCGTCGTTTCGGTCTACGGTCTCAAAGAATACTTACAAGTATTATAAGCAGTATCTATTGTAAATAAAGATCCTCTTACCCTGCCAGGTGACTCGACAATCACAGGTAAGAAAGATTCTCCCATTTCAGTAAAAACTCTGCAGATATTGAGAGCGCTGCAAAAGTAATACACAAAGGACATGAAATTTGTCTAACAACCGCTTCACAACATGTCTCCCAGCTGGCTAGAAAGAGAGTACCTTATTGGTACTTAATTTCGCGGGTACTTAATTTCGCGATTTTGGCGAGGCAATATTTCGCGGGGTTTTATTTACGCGATTTCAATAGGCAAATATGAAAAAAGGGCATTAAATTTCGCGATTGAAGCGTTCTCAACTTTATTTTATTTTTCCAAAGGTCTGAACTGTTTAAAGTTTCTAGATAACTGGAACACAACAAAACACATATTTGAAAATTAACGTTAAAAATAAATGTATTACAACGTGAAAACGCATTGTTTCAGTGGTTCGCGGCAACGTTCATAATGGAATTTACGAGTAGAAACCAGTTAATATTTTGCGTTTTGTTGATAAATATCCTGTAAATTTTGTTGCCATTACGAATAAATCATTTTTTTCTACAGTTTGATTTTTTTGTATGGGTATTAAATTTCGCGTGTTTAAATTTCGCGAGGATTTTTTTTCGCGGGTCTTTAATTTCGCGATTTTTTTACAATCGCGAAAAACGCGAAATTAAAGACCCGCGAAATTAAGTACCAATAAGGTATTCCAAAGAAGAAAATCATTGATAGTGAACTATGATTCTAATATACAATTCAGGAATAAATATCCAAATGCAATGGGGAAATATTTAATTAATGCAACCTGAACTGAATTGTTCAAGCTGAGACTGGAACAAGATGATTTCCTCAGTTCTGCCTGAGAAATAATCGTGTCAAAAGATGGAAAATATAATTACTACTAAATGTTGTGACCATGATGACAGTTACTTACCGATCAAAGTCTTCACTTTGCACAGCTTTCTCATAAGCTGGTGGCAGCATCATCACATAGTTAAAAAGTCCTTCAGCAAGCTTTTCCTGTTTGTCAAGGTTCTAAACAGAGAAGAAAAGAAATCACAATAAAAACAAAGAAGGCTAAGTCCAGTTTGATGATTAAAGTTGATAAATTTGTCAGTCTGACAATTTCTTCAAAGTACAGTATGCATTTCTACTAACCCCTAAGGGATGGGAGGGGCCCTTCCAGTCACTATTTAATAAGGGTATTGAGTTACTTAATAAAGAAATCTAGGGTTTGGGCAAAATGTCACTTGAATTCACTTGGTGCAGTGTAATTAGTACACGAAATATTCCTTATCAGTTCATCACACTGCAAAAAGTACATGCATCTTTCTGCATATTTAACAAAATCATTGAAAATTTGCCTAAACAAGAATCAATTATTGAGAAAGTGGTCTTAAATTTACTGACTGTGAAATGTTAGTTTAGAATCTATATATTATCATCAGATATTTTGGGAATTAATGTTTCAAATACAAGTAGTAAGTAATCGTTTGGGATTCACAAATCAAAGTTTAACATTCATGGCAAGGGGTAAGGCAGTTTAACAGCAACCTTTACTATGTGAACTTTTTGATTGTACAAGGGAAGAATTTATTGAGATCTTAATGGCACAAAATCTTATGTTCAGTAAAGTCAATCAATTATGGAGATAATTCCATGCAATACTAAATAAGTTCAATTGAGAGTAAATTATGTTAAAAATCACCTCAACAAACTACAATAACCAAAAGAAATGTGATTACACACCTCAGATGTGTAGAGTGCATTACAAATGAAGTCTGCAGCTACTTCATGTAACATGTCATTGCAATCAGCCTCATGCTAAAAAGGTATAAAAAGAAAAAGAAACTGCACTGTCAATTTGAGATCAGCTTTATGAGTGAATTACATGTATTGGGCAGTTTAAAATGATGGAAGTAAGCTCCATGGATCACAAGTGAATTTTAAAAAAATCTTTATTAATGGTAGTAATAATATTAAAACCAATACAGATTTGATATTGATGAAAATAATAGAAACCATCACTATCAATGTATAACTGCAGTATTATTATCATTATTACAACCATTGTATCTTAATTTTCTATAATTGTGACTTTCTGAGGGCTTATGGAGAAACTGGTTGGAATAAATGTATAAATGTAAGACAATAATTGCTAGTAAAACTACTTTAGAAACAATCCATCTTGTCAATTTATTAAGGGGACCATGGCCAGTTAATGAGTTTGAACCAATGTTATAACTTACAGCATCAAAAAATAGGTGCTTTAAAGGAATACTTACCAAGACTTTGAAAGTTGACTGCAACAAATCACTGCTTACAAATTCTATTGGTGGAAATGCACTAAGGGTCACCCAGCTACCAGCACAACGGAACATCTGAAAAAATAACCACCATAAATATCAAGTCAGCTGTCTACTGGACTATAATGAAGAGTTTGTATCATGCCTGCTTGTATGTTTCCCCTTTTTGAACATTAATTCTTAAACAAGAATCAAATGATTTTCTGTGGTTCCTAACAGAAGGCAGCCTTAAAGGAACACATTTAACCAAACAGAAGAAATAAAAAAATTGATGAACATACATTTCAATAAATCTTTCCTTACCCTAATTTTTACATTTGTATCGGTTGGAAATTGGCTAACACAAGCTGTCTGTAAAGAAAATTCAAAATAAGATTACTTTTATATAAATATGTAGTGAAAAACTATTTTAGAAAGTGAGATACTGTCAAACTTCAATTCTCTAGATGGGACCAGAGAAGCAAGTTTGGAAAATAGAAAAATCCAGATAATCAAGATTTGACTGTACTGAGACTGATGTAATACCAATGTACTAAAGGATGCCATCATTTGAAACAACCTCAATGACCTGGCCTGCACACACAAAACACAACACAGTTTGCAAACAGCTGCTGTTCTGTTTAACACACAAATAAAGATTCAATTTGAGTCAAGAATGCCTTTGCATGTTGTTCCTTCATTGTTCTAACAGATCACCAAGAGATGAGAAGAGTTAATCACACTATGGGTTACCAGTCAGGTTACCAAACAAGATTTAAAAGGACACCGAGCAAAGTAAAATTTCTAGCTTGTGAATTGACCTAGTTTCTTTGTTAATCTTAATTTAAAAGTTTATGCTCACAAGGAGATTGAGGACTGTGGCTGCTGAGGCACGAAGTTCCTGGGTTACTTCTTCCCTTCTGTTGGCACCTACTCTGAGATGATGACTACCCACCTATCACAACAAATGGTAATTAATAAATGCTAGCATAAAATCCACTTGGTTATCAAAAGAAAGGTTATCATACATGACTTAGTTTTCATCTATGCAATGGTCAAAACAATGATTTAAAAATTAAACTTGCAGCCTCTTGTTTTGGATGCAGCACACACTTCAGGGTGTAGGTAGTTACTCACAGAGACCAGTCAAAACAATTGTCTCCTAAAGGTAAGTCTCCTTATTGACAGTTAAACTTTTAAAAAACTTACTTCTGTAAATCTCCAAACTCCATACTAAATTGTCTCTGGTTGTCATATTGATTCTAAATACATCACTTGATAAAGAACTCTGAACTACATAGAGCACACTAACCTCTTCAGGAAGAACTGTTAAGATTTCTAGAAGAACAGGTAGTCTCTCCACTGATGATCCAAATCTAGAAGTGACAAAATAAAGTACTAACAACTAGAAAGCATTGTAACAAAAAATCATGAAAACATATTCAAATATTACAAGTACCTCTGACAGAGATCATTGACAACCTCCTTCCACTGTGGCATTTGTACAGCAAGATCAGCAAGGGTTAGGCATAACTGTTCAGGAAGAGCACATCAGTGATGTTTCTTAAAAGGACTAATCTTTGACTCGCACTTTTGTGTTCTTTACTTCAACCACACATTACAATGGTGTATTTGTTTGAATTATTAGGGCTACAAGCTCAAGTATTTTCCAAAGTCTCCTTTTGACTGCCCAAAATCATCAATTGGCTAGTAACTGACATAAAATTTTAGCGACCAAAAAAACAATGAAAAATACTCTTTTTCACAGTCTGAACTTAAGAGATTTTTCCATGCAAATTTAGTCCAAAAGATCTTTCTACCCACCATGGCAACCAAAACTGTCTCAACTTAGAGCACCTCTTAACTCAATCTATGTTATTCTAGCTTATAAAAAAGCAAACGCACTATACTCTTTGTCACAACACGCACTTATTCAGTTCAAACTTGGTGACTTTCCATGTAAATTTAGTCCAAAAATGTATTTATTCACCATGGCAACCAAAACTCAACCTCGAGCACTTGCTATCTCAATCTCCATCATCTGATGAATTAGGTTACAAATCCTGAAATCCAACTTTACATACCTGAGTTACAATAGCATTAGAGACAGAATGAAGAGTACATAGATGATCCAAAAGAGAATCTTTAAGCGACTGCAACAAAAAGTCAGAATAGACATAACTAGTTTAATAACATACAATAAGTAGACAATTAACCAATCATATTTGTAAACAAACCTCATATAGCTACATACAGCTCTTGATGATGATCATGATTCAAATTCATTCTGGTCACAACACAGTGTACAACACAAATTTCTGGTTAATTTATCCTTTGGGCAACCAGTTTGGTTTGTTTGGTTTCACCTTTTACTTAACCCTTTACACCCTAACATCAGTATGCATATTCTCTATACTCCTAGAGCTACATTTCCTTTGCTAATAACAAGGAGAATTCATTTCCTTTATTCTCATGATCTTAGTAAATTGCCTAACAGTATTACTGTTAGGAGAAATTAGATACTGGTCACTATTAGGGGTTAAAGGGTTAAGACCCATTGCTAGGGAGAAATCAAAGGAGGCTTGTTTAAAAATAAATAAATAATAAATTCTCAATTTTATGTAATGTAGTTGACATTAAGTTTTGTCCAAGTAAATGCTATAATAAACTGTTATCTGATAATTTGGTGCACACTTGTCACTTTCAAAGTAGAAATTCAGTAAACACTTTGTAAAAATATCAACTGCATTATTGGCTGTTTGGAAACTGGGCTCCATAATTGAAACAAGCATTCCTTTTGCACGGAGAACATGGTGGCTGTGAACATTGTATTTTTTATGGCTATAGACATGTTTTGAGGTTCATGCCTAAATAGGTTTAACAGAAAAATAAATAAGAAAGAAAACAGATGTAAGGATGTCTATTTCTAAATTGTGTTTATGGTCATGATATCCTATTACTACCTACTACAGTTCATTATGCAAATGAATTACTTAAACAAAAATTCCAATTGCCTGATTGGGCAAGTTTTAGAGTTGTTTACTTGCCCATAGAGATGTTCCACTTATCCCAGGCAATGGGACAAGCATTAGTGTCAAACACTGAAACATTTTATTATCTTACCTGGTATTGTGCTGGTTGCAGTTCATAAAAATAATATTGAACCTGAATGGGAAAAGGCAATTGATATTAACACCTTAGCAGTAAGAATTGCATGCATGAAATTTGTAAAGTATGTGCCATGCAGGGCTTGTACTCTTTCAAAATCAAGATTTTTTAACACATTTTAAAAAAAGGATTTGCTATCTGAATCTCATCATCAGAAACATACTTGCATGATGGGTCACACTGTCATTTAGCTTAACATCACTAAAAGCTTCATTAATGGCCATAGTTACCCCTGCTAGTAAGTAAAAAACCTTTACTTTCCCACATTTATCAACAAAAAATTATTTTGTTATCATAAAAAAGGGAGCTGCAATCCTTGACTGAACTTTTGTGTTCTTCTTAATCTACATAATTTGTAATCTGCCTATGGGTACTATGGGAGGGTAATCCCCTGATTATTTCTTACTCTAAGCCAATCAGGATGCACAATATATCAGCCACAAAACTAAGTGGTATTATAAACAATTACAATCAGTGCCTGTATTTCAACCATACCAAAATATTCTACCATAAGAATATCCTCTTTATAACACCACTTGCAAATTTCCTCAAAGATGCCCATTTACAGACAGCATTAATCAAAGAGAAAAGGGACTAGACTAGAGTTCAATCATAAAAATAGAAAGCAACATGCTTATAACTACTGATAAAGGAATACAACTAACCTTTGTACGCATGGTCTGAGCCGCAAAGTAACTTGTTTCTACATTTATGTTTAACCTTAAAAGTTGGTCAGCTATTTCCCAAGCATAAACCTAAAAAGACAAAACAATTTTTCAAAAAAACAATTTGTTTTAAGAACTGAGCCACCTGTTTCTTAATTAATCTTTCTTCTTACCATTTTCAGTGTGGGTGTAATGCATTTTTAAGACAGCCCATTATAAGAAGTATACCTGCCAATTTTTTATTTAAAATAAACAATTGTTACACCCAAAAATCAGACCTGGAACAGATTTGTTGATACGACAGGCAACACAGGAGGTCCAGTAGAGAGAGGCAAGGATTCAATAGCAAGCTTATGGTATTCCCTTGGCTAAAAAAAACATCTGTTAACACAGACTAAATAGTGGATCAAGTACAAATGATTAGGGAAACCCTTCAAAATTGTTCTTGGATTAAGTACATGAACTGCAAAGACTTCCTCTACATCAATCTACACCAATGTAAAACCAATCTGAATTTTCTGATCCAGCTTATCCAAGAAGCTTGTGTAGGTTTAGTATGACTCGAATCATGCCACATAAAAATTGAATTAAGTAGCTACACATTGCAAGGGCCATTAGCGATACTCAGAAAATAAAATTAACATATTTTCTAGCAGTACTCTAAAATTCAGAAGTAAAATGGGCACATTACAAGTACCATTAGCGATCATTAATTCGGGAATATCGACTGATCCAAGGACATAAATATCTACACTGGAAAGGATTCAAACAATTTCTCATGAGTATACAACCATGCAGACGTTAGCCCTAAACTGAATTAATAGCCAACTTCTCGAAACTGACTCGTAAACCAAGATGCATTCGAGAAGCTACATTTACCTAAATTTACCCTTACCGAGCGCTGAAGTTCGTGAAGCCACTCTGAAGCTTTCTCTTTTCCATTTGGATCCGAATCATTGTACAGGGCACCAATGATAGCCCTTACTTGATCAACTGAGGGTCGATCCATAATTGTTGTTAAAGTTGTGCTCAGTCATTCACGAGTTTTCACGTCGAGTCGCAGCCATTTTGATTAGTTCGAAGTATGGCGCTTCAGTTTTTCTAAGAGCAAGACTGGAGACTAGTCTAGCCCGTGGTGAGTAAAAACAGCGGTACAAACTTTTTTCATATAAAACAATAAAAAGAGATTTCGATAGAAAAATCTCCTTCTACAGGAATCTTCTTTCATAGCTTTTTAATACATGAATTATACCGAGAGTAAACACTTCATATTCAAAAACTCTCTCTTTAAACTTACTAAGGAATAAAATGTTCTTATGACTTAAAGGACGTTTTAGGAAAACTACACAACATATCTCTCGTCAATTAGTTACATTTTCGCGCGTTTTTCTTCACTTCGATTTCCGATCTTTCGAATACATTTCTAACTTAACTGTTACATCAAGAGAAATGCCCTCCAACGTTGAAATCAAAGCAAAAGTAAAAGATTTTGAAACCTTCAAAAGAAAAGCAAAGGAAATCAGTGATTCAGAAGGTAAGACGTTTGCTTTAAGACAAGCGGGCGGGCAAGTTAATTTGTCGCTTGAAGTCCCTGTTGGAATGTAAACGAGTTTTACCTGCTGCAGGCGACCTTTAGATGCAAATTTTAAAAAAAACCTTTATGATAACATAGTCCAGCTGAAATTTGCACTACGTCTTTTTACATTTACTTGCCTAGGAGAGATTATCGAGCAGAAAGACGTATTTTTCAATGTACCACAAGGAAGGCTCAAGGTACTTGTGAAAAATTCTCATGGCTAACACCATAGTTAGTAGAGTAGTCTCCTCTACTAACTATGCTAACACACAAAACTGGTCTCAACACACATCTTTATCGGCTGGTCTTGGGAATTTAGTGTTTAATAATTTTAGGACTGATCACTCTTAAGGGGTTAAAGTTAAAATTTCAAGTGGGGATTTTCTGTCCGATGTCATTTAGCTCAATGTCATGTGGTGCAACTGGTGTAAAGTCTTACCGACCTCGGCACACTTAAAAAGAAGAAAGTAATATACTTAAATAATTGTAGTAACTAAAGATAATAAAACATTTTTTAAAAAAGATTGGGTGGTTGAGTCCAAACCAAACTGGCCTACTGTGATTTATGTTTGTGCATGTCAGGATGAATGATACAGCAGAAATTTTTTTCTTTCAGTTACGATTCCTTCAGAATCAGCCATCTCAACTCATCTTTTATCAAAGAGATGACAGATCTGGCCCAAAGGTGTCAGAATTTTATACTGCAACAACTGATAAACCTGATGAATTAACTGATGTTCTGTCCCGTGCAGTTGGAGAGAAAGGTAAAAGAGTATTAATAAGAAGGAAAGTTTCTACCGATCAGTCACTTCAAAATGGTGGGAAGTTTAACTAATCTTTTTCCCCCAAGGGTGACTAGAATCTAATTTCTCCTTACACTTTAACCCCTTGATTAAACATTAAGGTCATAATAATAGGGGGAATGATCATGAACAAAAGCAGTTCCTGATTATTAAACAAATTTTCTTTGTCAGCACCTGAGGAAATGTATATTGAATAGTAGAGAGAACATGGATTCTGATATAATGGGATGAAGGATAAATAGTCATGCATATTCCGGTTCTAAAATCTACTAGAAACTTAAAATAAAGTTATCCATTAGGCTTCAGCAACCTCTATTACTATGATTTTGGGGAAACTGTTTCTGTGCAATTCTGTTTGACTTAGTCCCCTACATGATTCTATTAGCTGTTGAAGTCCCTAGAGAATTGGCCAAGAAGCTCTCCATGGTGTCATTAATTGAAGATATGAGTGATTATCTTGGGTTTTTAAGGTGAGAATTAATTTCTTTACTTGGTCAGGTGTGGTTAAGAAAAAGCGTCTCTTATATCTTGTGGGACAGACAAGAGTACACTGTGACGAAGTTGAAGGATTGGGTTGTTTTATGGAACTGGAGGTTTGACAACATTTCTGAATATACAATGTACACATAATTATTATAAATTAAGAAATACACAACTTTGTGCTTCCTTTTCCATGATTTCTATTGTTGCATTTCATTTTATTCATCGTATCAGCGAACAGGTCTGCATCTCATTAAATCTGCTTCATCTTAGGTCGTGATGAAGGAAAACCAAAGTGCAATGGAAGGAGAACAAATTGCAAGGGACTTAATGTCAAAGCTAGGAGTTGAAGAAGCTGATCTCATCAAAGAGGCTTATATAGATTTGCTTTCTACAAAAACTGCATAAAACAAAGGGTGTGGTACATGGAAGAACAAAATGTAACCTATATATCCATGGACTATCATCCCATCCACAAGAACATGGTTAAAGTATGTTCTTTCATAGAATCCCTTGATAGCAATTAACTTAGGTCTAAGAAGTTTATTAAAGTTAACAATGCATCCTCTCTTACCAATATTTAAAAGTGTGGATTTTCTGTTCATTTCTCCACAGATTAGAAATGTGCTGTCTGCATAACAACTACTATTCCACTCTTCAATCATAGAAATAGTCGAATTTTGATTATTTTCCTCCATAGAAATTTATGACAGTGTCATGCAGAACCATTTTCCTATGTGTTGCTGAAAGTTGTCACCCACTGAGAGGGTTTACCTAGCCTGACATGAAACACAGGCAAACTTCCTGCTAGTTAATCAAGGAAAAAAAAGCTTTGTGGAATACTTACGATCAATCAGACTCAGCATATTGCCTTCAATGGCTTTGTGTGGAAATAAGTCGCTTCCCTCACAGGGGTATATTGACCTCATGACGCAACGCGCAAGAGATTGCGTCGTATGACTCGTGACGCAACGCGCAGGAGGTTGCTTTATATCACTCGTGACGCAACGCGCAGGAAATTGCTTTCTATGTCTCGTGACGCAACGCGCAAAATATAGCGTTATATGACTCGTGACGTAACGTACAAGAGATTGCGTTCTATGACTCGTGACCGGATGCGCGCAAAAGCGTTGCTTTACGGGAGCAAGTACGGACTCTCGGGAGACTGGGGATTATGAGGGTCGAGAGGCGAACTGCAGTTTACCTCTAAGTCGGATCCAGAGAAAGAGTTTGACTACAACATTGTGAGGAGATCAGATGAAAGAAATATTGTGAACGAACTATTGTAGTAGCAGTGGTACCTCCCTTAGGCTAAAAGCACACTACCATTTAAAACCAAACCAACAAAAGGCAAAGGAGAAACAAAAAAGAAATAAATGGAAAATGTCAGAAATATAATGGGTGCGACCTCCGTTAAAATTTTCCTGTGTATCTAAGGGAGTAAGAGAAACAAACGCATCTTTTCCTCTCACCTCTGCTATCCGCTTCCGCTTTCCGACCTGAAAAAAAAATTAGGGGAAGGAACACCCCATCTTAAGTGGACCCACTTCAGGTTTACTCTAAATTGTTAGGTGGAAATCAATTGAGATTTTATTTCTTTCGAAAGGTTCCGTTTATTCCACCCAGCAAGCCTACGCACTAGCACAGAGGACGCTGAGACATAACGGAGGCAAGATGCCCATGGATGCGAGAAGCTCATCAAAGTATCCCGCGAACGAATGCCTAGCAACGGAACCACGCTCAAGGGAATCCGAGCCACATAGCAACAACACAACAACGAAAGCAAAATGGCTGTTCAAATGTCAGCAACACACTGAATGAGATTTCGCTTTGATTTCTTCCATTATTTCGGGTTCAATTCTACAGATCGATACAGAAATATGGCCAAGGTTGCAGTTGCTCCGGCTGTTCATAGTTTTTCTGATCTTCGACCATCTTCGCGTGCACTAACGATAACACCTCGGCCAGCTTCCAGAAAGCCAGCTGGCTTTGGAACACTTGATCGTCCTTCATCTGGAAACATTTCTCGCGGGCGGAATGTTGCTGTTTCTTCACGTGGATCAAAAGGGGTTGCATCAAGTATGTTAATCATACGCCCTGGAAGGCGGGATTCTTCTGGTTCAAGTTTAGGTAAGCGATATAAACAACTTGATGACCCGCTGAGCGTGTTCAATCTGTTGCTATTTTACTTTAATTATGATCTGATTAATAGAAGATCATTCCATTTTAATTTTTGTTCGTGACTTCTATTGAAAATTTTTAAAAAATCAGAGTTTCTCTATATACATTTTCCCACATAAATTTTTGGTTAACATCGAAATCTTCTGTCGGTCGCAATCAGAATGCGCGTTGTACCTATTAGAACATTGGTTCCTTCGCGCGCGGAACACAAAACATCAGTTAATAACTACGTTTTTTGTTCGTCATACAGATGCAAGTGAACTTCTTGTGCTCGAGCAAATTACATCTTTCGTACAATTGAATTCTATGGAGCTCAATAGGACGCTGTTTGATGCTCGACTACCATTGGGTTGTTAACAACATTGCTCGCTTTCGTTTGCTTATTTTCCCATGTTTTGTGTAGGTTCACCTAAGTCTCCAGACGCAAATTTGAGTTTTATAGAGATCGAGTCACGTCTGAGAGAAAAGATCCGAGTAAATGCCGCTGAACTGCGTCAGGTGAGATCCCAGTTAGCGTTGGTTTCAACAACGACATCCCTCTGATTTTTTGTTCCTTCTCCTAATTCAAATCAGTTGTCTCCAAGCAGATTCATCGAATTATTTAAAGGACAATTTACTCATTGGTTGCTTTGTGAAGCTGTTGTGATTTCTAAGAAACATTTGAGAAGAAGAAGTTTGTCCCAGTTTGCTGAGGGGGGAAAATTGTCCATTTATTACGTTCCTTGTCAGAAGTTTATCAGTTTATTGCTGACACATAATAATTTGATTACCTACGGAGGGGCTAATTAAAAAATGCAGAAAGACCTGTGGAACATAAACATTAGCTAATTCCTCACAACGTTATTGTCATTTTTTTCAGTTATGCTTTTTTTGCTCTTTTTGGGAAATTATTCTGATCTACCATTTCATTACATTCAAATAATATTTTCTAGTTAAAGGTGGTTCTACATATTACACATCCCCATGTATTGTGATCTGAATTATTGTTAAAATATTAACAAAATTTTCTTTTTTCATTTACAAGGCTCTGCAAACATTTGATGCAGAAAAGACTCACACAGTAACTCAAAGTGAATTTAAAAGAGCTCTGGATTCGTTCTGTGTTCCTCTCACCGAGGATCAGTTTGAGCAACTCATTAAAAAGGTACAAATTCCATGTCCCTCTGACAGATGCATTCAGAATGTGGGTACTTTGTCCCAAGCTGTCTTACCCTGCTCCCAAGAGTAATCTGTCTCCCTTCAAGTGTGATCATGTTATATTGATCAAAGTTGTCGATTGTCTGATGCCTCCAACATTTTAATTCTTACATGTACATATTGACAAACAAATTGTTTGTTGAGTTCATTAAGTTTTCCAAACTTGGCAGTAGTTAAAAAGTCATTTATGTGTCAAGTTCCTTGCTTTCTTATATCCCTCTCAGCACTGGTTGGAAAACACATTAAACAGCTGCTGTGCTGTTTTCTGACCTGTTTGGTCTTGCCACTCTAGTCTAGATCCGCCAGGATCAGGGGAAATGTAACTACTCAATGTATGGGTGTGGTCACTCAGTTAGGGAGGGAGACATGACTAGGATTCCCATGTGCATCAGACCAGTTGACTCAAACTTTGAACTTATTTGGTTTTGTTGTTGTTGTTATTCAGTCTGCCATGTCTTTGTTCTGAAATGTATGCATGCACACTTCACACATTTTTCTGTAATTATTTCTCAGACTGAGTATAGTTACATTACAGTCACCTCAGTTAACCCTGGTTAGAAACCAACAGTGGCAATAAACCAAGGTAATTAATTAAATTGTTTTGGAATTTTTTTAATTAAACAGATTGGTACAAACAGAGATGGGTCAGTATCATATATAGAGTTCTTAGAGAAGTACCACCAGAGAGGAGGAACACCAGAAGGGTTACGATTGCTTGGCACTCTACACAAGTAAGTGTTTCTTTTTGTTTCAGGAACATATTTTGACATTACTTTGCTAGCACTCTTGAGCACTTCACAGTTTACGTTGTAGAGGAAGGTTTTCTTAGCTTTTACTCAAGTTTACTTCAGGTCTCTTCTTATAGCCAAGATTGGCTTATAGCCAAATAAATATAGTAAATGAATTACCATTGATCCTCTGGGTAGTCATGAAAAGGATTTCTGTTGTCGATAGCTGCTGATATCGACGTACCTTTCCACAACCTTCAGGAGGTTATAATGTCAGAGTCAAGTGAAAATTGTGTCAACATAAATTGTAAACCACTATTAATTCAGGCTACACTGCATCTTTTAAAACTTAAACCATCTATTATTTTGGTCTTCTCCTTGTGATTATTACAATTCTTGTGTCTAGGTTTAACCAAACAAAATCTCCAGGAGATGCCTTACCCATTGATGAGATTGAGAACCAGTTAAGGAGAAAGGTAAAGATTTTATCACCATGTTACTTAAATGGTAATTTATTGGTGATATCAATTTGCAGAAAAATTATCAATGACCTAAAACTTTTATGAAAGGTGTATGATTTACATGTGTTCTTTTCAGATGGGTGGTCAACTACAAAGTGTGATGAAGGCTTTAAGACTCTTTGATTATAACAGAGATGGTCACATACAGAAACATGAGTTGAAAAGGGTTATAGAAAACTTCTGCTTCAGGCTGACAGATGAACAGTTTAACAAGTATGTTAAAAAAATAACTCAAATTAGACTACTGTTAACCTAGACAAATATTTTTTTCCCTGAGAAGAATTTATTTTTTCCAAAGTGGATGACATCATTCTGATAATTTCAAGACCAGGCTCAGGATCTAAGTCAAGCATAAAAATTTTGTAAAAAATGTTCTTCATATTGAAAAAGATGATTGCTTTGGGAGAGGATTTCCAAGCAGTGTAGCCAAATAAGTAAAAGTGGTGGGTGGGGGGGGGGCACAGTTTGATAGGGGGTAGTTTGCTAACTATAGCCATTTAAGAAGGGGTTGGTAGTTTATTACATGAGACCAACCTCTTGTCTAAAAAAGAATTAAGTTAGTATGTATAGCTAGTATAGTTAGTATGCTGTGTATAAATTAAAGGACTCTCCACTCCTGCAGGCCCTTCTGTCACCCCTGCACAGTTCATAAAGTTTCCAGTTTTACAATCACCTATTATTATGGAAATGTTTATTTTAACTCTATACATTATTTCTTATATCACATTTGCTTCAATATTTGGGAGTCCTTTTATTTCTGCCCAATCATATACACCATTCTCACCACAGGTTATGGTGTAAATATGACATGACTCGGAATGGTCACACTCTAGAGTACATGGACTTCCTCAAACGGCTTGGAGTTAATGCAAAGCCTAAGAATCAAACAGCAAGTAAAACAGGTACATGTAAATTATTTCTTCATTAACAAATATGTTTAACACATATTGACATGTTCATGTAACTAGTGGCAAAAAATTATTCAGTCCACATGCTACATTTTGGCTCAAATTGGATTGACATCTACATGTAGTACACTTGAAAGTACTTTCCAATCTGAGTTGACTTTAAAACCTCAATTGTTTGAATGTTTGCTGTTTGTACAGATACATCATGAAATTTACCATCATGTGTTAAGTTTTTCATTTTTCAATTTTGGTTTTTTGTCTTCAATCCTTAATATTTTAAATTGTAAATACATATAATTTTGTGTTATTCTTGTTAAAAGAGATCAATTTCTTCTAGTGAGTATAAAAAAATACTCATTACCCATAATTGATGTTATATTTGCACAGAATTCCTTTGTTAATTACATGTGACTTTAGACAACTCTGAAATCAGTGGATCAGCATCTATGGTGTTCATGTATCATGGTTGTGTTCAAATGAATAGGATTTATTGAATTGAATCAACCAGTACTATTACTGATTGTGATAAAAAATTTATAAGTACAATGGCTTGCAGGTGTAGAATAATCAATAAAGTTTGTTGTCATCCATCAAATAATTGTGATTTTTACCAAGCAAACATTTTTTCTTTAATTTTCTTTAATTCCATTTACCCAAATTCTATTTAACTCTGCTTTTGAAGAATAATAAAATGATGCAAACATATACACTTGCATTGAATTAAAACAAAACTATTGTGATCTCATCTGATTCAATAAATATTTTTACTTAAATTGAACATAAGTACTTTTGAGGTATTGAAAATACTGACAGTAGATTATTAATAAGCTTCCAGTAGAAACATTCCTAGTAGTTGTTTTAAATTTTGATTCACTTCTTTCTTTGACTTGTTTTGAAAACAAATTATTCATCTACCAATCAAGGGTTAAGTATACAGCTGATGGTTAAATATTAATTTCCTTAATATTGTCAAATTAGTCATAACAAAAACCAAAACAAACAATTAGGGAATCTCCTTAGCAACACTAGTTAAATACAAACTTACATGGTTTCTATCAGTCAGTCTAGAGCTGTTATGAAGATTTAACAGAATCAAATTTTTGGTGATAAATATTTTGAGTAAAGCAGTCTTCTCTAAAGTCAGATCACTATGCATTTGGCTATGGAAACTCCTTTTAGACTTGGAGGACAACTAAGAAGGCCAAACCAAGGCTATGCTCGTGATAATTTAAAAAACAACTTTACATTCTACATGCCTTTGAAACGTATATCTTCCAAGTCTAAGGCTCACAGGCGATCATGTACCTTCCCAAGCATTAAGAAGAATGAACCTTTGCGGCAAGTCTTGTTGCAAGATCACTACAATGGCGAAATGCCATTTTTCTACTCCTTAGAGGGAAGGAAAATCACTTGTGAAAGTATCAGAAGAACACCTGAAACATCTTTTAATCTTCATCACAGAACACAGAGTATGTCATGAGTAGCAGATGAAGTTGACATTCCTTGGTGTTAATTAGCCTGCACCTCATAACACTATCAAAACTAGTACTTTTAAGTTTATGTAGCTTTTCTTTGATTGATTTCTTTGTTTTTACTTTTTATGGAGGCCTTTTGGTTATAACAGTGTGTACAGTCAGATGCCTTGTGTCACAGATATGCTCTAAATTATGTACTTCTGTAGATATCGTATTTACTTACAGGGTACACAATATAGTAAACAAAGTGATTTTTGTCATAATTTATCTTTAAATTCACATAATTTAGGTCTTATTTATTGATCATTGCATGTGACTTTTTGTCTCAGGCCAAGTTGAGGGTCAACAGTTGGTGAAACTTGCCGCAGTAAACAGTCGACCCAAATCAGGCCAAGAGAGGAAGCAAAGTCCTCCTGTTCTCACCATTGTAGAACTTGAACATAAACTCAGAAAGAAGGTAAATAATCTTGGAAAATTTTTTAGCAGAGTGTGTTCCATTAAATAGCATCATTACAATGTACATTTGATCAGGGTTACAGCTGATTTTTGTGTCAAGGTGAGTGGACATGGTTGCAGCCTTTTCCCTTATTGCAGCCTCTAATATTATATTTTAAAAATGTTAAAAATAATGTTGATAAGCATTCCAAACCTTTTTTTTTCCAATTTATTTACAGGCACATTTTTAAGTTTATTTTATGTTGGGCTTTGTTTTTTTTTAAATTTTTGTTTGGTATTTTTTGACATCTGCTTTTAAACTGATAATCAAAACTGTGAGACAATTTTGGAATCTGATTAATCTGTGCTTTTTTTAGAATGCTATGTTGGGAGAGTAAAAATAAAAAAACTACTATTTTATTCCTTTTATAGATGTTAGAAAATCACAGCAATATTACTCGTGCTTTTGTGGCATTTGACAAGCGTGGGGATGGTTTTGTAACCTTAGATGAACTTAAAAGAGTTCTGTTCAACTTTGCCTTTCCAATGTCTGATAAACTGTTTGTGGAGCTGATGGACAGGTAATTGATAATAAGAGGAAAATATAAAGATTGATTTCACATGGAAAGAAAACCTAAATACAGATATACCAGATTAGAAAATTTCTACCTTTTTTCTGTTTTATTTTCTAGGTGTGGAATTCGTGCAAATCACAAGATACCTTATGAACAGTTTCTTGAAAAATTCCAGGCACCAGTAACAAAAGGAAATGGACAGACTATTCCAATCAAACCCAATCATAAGTATGTTAATCAATTAATTGCTAAGTGGCTTGTTTGAAGTTAACTTGCTTGATATTGATATCAGATGGCCAATCAAGGGCATTACAACAGGTGTATTAAACTTTTGTATTCTGGACATTTTTCTTGCTGTTTCAGGTACAATCCAGTGCGCGAAGCGGAACAAATGCCAACCACAGATGACATATGGAAACTCCTCCATTCAAAGATCATGAACAGTTTCTCATCCATCAAGCAAGCCTTTCTTGTTTTTGATGATGTAGGTGTACAGTACATGATGCTTTTAACCCACTTCACCCTAACATCAGTATACATAATCTCTACACTGTTTTCCAAACTTTTCCCATAACACCAGTATTGCCATCAAGAATTCACTCAGCAGTAAAGCACTTCATCTTTCCTTTATTTATTTAATCTTGATTCTTGATTCAGGGTTGATACTGTTAGGAGTGATAGATGGTAGTCACCAATAGGAAACATGCCTGAAAATTTTTATATTGGGAGAGAGCTCTGCAACTTTCAATTGTGAAAGTCCCTCAGAGCACAAATACAATTATCTACAAATGTAGTCTAATTGGCTTTTCATGTGTTTCCTTTACAGAATAAAGATGGTCGTGTCACAAAACGTGACTTCAGGCGTGTCCTAGAAAGCTTCTGTTTCCGTATGAGTCAACAGCAGTTCCATGAGTTGATGGCCAAGATTGATCCTTACAACAAAGGCTATATTTCCTACCTAGATTTCCTGGACAGATTTGAACAAAGAGAAACAGAGGTGAGCAGCAGGGACTTCACATAATCAATTTGTTTTACCCTTCAAATCTGGATAGTTGACTGCAGCTGGTGTATCTTTAAATGCAGAAGCTACTGGATACATATAGAAAAAATTAACTACTGTGTGATTTCTTGCTGTTTTGGAAAAGTGGTTTCATAGTAGTGACTGTCTGAATCATTTGAGTTATGATTCTAATATGTTTTACAGATTTACCAAATGGCCACTTTGCAAAATTGAGGCAAGCTTGAAAGAAAATCAAGAGACCTGATGTCCCAAAGGTTTTAGCTTTAAGTCACAAAGTCTCATTCCAAAACCTGGTTGGGTCATAGTGTTGTGTTACTAAGAAAGACACTCTACATTCCTCCATATTGGGGTCTAAATGGGTCCTGGCAAACTGTGGGGAAACCTGATAAAATGCTAGGGGAAGGGGGGATAACCTTGCAGTAGACAGGTAACCCACACCATGGAGTAGCAGTACACTCATCTTAACTTCTTGTTACAAAGACCAGGATGAGCTCCAGATGTACTGGCCACGTGGCTCAAGTTTAGATCTTTTTCATACAGTGTATTTCAACATGTTTGTAACTGTTCCTTTTAGGGTGCACACCCTTGGCTGATGTCAGATCATTCACCAAAAAGTGTCTCCCCTCCAGCCGTCATGGCTTGGTCCACTGTAAGTTGGTGTTTAGTGTAATATATGAAACTATAGTTGTTGTCCAGTTTCTATCATTCTTCACTTTCCCATCTAAATTAACTGGGATAGTGTGCGAAGAAATGATTGGTTACAACACTATCGTCTTTTGTGTTGATAAATCTACAGCAAATTCAAAAACGTGACGTCATTTACCCAAGCAATAAACCACACTTTAAAATTTCTCGTGTTCTTCAAACATTCCGCTTGGATTTATACCTTGCGGAGTTGGGAAACTGAAAGAGACTGTGATCTACCGCTCATTTGGATAAGACAATTTGGAAGAAGGTGTAAGACAAGTTTATAATTATTAATTAAGTACAGGCTGGGTTTTTTTTTTACGTATAAACCTAACTAAGTTACAAATTACATGCAAGTACTGATGTAGTCTGTTGAATCAAAATCCGAATGGTTTTGTCAGGTGGAAGACATCTTGCGCGCAAAGATTACAGATAACTGGAAAGCAATTGCCTCAGCATACCTTGGTGTTGACGGAGACAGAGATGGATCCATATCACGCGATGAACTGAGGCTACTGCTGGAAAAATACTGCCTTCCTGTCTCTGATGATCATTTTGAACTGTAAGGCACCATTTTATGTAAAGTTCGGATGATTGTAACTTTATTAAAACAGCACTGATTTAAGTGCAGATCGTTTGAGATGAGATGTTGAGATGTATTCTGGCAGAATGCTGCATCTTGTGTGAATGCGTCTGATTTTTCCCGGGTCGATTGATAGGTCGAAGGTCGATGTTTGTTTCGTTGCGCATGCCCAGAAAAGGCCGCGGCACTTTCGAAACAATGCTTTTGCTCTAGAGATAGGTATCCAACAACTCTCGTTAACTAACAAAAATCGCACATAAGGAAGACTTTTACCATGCGTCAAAAAATCAAGAAAGAAAACAAAAAACTAAACAAACGCGTTAACCAAAGAAACACTTTACGTTTTGCGTTTCTCCCCTATCGATTAATTGAAGTAAGCATCACAAAGTGTCGTCATTGATTAATTTTGCCAGATTGTCACATTAAGTATGAAATAAAGTTTGGAATTGTGTAATCAAAATTAAATGTAACGCACTCTTACTGACATTCTTCAATTATTTTAGGATGTGGAGTCGGGTAGATGAAGATTCAAATGGAACTGTTGATTTTCAAGAATTTCTTGCTAAACTTGTAAGTACTCTTTCATTACAGACTAATAAAATTTTCTTTCGTTTTCAAAAGTTATATGGCTCCATCTTATTCTTACAATCAAAATCCACTCGATTATATTACTTCAGGGTGTGGACATTGTTGGCGGGGACATCAACGGTTTAAGCAGTAGAATTCATGATGAAAGTGAAGCGAAGGCTCAGTTTATGAAACAAGACCAGTCTACAAGGTAAGGAACATCTCCTGATGAAGACATTATACGCCCTTTAGGAGTGGAATAATACTAACGAATTAAAGAAATTTTTGCATCGCGCTGTGATTGGTCCAAAAAAACTCGTGTCGTTCTTTCAAGCAAACAGATGCAAAACCAAAACCATCACAACTAGGTCAATCGCGTTTTCCCGCGCTTTAGTGAGCTTGCTTGTTTTTACTTGGAGTTCTCATTGGCTCTTAGGATTTTTTTTCCTTTCCTCTGATTGGCTGTTGGGATTACTTTGGTTTTGGTTTTACGACACTCTTTCGAAGGGCCATCTATGGCCGTCGGTGTGAAGTAAAATTAGCATTTTATATCTTTGGTAATGTTCGAAACGTGGTTACCATGATGTTCTGTTCTGGTATGTTTCACCCAATTTATTATTATATTTACAGACTGGAACTTGCGGAAGAGAGAGCCCTGAACCTCACAGGCCAGAAAACTGCTAATGAATGCATGGAGATCCTTAAGGTACAACCAAAATATCTAAGTATTATTTCCAACAGTAACTAAATGACGAAAGACCAATTTCCAATATACAGTCGCAATTTATCAGGTGTTGCTTCGATTTTACCTCAAAAGGTCTTGTTTTTGGTGTAAAACTTGCCCCATCCTCTCAGCCACTCAGATGCAATCGAGACTTAGTCACTCGAATTTTTCCCGCGTTAGGACGGTAGCATATGTTGACTAAGAATTTTCATTGGTTCCTGGGTATAGTCAGCGTAGTTTTGAGCGGCAGCTATGATCACTTTGCTTTTAACGGAGACTTAGAGGTAAAAGCCGTTTTCACTGTCACAGATTCTACAACCTGGAAATTCGTGACCCAAATTTAGACATTTAGATAGTAATTTCTAATTGAGCTTGAACGAACCTAGGCTCGATTTCCGCCGCTCTCTCGTGTCTGGTCTTCGCTCTTCCCCAAGAAGCGGGTTGGGGATAAGAGCGCGGGTTCATTTTCACGAATGCCTACTGGTAATCGAGCCTAGAACGAACCTGACTCCACCCACTGATCCACTTTGTCAAGCCGCTGACTCAGCATACATGTATTTATTATCTTCCCAGGAGTACATCTCTCAAAGGTCACCAGACTTCCGAAAAACTTTTGTCAAATTTGACAGCGATGGAGATGGAAAAATTTCGAGAAAAGAATTCCGATTGGTATGTACACGACAGCCAACATTTGAGATATTTTTAACTTAGCACTTCATGAAGTCCAGTATAGGTTGTCTTTATTTCCATGAGGTTCAGTATTCAACGTGTCTATACCTTGAGTGTTGGTACATGATTCACACGTGTTCTGTTTGTTTTCTGGCAGATTTTAGACAGTCTGGGTTTATACATGACAGATGATCAGTTTCGCATTCTCAGTGCCAGGTAAGAATGTAAACATTTATTAACTAAGAGCACTTTTCAAATGAATTTTGAAAATTATCCAAACTTTCAGTGATTTATTTTTGTCTTTTCGCTCTTTGTACTAAATGACTTACACCATCCTCTTAACAGATCCAAAAACGAATCGTGACTGAGTCACTTGCATTTCCCCTTTTTACAAGCCATTTTGCTTACGCTTACCTCTGGTTCTGCTGTTTCGATCGGTCCTTCTAGTTCCTTTGGTTTTTTTTTTAGTGCTTTTCCTTCACTCACTTGAGAAGTGGTTTTTACTTACTAGTTGAAAATTGTGCCAATTTCTCGGGAAACCTTGTCAAGTTGAAATTACAAGTATCTGTGTGTTAAGGCCAGCTGCAAGTAGATTGGAATAGTAGTTGTATTTGCTTAACTCGCTCTGTGATTGGTCCAGAAAACTCGCGCCACTTTCGCAATCAATCAGATGCAAAACTAAAACCAATCACGATTTGGTCACCCGCGTTTTCCTGCGCATCGAGCAGTTTGCTTATTCTTACGTGGAGTTCGTATCGGCTGTGTAAGATATTTCCCTTTCTTCTGATTGGCCTTTGTAATGACTATGGTCCTAAGACACTCAATCGAAAAGCGCTCTATATCGAAACTTCATGATTGCTTTTCAGACTGGGATTTCACAAAGGAAAGATTACATATATGGAATTTCTGGACCATTTTCAAGATCGACGGTCCTTTGGTGTCGGAGAAAAAGCACCCGAATACCCAAGTCACAGGTAGTAAAGGTTTTCAGAATGGTCATCACGTTTCTATTTTTTTTTAAAAGTACGTACGTTACTCAATTTATCGGAATTTTGTTTTTGTCAGATACAACCTCCCGGTGCCTCAAGAAGAGTCGATGAAAGCAAGTGTAGTGGAGGCGAAACTGAGAAGCAAATTGCGGGAGAGCTTCCAGGTTACAAATTGTGATATATAGGGTTGAATTATCGCATGGATTATTCATTTTGAAAAAAAGAAAACATAGCAGACAAAGAGATGATTATGCTAAGTTTCCCATTTTGTGTAAATGCTCACGTTAGGCGAGAGTCAACTTGTTTAAAAAGTTGATACTGAACCTGTAGAAGAGATGTTGTGAGGTTAATAAGAAGGTGAAACATTCTGCTGAAATTATTTTTCCGTGTGGAATTCATGTTTGCGATGTAAAGTCATGACGGAAGTCGTAAGTTTTAAAACATAAGCTGTAAAGCAAGGACAGTAAAACCCACCCTACAAATGCTTTTTGCATCATGTGCTACGGTGTTCCCTCTACAAATTAGGATTGAATCAATAAAACATGTGTAGATCGTTGATCCACGCCTGGACAACTGAGGTCTTAGCACCAGCCTTTCAGTCCCTTCAAGAAGATATTAGGCTGTCACCTTTGCTATAACCTTATTGTGAAGCACAATTTTCCACATAGTCTGTAGAACAACTGAAGCAAAAAACTTCCTCTGGAAACAAAGGAGTGATAATCCAGAGATCAAAGATTCCTAGTCAACGGCTTGCGCACAACATTTTCCCCTTAGTACCAGCGGCTTTTGGGACCTACAAAAGCCCGAAACGGCTCTTTGCGACTTGAAACAACTTTCTGCCCCACAGCCTCTACATAAAACTATACTCTATATTTTCCTTTTCTCTAACAGGACCTACGTGCGGCGTTTCAGAAGATAGATTATGACCGGAATGGGCTGATTACCAGACCGGAATTCAGGCGCATTCTGGACTCTTTCATGTTCCTGTTATCAGACGAGGAGTTCGACAAGCTCATGTCAAATCTCGGAATACAGAAAGGAGCTAAATTGAATTACAGAGAATTCTTGAAACGGTTCGAGCATGTTGAGACTGTTGAAGAGGGACATCCATGGCTGTACTCTAACCACAGGTAACAGAAGCTGACTTCTTGGATATTTAGATTACGAAAAATTAGTCATACTACGCTATGAAATCACCGGATCAATGTCAGTATCTGAGGAACGGCGCACCTACCCCTCCCCTAGCCCAACAACAGTCAACAATCAAAATCACCTTGTCATGGTCTCGCCCATTCATCATGTTTTCAGGCAAAGAACCCAATCAGCCAATCAAACGCTTTTATTTCTAGACGGTAACTGAAGCAGTGTCAGCTAACAAGCCTATGTAGCTGTGTTATTAAATATGAAAGCTTTTAAAATCGGAATAATGAAAGTAACCAAAGAAGTTAACATAAAAGAAAAGTGCTCAATATAAACGCAAAGTTATCGTCAATATTATAATCAGTGAAAAGTGAAAAAGCCTTCGCTCCGAGGCTTTATTCTAGTTTCAAAATTTAATATTACGTCAGTTAGGCGACTGTTGTAGGATCTTTGAAAGCTTTTTACGTCCTCGTTTGTAATTGAATCGTCTAAGTGGTTCTTGCCAACAATGAAGTACATGTAATTTTGTTTATCACAATGTGGCTTTTTTTTTCAGCTTCAATGAAACACAGGATCTAAATTACTTGAGCGCCGAGCAAGCGGATGTCATCATCAGAAGGAAAGCCTGGGAGCAGAATGCAGACTTGTCAAAAGCTTTCTTGGCTTTCGACCGCGATGGAAACGGAATAGTTACTAAGAAGGAGCTTAGGAAAGTGCTCTATCACTTTCAGATCCCGGTCAGCAAAGAAGAATTCAAGAAATTGTGGGAAAAGTAAGTCGAAAACTTCTCGAAATATCCTTTTATATTCTAGAAAACCAGTCTTCAATTTATTGCTCGTATCTCACAACGTGCGTAACCCTTGTCAGGTATGACACTGATAGAAATGGCTATGTGGATCATCATGAATTCCTAGCCAAGTTAGGAGGGGAGATGGCGCCAGGTGATGTGCACGGACCAAGCACTCAGATAACTGAACAGAGCCAACAGGTTATGGAGAGTATGTACAGGAAACAACAGGTGCTAGTCCTTATAAATACTATTGTAACATAGTTTGTAGATTACAGTGGAGATAAAGTCAGTTACGCGAGAGTACTTTGATATCCTTATTGTACACGGTGATGAAGTGTTTGTTTGCACTAAGGAGTATCAGTGAAGTGTACCTCCTGAGGAAACGCTACTGTTGTAAATGTGACTTCTAAGCAGTCTCGTTGGAGGAGTGTTACTTGCCATATTTTGTTATAAGGTGGGGCGTAAGGTATTCAATTTTTGGATACCTCGAGTATTGTCTCCCCATTTAGTCATTACGTGATGTTATCTATCTTGCTTTGTTAGGACATGCACATGGCTGCCACACTCAATCAAGCTCAGGCTGCTTCGTTCTTATCCGCAATTGAAGTTGAACAACAGCTGAGGTGAATTTGATTCCATCGATTAATTATTGTTACTAATTTTGTGTTCCTAAGAGTCGCAAGTATTGATGATGTGGAAAGGAGAATCCATATCGTGAGCAAAGTGCTCACCTCACCCCTCTTCCCCTCACAAACACTGTGGCCTGAGTCCGTTTCCAGTACCTGAGAGTCTCAACCTGTGGGTTTGGCTTGTTTTTATTTTCTATTATTACTCCGAGGGTTTCCCTCCATGTCCATAACTTTTCTGTTCTCCATCAATTCAGCTCGGTACTATTGGGCGAAGAAGCCTCCCATGTATGTACCGCTGCTTAATCTATTTATTTATATAAACTCATTGTCTTTGTTTCAGGGATCGTTTTCGTGACGGCTACGAAAGTTTGAGGAAAGCATTCGAGACAGTTGACAAAAACAAAGATGGTTACATATCGAGGAACGAACTGCAGAAAGTTCTGTTTGACTTTCACTACTTCCTGGATGATGTTCAACTCAATATTCTACTCGACAGGTTTGTATTAACCCTTTAATTCCCAAGATCTACATTCTCCCCCCTGGCTGCTACACGTTTCCTTGCTAATTAGTTACGAGAATTTGGTGTTAGATCAAGATAACATTTCCTACCTGATAAGTTTGAATATTCTCATTACCTGTTTAATCATCTGTGGGAGTTAAGGGATTGATACTAGAGTTTCGTGGTGCGACGTGTGTGTAATTTTCTTTTGTTTGTTTATTTTTATTGTTGCTTTTATTTTCCCTCGTTCCGATTTTTGTCGACAAACTATGTACAGCTTTTCTCCTTTTTGTTTTCACGCTTTGTTAAGGTTTTTCTCTTGATAGCTTCGTTCGACGACTGTGTTGTCGGAACAGAAACGTGAAACTTGTGTTATTTTTATCAGCGTAGTTCTGTTGTTGACCAATACCGATTTCCACCACACGAACCACCAAAAATTTACTTTCCACACACAAACATTGAAAGCCAGTGGCGGTCTTGATTTTTACAATGTGATTACATTGTCAAGTCGAACAATTTTGAAATTGATGAAATCAACAACCTGTGAATGATGTTAGGAATGACATTAACTTCCGTTACAGCCATTGGAGAAAATTACATTCATCATTTCGACGAACGTGCTTTGAGATTTTGGGATTAAAAGTGTCCACCTGACCCTTCCTCTTTGGCTTACAAACATCCTGAGCTTAGGAGCCTCGTACCTTAATCTCCAGCGTATCTTCATGATTTTTCTTTTGTCAGGTGTGGTCTATCCGGGAAGAACAAGCTTTCTTACGAGAAGTTCCTGGGCGCGTTTCAAGACCAGAGGCTTACTGGGTATGGGCGCGTTACCTTGGATACACCTGGCAAAGTTTTCACGCCGGTGCTGTTTGAGAGACACGATTCACTTTCACCTGAAGCCGCCATCAACAGACTTAGGAACAAAATCGGCGAAAATCCTGAAACTATCCAAAGAGTAAGTCCCATCCTTCCCCCCACCTTGTGAAGTTCACTTCTGTCACTTTCAAATGTTGACTGTTTTTCGTATTCATTCTATGCTTTGATCTTTAGGCCTTCGCCGCGTTTGATCGAGAAGGAGTGGGACTGGTTTCTAAGGAAGACTTGCATCAAATAGTCAATGCGTTCTGTTTTGTGATGTCTGATAAACAATTTCAGGTAAAAAAAAATAATTCTGTTGTGAATCTATTACTTAAAGTTTGAGTTTAATTCTCCTGTAGCAGAAATTTTCGCGGGTGCAATCCCAGAATTACTGGTTCTTATTTTGAAAGCAATTTACTTTTGGGTCAAATTGTGGGAAATTTTTAAGATATTGCATGACAGATGAATTTTAACTCAGGTGAACCGCTCGAATTTCCATGTTCGGGGTAGTTTAATGTAGATCACTTTAGTTTGTTGAATCTACAGCTGAAACCTGCTCAACAGCTCAAGAGATTTCTTTATTCTCGTTGTATTCAAGAAGCTGTCATGTTTACTTTAGTTCAAAACTATTTGCTTAAGAAGGATTGTGTCATAAATCCGCTGTCAACTTCACAGGCACTCATGAAGAAGGGAAACTTTGGAGAAGGAGACTTGATATCATACGATGATTTCCTGAAGAGCTTTCAGAAATCAGACGCCGAGGTGAGAACAACTGCGATTGTTTTCAGCTATAGAATTATGAAATGATGAAATGATGACGGTGAATCAGAACAATTTACTAACGAGTTCTGAGTGGTTGGATAAATATCGAGGTTCTAAAAGAAAAAGAAAAAAGCTAATGATATGAAAGGACTCAGTTTATTCGTACTACATGAGGTTTTGCATAATAACGAGGAGATCTTGATAACAAACGCGCTTTCACAACATATATGAAATGCGTTGTCGATCTTTTCTTCACCCCTACTTTACTGCTTGTGCCAAAAGTGGTACCGATGATTGTCGCTTCTTCTACGCCGATACAATCATAATTCCCATGCCTTGTGTTTGTGGGTCCATTGCATGAAGTTTGAAGAGTCATTTTGCTTTTAAAAAAAAGGGGGAAAAACGTTCTAAGCGTTCTTGTTCCCGTTACGTGCACAAAGTTAAGGTAAAATACTTCACTAAACATTTAAATTCTTGGCGACCTATTTAAAGGATTTAAAAATACGGTTTCGAGCATCTTAATCTTACGTATCTGCGGTTTAAGCGCGCTATCAGAAAGATCATTTAATAGCAAGACGTTTGTTTATTTCTTAGGCAACTCGCAAGTGGCTGGAGAATTTGTATCCCTCTTCTGAAAAACGCCAAAGAACGGCCGATAACTTCACCAAGCGGTCGCGTGTTATGACTGATGCCGACGTAGAGAAGAGAGTTCGAGAAGTTGTAGTGGCGCGATTCTACAGTCTTGCAAAGGTAAAGTGTTTTTTGTTTATCTCCCGTGACAATTGTCATTCTACAGTTGTCATTCTCTGAAGAAGAGTAATTTCAAGTAACCTACCAAGTTATTAAAGTAACGTCGCGAATTAAAGCCATGCATTACTTGGCGACGTTTTACCGGCTTTTAAAACCAAGAGATGTTGATGCTTATTCTTGGTTGTTGGTCTTGTTTGGTCGTTTCACTTGGATGTTTTGTCATATTTTGTTTAAAAGACTTGTGGTACTTTTTTTTTTTTAATAAACTTTTTCTTGTTGTTTTATTTTCAAACTGTCAGAATGTGTTTGTTTAACCTTAGCTATTTCTTTGTGTCCAGATGCACGGTTCTTAAGTCTGTGTACAATTTACAAAGAGCTTTTCAACGTTAAACAATGGATGATCACGTAACGATTTTCTTTTGAATTGATAAGGCCCTCACAGACGAAGACGTTCACCACAGTGGGACAGTTAGCGCCAGTGCTCTTCATGAGATACTCAATCAACATGCCTTCCGTATGACAAGTGATCAGTTTAACCACATTTGGATGAAGCTTCCGAAGAACTCCGATGGTGCTGTGGATTATAGGGAGTTCTTGAAGATATTCTCTACAAGACCTGAAATAACACGAGCAGCGTCTGCAACACCACCTCATTCACGCGATAGAAGGGTAGGAAAATACACATTTTCTGAGTCCAAGAAATTTCTTTTTCCAACTGGGTCGCATTGTTTCTGCTGTGTTGCAAATTTTAGAGTAGCTAGGATAAATCCTTCGTCGTCTAAGCTCTTTTAACTCTTCTTTTATCTTAGGCCTTGAAAAGCAGAGAAAGAAATTAAACTCATTCATGATTTAAGAACAATGTAATTGTGTCTGTTTTAGGCATCATATGAGCCCGCAATGTCTCCAGTCCATACGCCTGTTAGGATCCCCTCACCTGAATCTTTGACCCCGCCCCTCTCAGCAAGTGACGTAGAGAGGAATATAAAAGACGCGGTGAGTATCATTGTTCGTCTAAGAAAATATGTTAAGGAGCTTTTTCCGAATCTTGACGTGTTACCAAAAGTACAATACTGAGATTTTTTTCTCATCAGATCTGTCGTCGGTGGCAGCAGATTCAGAAATCCTTCAGGAACATCGACAGTGGCAACAAGGGAACGGTGGATTTTGAACAATTTAAAGGTTGGTGCCACCCCAGTCGATCACACTGCACGAAGAACGCATTTATTTTTTATGTCACCATAATTTGTTCTGTAAAATCGAACAATCACCTTCAGTCTGTTAGGAAACGATTCATACTTAACCCTTTAATTTTCGAGAGTGACCAAGACAGAATTTCTAATACATCACTACAATATCAAGTAGGCAAATGATGAGAATAAAGAAAATATCAATTAAGGAATTATCAGTTGATCCAATACCAATTTCTCCGCACTAGCATCACAAGAACTGTATTGCAGACAGTAGAGTGGATGGGTTAAAGAAATCAAAACATCAAGTCGTTCAAGACGACTAAGCAACTGCAATGGTTGTCTCCTCACTTTTTGTTCCATCCCCAAATTGATACCATTCCAAACCAAGCACGCGCTAGTAATGTTTTTTGTAAAATTGATAATTCTTGTTTCAGATGTCCTTTTGAAACACGACATTCATTTAAGCCCAACCGAGTTATTGTCTTTGTGGAGAAAACACAGCAGTGAAGAAAAAGGAGGGTAAGATATATTTCAGTATTTTTAAGTATATACATTTCAGCCAATTTAAGTTACGGTCCTTTATTTTTTTCATGTTTGTTCAGAAATATTTCGAGTGTGGAAATTGCTTGTTCGAGTATTGGGTTTTGTCTCATCTCTGTTACTCTCATTTACTTTCAGAATTGTGTACAAAGATTTCATGCGGCATTTTGTATTAAATTTGAAATCTCAGGAGGGAAACTCTCTTACTAGACCCAAATTGCAGCCAAGCAGAATGCCGGTAAGTAGCTTACTTTGCGTTGAAGAAAACTCTCAAATTAAGAAGATAGTGACAAAAAAGGCAAAGCCTCATTAATATATAATTTTCTTACTAGGCGTCTTCACCTTGTTTCAATGCAATTCTAATAACGGAGGGTTTGGATAAGTAATTTAGAATAACAACCGCTCTAATTGCCCATTTCCGAAAACTCATTTTCATACGAACGGTTGGGCACCAGGCCTCGTCTTGAAAAAGAGGCCAAATGACTCATGTTAAAAAAGAAGTCTCGACGACTTCATACTAGTTATCAATGTCAATTTGCGTCATCTCTGATACGATTTCGCTCCATAGTGAAAAGCTTGGTCGAGAGTAGTTTTATGTGAATGGTATACACTCTCTCGTGCATAGAGTTTTGATTGTCAGGTTAAACAGTTTAAATCATGATGTTGGCATAAATTCATTAACTCAAGGCACGATTTTATCATCCCTTTCTTTTAGACAAGTCCAGGATACAGGAGTGACCGGTTAATCGAACTAATGGCCACTATTCGAGCACCAATAAGGCGTGAATGGAAGGAAATGAGGAGAGCATTCAGGGTAAGGCATATTACATCACAAGTCCTCGATATTTTGTCGTCATAATGTAATGAAATGGAATTAAACAAGCGAACGTGATTGCACCTGTAGACTCTTTCCTAGTCGCCAGAGTGTTTCCGTTCTCTAAAAACTAAGATTTTAGGTGATCAGTTATTTTCCACTAGCACATTGCCGAGTTGCCTTTAATGTCTATTTTGTAACAGCCTTCGCCGGCCATGCATACATTCCGTAAGATTTAAAAGAGGAGTTGTCTTTAAACGAGTGGGTAGTGAAATAAGAGGGTTGCATCGGTCCGTGCAGTGTTTGGAGGGAGAACTATCAGTAAAACAGTTGTTGTTTTCTTCTCACTTGATTCTGACGGGTAACTCTGATGGAAATCCTAATTTCTGGTGGTGTTGCTGGCAGTAGTAATAATTCTTCTATCCTCCGCAGGGTCTTGACAAAAGTGGAAACGGAACTTGCTCACTTGTCGAGTTCAGACAGATGATGAGAAAATTCAAGGTCGACTTAAATGAAGAGGAGTTTTTCCACCTGTTTTCGTTTTACGATAAGAACATGACAGGAAGGATTTCTTACAATGATTTCCTTAGAGCTCATTTAGAGTAGGATGTTACACTTTAGAGAACTCTGTGAGATGTAGTGAGCTGACGAACTTGAGAGAAATGTTGGCATCGTTTATGTTCAGTTGTTAATTTACACACGAGAAAAGGAATACTGTTCGTCCTTATCGAACACTGTACATATTTCAATCTGGTGAAGGAAAATTGAAATTCTGAATAATTTGTGATGTGGTGGTCAGGGCTTGTGAGGTGATGTAAGAATCTTAGCTATGAATCTCGATCGTATTTTTGATTAAAAGGTAGAGTGTCCTGCGTGCTTATATCTCAGAATTACAATTAAATTACTGTTTTACTGTTTAAGAAATCAATAAAGAAGATATGACCGTACAATAGAATTATTTTCAGAGCGTTGAAGACACAAGGCACTTATTCTTCTTCTTCAATAGAAGTTGATACTGAAGAAATGTAAAATGGTTTCCGTGTTTACATAGCCTGGTGTAAACACGCGGGAGGTTGGGAGAACACGAGATAAGCGTAAGTGTTTACTTCAGGCTATGTAAACACGGAAACCATTTTACATTTCTTTCATAAAATAACTAATGAAAGAGGAACGAAAACCGTGTTTACATACGCTCATGTAAAATGGTTTTATGGCCAATCAGAGCGCGCGTACTATTTACATTATCTTATAATAGATTTCTAAGTTCGCTTTCCATTGGAGTCTAATTTTGCCTCCAAATTCTTTTTCTATTTGCGCTCCCAAAATACGTTTTTGCTTTGCTTTCCAGAGTTCTAAGAATGCTTTCCCAAAGGAATCTCTACGTTCGTAGACTGCTTTCCTAAATTCGATCGAGAGGAGCTCTTTAAAATGGTGCATTCCCGAATCAGGTTGCAAAAAGGTTTTCCAGGCTTGAGTTATGATAAGCATTCCCAAAGTGTATGTATCCCAGCTATGTTAGCTCGTTTAACGCGTCTGGTTTGCGTGTTTGAGGCTAAGGCCATACTTTGCAGCTTCCTTTCGACTATTATGCCCGCAAAAAGGGTGTGAAAGTGGAGCAATTTACAAACTTCCTTTGAACCAGTAGTGAAAGGGTGAATTTCAAAACGTTTTAGTGTGATCGAAAGACATTTTGTCAATTACGCTTTTTGAAGACGCTAACGTCACTGCGGTCTGTGCCTTTTAAAGAGAGGGAGGGGGGAGCCGGCAAAGGTAAGGCTATATTGTGGCCAAGCTCAAATTTGTCGTAAGTAGTGTGGGCGGAAATAGATCAGTGCTGCATTTTGAACTAAGGCCTTGAACTCACTACTACGTTTTCAAAAGTCTTCATACAGGCGAAAACGAAGCAAAATATTTCTGCCCACATCAGCGTTTTCGCAGTTTTTTTTTTTCCACACTGAAACGGCCGAAAACGATAAAACGAGGGGGACCTGGAATTTCGCCACCGTGAGAGCAATCACATCTGTTAATTTTTTTGTCATCGTTTTCAAAAGCCTCCGTTTTCACCTTTCCACACCAAAACGATGCGTTTTTCCAAAAAAATCCACTTTTGAAACCGTTTCCGAAAGTCTCTGTTTTCATCAACGTTTTCTGGCGTCTTGAGTCTGGATGCCCGGCGAAAACGCACCAAAAAGTATGCATTTTCAAACAAAAATGTAGTAGTGTAGTGTGGGCTTAAAATTTCGCCATTGAATCAATCTTACACACCCTGCTTGCAATTTGATAGCATAACAACTAAATATACCCTCAATTAGGGGCTGCCAAACCGTGCCTTTTTCACTGCTATACTGACTTGACAAACGTTCGTTTTTTTCCCGCAAACGTGCTAAATATATCTTATCTGTTTGTATTCTGTTAAACTATGCAAACTTTCTTGTGCAGTTCTGCTATTTTCTCGTCTATGAAAGTTCTTTATTTATCTTCTTCCAATAATTCAAATAAAACATCCCAGTAACCTTGATCGTGGTTTAACAATCACAATCACTTTACATATTGACTAAAAAATTTCCTCTCGCTTGTATGGGACCAAGACAGAGCAAGAATGAGCAAGCAGATTTTCAGATACATTGTTCTTGCTTACTTAGAGTCTCTCGTAACACGTTCTCCCGCCTCCCGTACTTTTGTGCCCCTTTGTCTCCCAACTCCACCCTTCATTGCGCTGCTCCCGTCTTCAGGTTAATCAAGAGGATCAGGAACTCTATAATATAGTCTTTGACGAAATTTGACCTGAATGACCCTGAATCGCTTTCTTTGCTGGAGGTTTGTTTATTTGTAATTTCTCCAATTTAAAGGGAAAACTTTGTAAACAAAAAAGGGTGCAATAACTCGAATGGAGGATGATGTGGCCACAAAACAATGACCACAGGAGAAAAATTCTATCCCCGGTCTAAAAATTAAAGCTTAGACTGGACTGAGTTGGACTTATTTGTAACTTTTTTTTTTTGCTTCATGAGATAATGGCTTCAAATGAGCTCTTCGACCTCAAACATTTCTTGGTGCTTTATTGACTTGAAAAACATTTGATTTACTGTTTACAAATGTGCCTAATATTTTCATGCAAAACGTTCGTGTTAAATGTAACATGTAAATGGTGCGTGGAGAGAAATCCTCAGAAATGAGCCCAGAAGATGAGAAACCAAAGATCTATTTTTCCACCTTAATCATGGTGACTTATCGTGGTGTCTCTCTTTATGCATTACACAAAGACGTCTTACACATCGTCACGTCACAGGTACCATCCGAACATTCCTCTACTGCTTGCTCATAATACATCTGGCTTGCGCACTGAAGTATATACGCGTAGCCTGTCATGTATACTTTCATGCAGACATCATCTTGTTTGCACACTTTTTCCTTTTTGTCGCAGGTGTCTGCGTTACTTCCATGGCAGGAGTAACACTTCAAAACCTCTGTAGTTGGGGGAACAGAAATTGAACAATGAGGAAAACGTTGCTTTCGAACAAAAGATAATCACAATTGAGGTGCTTTCGAGAAAGTTCTGATGCAAACCTCCTTAATGGTACACCTAAAATATTACAGAAAATATATTAGGGAATCCAGGAAATTTCCAGCTTTTAGGTAGGAGAAACACACGAAGTGTTTAGCTAATAAAGTGAACCGCAGTTTTCTGAGACTAGAAGACCACGAACTATGCCTACCTCTCACTTGTAATTCCTCTGCCGGGCCCTTGCGAAACAATTTTGGAATCTTCCTGTATACTGAACGTGCATGAAAGAATAACGTAGCAAACTTGTTATACAAAATCGGAGCATTCCTCTCCCAATAGATACAAGGAAAATAAATTGGGAAGCTGTAAATAACAATTAAGTGAAAACGTTACCTCTCGCCTGTATGAGACCAAGACAGAGCAGAATGAGCAGGCAGGTTTTCAGATACATTGTTCTTGCTTGAGTTCGTTAAACCTGGAGTTGAGTGGATTTTAAGAGAAACAAAAGAATGATCTCTAAACAGTTGCTTGTATGATACATAACTGTAGACTAATATGCCATTTCCCAATTACCTTTGGCCTGATTTTCAAATCATCCTTTGATATGGTTATAAGTTTGCATTCACATGCAAATGAACTAATTTTCATACGAATGGTTGAGCATCAGGCCTCATTTGGAAACGTGGCAAAAGGTCATCTATTTTCGTATTTTCCCATATTCCTTTCATCTTGTGGTCTCAAGAGGGAGTTTTCGACCGTGGCGGGCAAGTAAACCAAAATCGACACTGATTCGTGTGAGGGGCTGAATAGGGGGTAAAATTTCCTCACAGCCCCATGCTATTGTAAAACAAATCTGTTTTCCCAATAGCAATGTATTGTTTTTGTCATTGTTTTCTCTGTCCAAGAAATGAATGCATAATGTAGTATGGGGCTGTGCGGAAATTTTACCGAATGAGGACACAACCTGTCTCGTCGATCCATCAATCTGTTTGAGCAGTCATCACTAAGCCCATAACGAGCCAACTGACTTCGAACTATTAAAAGTTTTAATTCAGCCGTAAAATTATGCTCACACGCCCCTTATTTTTGTATTATCTGACCTTTGCATTTGTTATGGAAATTCATTTCGGTTGTTTGTTCGCGAGAAATAAATAAATAAATGGAAGACAATTCGTGAACGATGTATCTATGTACACAATGCTGCAGCAGTTCACATTTCAGAAAAGATTGCAATACGCTATTAAAGAAATGTTTTAAATGGGTTGCAGTGCACAGTTTTTCATGCGGTATTCCAGTGAAGTAATCTCTCACTGCCCTTTGCTTCAGGTTTTGCGTCGCCCTTGACTTATTTCACCTTATTTTTTATTGACCTATTTCAGAGGGCCTTTCTGCAATTAATAACCACTGAGCCTTGACAACAATGTTTGACCCACCTCTGCTCATTTTAGCAGAAAGAAATTGTTAACATGCCAAAGAAAATTTGCAGCGAGAGTTGCGTTTAATAAAATAAAAAAGGATTTTGGGTAAGAAACTACTAAATCTGAAAACTCAGCAGACTTTATCCACAACTCTTGTAGGGATGTAGTATGCTTTTATTACTTTTATTAGTTGTGTGTGCACGAAATATGAATGTTGAACCCACTGCAGTGACAGTATTCTATTTGCACATTGCCTTTTGATGCGGTTTTCATAACTCTTTCTTGCAGTATCAAAACTCATAAATGTCCAACCCCTTCGTGATGTTTCATGAATACTTTTGTTAAAACAGATCAAAGATTTCAGATTGCCGCCCAATTAAGTACCCCCTTGATGAATTAACATAAAACAAACGTTAAATCAGTCGCGCCAAGATGATTTCAGAACGAAAAAGAAAGAACAATTATGGCAATAAGGCTAGAATTGTAAGGGAAATGGTTTCGAAATTTCTGACTTCAGCTTTTACCTCTATCGACTGTATTGTCAGTTAAAACGTCCTACGTGAGCTGGTGATAGTTGAGAGGTATTGACTACCGCGCCTAATAAGAATTGAACTCATGCTCACTCCGAAAGATCATTCCGCATTAACACCTTGAAACATATCGACGTTCAAATCCTTGAATTTCCAAAACAGTTTGTCACATGAACCTCAAAATCTTAGAAACCCCGACCAACAATTCATCGACAGAGTGTGAGAGGTATTAACGAAAAGATCACCAGATGCAACTCCTGTTGCATGAAAAATCGCGTCATTTTTTTTTCTGTACTTGCCAGGATCACCTTCTTGAAAACATTAACACAATTCTGTTACCGAGTTTGGAATTGTAGCCATCCCTAAATTCATGAACCTATCGAGTAAGGCTTACCTTGGCAGGTTGGTCGTCTCGGTAGCGTTGATGTTCAGTTTTGGCGTAGCCTGAATTATTGCGCAGTGATTTGAATCAAGAGACTCCTTTGTACTGTATGGTAATTACCTCTCACAGATTTCGTTACAACCTCCATACACAATAGAACGTTCGAGCTATTATTAAGGAAAAGATCAATAGTTGCGACATTATCTCTCTCCTGATAACAGCGTCTTTCATTCTTTAACCGAGTTAGGAATTGTAGCGATCAATAGATTCGTGAACTTATCAAGCAATGCTTACTTTGACAGTTGGTTTGTCTCTGTAGCACTATTCTTCGGGTTTGGCGCTGCCTAAGTTAATTTGCAGTGATTTGAATTTTGCAGAGCCTATTCGTGCGGTAAACTAATTACCTTCTACTATTACGCAAAGACCTAACTAGGTTTTTTAGCTTTCTTTTTTATGGAAATGAATGTGGCATGCAGGCATGACTATAATTAATTTTCTAAAAGAGAACAACTGAAAGTCCCTCGTCTCCCGTCGAATGATCTCTAGTTCCTTTGATAACAGGGAAAAAAGCAGCAATCGTAAAGTCTTTGATGGGCAATGAGACGGAACTTGGCATATTCTCTGGACATTTCTACATCTTATATCCGCCCTTTTGTAAACAACGGAAGCCAAAAACTTATTCATTGGCAGGCGAATTAATGTGAACGGTCTGAGAGCGGTCTGACAAACGTGCAGGAGTGAGAAAAAGGGAGGAGTTAGTTGCTCACGCGCCCCTCTTTTTGCATTATCCGACCTTTGCATTTGTTATGAAAATTAATTTCAGTTGTTTGTTCGCAACAAGTTATTAAGTGAAAGTCAATTCGTGAACGATGTATCTCAGTACAAAATGCTGCAACAGTTCAAATTTAAGAAAAGATTGCAATATACTGCTAAAGAAATGTTTAGATAGATTTCCACTGCCATGCATCAAGCAAAATAATTGGGGTTGCAGTGTTGCTTAGTATTTCATGCGGTATTCCGGTAAAGAAATCCCACATTGCGGTATGGAAATGATCTCAAATCCTGTGACGTGCTTTACTTCAGGTTTTGCGTCGCCCTTGACTTCGTGTCTTCCTCAGAGTGCCTTTCTGCAATTAGTAACTGCTGAGCCTTGACAACCTTGTTTTACCCACCTCTGCTCATTTTAGCAGAAAGAAATTGTTAACATGCCAAAGAAATTTGCAGCGAGGGTTGCGTTAAATAAAGTAAAAAAGGATTTTGGACAAGAAACTAATAAATCTGAATAATTAGCAGACTTTATCCACAACTCTTGCAGGGATGTAGTATGCTTTTATTACTTTTATTAGTTGTGTGCACATGAATTATGAATGTTGAACCCATTGCAGTGACAGTATTCTATTTGCACATCGTCTTTTGATGCGGTTTTCAGAACTTTTTTTGCAGTCTCCTCTGTGATGTTTCCTGAATACTTTTGTTAAAACAGATCAAAGATTTCAGATTACCGCCCAATTAAGCACCCCCTTGATGAATTAGCATAAAACAAACGTTAAATCAGTTGCGCCAAGATGATTTCAGAACGAAAAAGAAAAGAACATTTATGGCAATAAGGGTAGAATTGTACGGGAAATGGTTTCGAAATTTCCGACTTCGGCTTTTCCCTCTATCGACTGTATTGTCAGTTAAAACGTCCTACGTGAGCTTGTGATAGTTGAGAGGTATTGACTACCGCGCCTAACAAGAATTGAACTGATACTCGCTTCGACTGATCATTCCGCATTAACATCTTAAAATATATCGACGTTCAAATCCTTGAAATTAAAAAATAGTTTGCTACACGAACCTCAAAATCTTAGAAACCCCGACCAACAATTCATCGATAGATTGTGAGAGGTGTTAACATAAAGATTACTCCTGTTGCATCAAAAATCGCGTCATTTTTTTTCTGTACTTAACAGGATCACCTTCTTGAAAACATTAACACAGTTCTGTTACCGAGTTTTAGAATTGCAGCCATCCCTAAATTCATTAACTTATCAAGCAAGGCTTACCTTGGCAGGTTGGTCGTCTCGGTAGCGTTGATGTTCAGTTTTGGCGTAGCCTGAATTACTGCGCAGTGATTTCAATCAAGAGACTATTTTTTTACTGCATGGTAATTACCTCTCACAGATCATGCTTAAACCTCCATACACAATAGAGCGTTCGAGCTATTAATAAGGAAAAGATCAATAGTTGTGACATTATCACTCTCCTGATAACAGCGTCTTTCATTCTTTAACCGAGTTTGGAATTGTAGCGATCAATAGATTCGTGAACTTATCAAGCAATGCTTACTTTGACAGTTGGTTTGTCTCTGTAGCACTATTCTTCGGGTTTGGCGCTGCCTAAGTTAATGTGCAGTGATTTGAATTTTATAGAGCCTATTCGTGCGGTAAACTAATAACCTTCTAGTATTGCGCAAAGACCTAACTAGGTTTTTTTTTGCTTTCTTTTTTATGGAAATGAATGTCGCATGCAGGCATGACTATAATTAATTTTCTAAAAGAGAACAACTGAAAGTCCCTCGTCTCCCGTCGAATGATCTCTAGTTCTTTTGATAATAGGGAAAAAAAGCGGCAATCGTAAAGTCTTTGATGGGCAATGAGACGGAACTTGGCATATTCTCTGGACATTTCTACATCTTACATCCGCCCTTTTGTAAACAACGGAAGCCAAAAACTTATTCATCGGCAGGGGAATTAATGTGAACGGTCTGAGAGCGGCCTGACAAACGTGCAGGAGTGAGAAAAAGGAGGAGTTAGTTGCTCACTACCCCTCTTTTTGCATTATCCGACCTTTGCATTTGTTATGAAAATTAATTTCAGTTGTTTGTTCGTAACAAGTAAATAAGTGAAAGACAATTCGTGAACGATGTATCTCAGTACAAAATGCTGCAACAGTTCAAATTTAAGAAAAGATTGCAATATACTGCTAAAGAAATGTTTAGATAGATTTCCACTGCCATGCATCAAGCAAAATAAATGGGGTTGCAGTGTTGCTCAGTATTTCATGCGGTATTCCGGTAAAGAAATCCCACATTGCGGTATGGAAATGATCTCAAATCCTGTGACGTGCTTTACTTCAGGTTTTGCGTCGCCCTTGACTTCGTGTCTTTCTCAGAGTGCCTTTCTGCAATTAGTAACTGCTGAGCCTTGACAACCTTGTTTAACCCACCTCTGCTCATTTTAGCAGAAAGAAATTGTTAACATGCCAAAGAAAATTTGCAGCGAGGGTTGCGTTAAATAAAGTAAAAAAGGATTTTGGACGAGAAACTAATAAATCTGAATAATTAGCAGACTTTATCCACAACTCTTGCAGGGATGTAGTATGCTTTTGTTACTTTTATTAGTTGTGTGCATGAATTATGATGTTGAACCCATTGCAGTGACAGGTTTCTATCTACAAATTGCCTTTTGATGCGGTTTTCAGAACTTTTTTTGCAGTCTCCTTCGTGATGTTTCCTGAATACTTTTGTTAACACAGATCAAAGATTTCAGATTGCCGCCCAATTAAGTACCCCCTTGATGAATTAGCATAAAACAAACGTTAAATCAGTCGCGCCAAGATGATTTCAGAACGAAAACGAAAAGAACATTTATGGCAAAAAGGGTAGAATTGTACGGGAAATGGTTTCGAAATTTCCGACTTCGGCTTTTCCCTCTATCGACTATATTGTCAGTTAAAACGTCTTATGTGAGCTTGTGATAGTTGAGAGGTATTGTCTACCACGCCTAATAAGAATTTACTCATGCTTGCTTCGACTGATCATTCCGCGTTGACATCTTGAAACATATCGACGTTCAAATCCTTGAAATTTCAAAATAGTTTGTCACATGAACCTGAAAATGTCAGAATCCCCGACCAACAATTCATCGACAGAGTGTGAGAGGTATTAACGAAAAGATCACCAGATGCAACACCTATTGCATGAAAAAGCGCGTGATTTTTTTTCTGTACTTGCCAGGATCACCTTCTTGAAAACACTAACACAGTTCTGTTACCGAGTTTGAAATTGCAGCCATCCCTAGATTCATGAACTTATCAAGTAAGGCTTACCTTGGCAGGTTGGTCGTCTCGATAGCGTTGTTATTCAGTTTTGGCGTAGCCTGAATTATTGCGCAGTGATTTGAATGAAGAGACTCTTTTTGTACTGCTGCTTAGCCTATAAAAGGGTTAACCCTTTACCCCCCACGAGTGACGAAGAGAGAATTTCTCCTCACAATATCAATACAATATCAAGCATAGAAGTGATGAGAATAAAGTAAAACATCAATTAGGGGATTATTAGAAGATCCAATGCCAAATTCTCCAAATTGACATCATAAGAATTGAATGTCAGACAATATAGAGAATTACTCATGAGATCTCGGGAGTTAAAGGTTTAACCTCTCCAAACAAGCTGATAACATATAGATATACACGCATTGATGATCACATTCATCATTTAATCTTTCTAACACTTTTGAAAACATTTGCTTAGTCTTGAAATCATTTCGCCATGTCATCCTCTGGCAGTCTTTCATTTGAAATTTTTTTGCTAGATGGTTAGGAGAAAAAAAGCTTTATTGTGGGAAAAAATTGTCGTGCAATCCACGAAAATTGCTGAATCGTTTCTGTTGACGGCATTTTATTTATGTGCAAATAAAGCAAAAGCTTTTCTTTCCCTAAAGAATCTGTGGGTCTTTGCATTGTAAGTTGAATCTCCAGGGACTGACTGAACACTTTTCACTGACTGAGTACATTTTTACATAGGTTTACGACAAATCTGTTTAAAGAGAATATTAATTCGCCTGAAAACACGCTCGGAAGGCTATAAAATCTAAGAATTTTCAAATTACAGGTTAGCTAAGCAAATTTCATTATTAATATGTTAGTACAGTTTTCTTAAAACTTTAAAACTGAAGCATTCGTTTCTAACGTTCGTATGGGCGATATTGAGTAGCTACCACCACAGTCGTCAGACAGAATGAGATGTAAATATTCTTTGACAACCTAACCACGCCATGGGTGAAAGTGAGCTAATAGTGCCTAGTTTCATTAAAGACGAATCCAAAAATTGGATGCCAATCTCTAGTTGGTCCGGCATTTACTACTAAGTAAAGATTTTCCCCTAAAA